CAGTTCTCCCTCAGATTGTTGCATTCCTCAAGAACATCCATGCCTCCGGATGTGAGGAACTGACTTGTGTAGGTCTCAGTGATCGCACTGGCCCCTTGTCTGTCACTGGACTCGCCCGGATTCAAGGGCGTGTAGGTGCAAACCACCTGAAAGCATTTGAGGCGTCATCACAAGTTTTATTCTCACCCCAGCTCCTTCCATTCACAATTCAGACCATCCACTTTTCCTGTTTGGAAAGGCTTCAAATGAGTTCCACCAAGCTCAATCCTACACAATGGGATAAACTCTTGCAATCTTTAGCCATCCTGACACTTGTTGAACTCTGGGTCAATGCTGATTGTGTGCTGTCCATGCTCATTCGTTTTCTGTGCCGCCACCCTGCTGTTAGTAACCTCAGCATCATGCTGTGACCTGGGTGTCTGTTGAGAACCAATCAAGTCGCCCCTCATTTGACAATTTCTATGTCTGTGCTGGATGGACCATTGTCTCATGTTCTCCCAATCCTTTGGAATCACCATCAAAAACCCACCCTCACCTGCCTTGGTATCTCATTGCAAGCTCATGACGCGTCTCCTGATTATATTACTGCCATTTCACAATGCATCAGCTACTGTGACAAAATTGGATATCTCCTCCTTTCTCTCCCTCCACAGAATCATTCTCGTTCGGCAATGATACATTGCCCAATTACCCATTCTGCAGTCCACATCAAACACTTGATGATTGAATATTGGGATCCTTCATTATCAAGCTCCACTTCAGCAGGAGATACATTGGTATATATTGTGCTTGTTCCCATCATATTTCAAATACTGATTGTGGCTACAGGCATTATCTGCTTCATGGATTGAAGCCTTTTCTCAAGTTCAGCATGTTACTTTGTGAGGCTATTCGACCAACACTGCTGAGGAGCTTGTTGATATTATGTGCAGATTTGCTGCCAGTGATGTTGAGCTGTCTGTGGAACTGCAGCACTTCCCTGTGTTGTGAACCATACTAGCGGGTACTGAATCACATCACATGAAGTGGACATTGCATTTTTTGTACCCTTACTCTGTAATCTAGCCCCCTTCTAAGAGTACACCATGCCCTTTTTCATAGCTCCGAAAATGCCCACTCTCCAATCAAGCTTAGTGTAAAGTTGGCGCACGTCAGTGCACACCAAGCAAGACTTGTACCTAGCCCCATCTTAAACAAGGTTCTACTTATTGAAATGAAAATTCCCACTTTGTCTGCATGTAAGCAAGTCCTTCCATTGACCAATACTGTAATTTACACCTGTTATTCAGGTCTGGCTCTCCTATATACTATTCTAGAGTGCTATTCTAGAGCACTCTTTGTCCTGTAGGTAATTCTCTCATTGCTGATCACAGTTAGTCTCAGCCTTGATTTTACGTCCTATGCAGGTGGGTGCTGTACAGCATCACCTGAAATGGACGTCTCCTCTCCTTAACAACCTTGTCATGTGTCATTTCATTGAAGGACATTATACTTCATCATGACCTTATATTCAAATAATGCCAATCTCATTGATCATGATGAGTACATGCTTGTGACATTTTACTTCCATGGAGCTTACCTTTTCAAGTATTTAAGCTGTTGGTCATCACCCTCGCACTCCATTCCACTATCATATCTGAAGGTCAGCTCAGCAACAACCAGTGTTCCATCATTATCTTAAAACTACTATTTAGATGCTCAGCTGAATGTTTCTTTGCAAATGTGCATGATGCTGTGATGTTGGAGAGGATGGCATGGCTAGGAATCCTGGCAGCAAAGAAATCCCTATCACTTTGAAAAATGTGCATATGTTGCAAGCCACCAACATCACTTCTTCCTCCAAACATGAAGCCTCTGTGCTTTGTCTCACTTGCCAGCTCCAGCCTCCCAGTTCACTTCATGCCCCCCAATATGTATCTGATACACCAATGGCAATCGATGATATTGCCACTGAATTATTTGCCATTACATTATCTGACAATGACGCTGATCCAGACACCCATAGCAAATTATGGGTTTCGTGTTCAGAAGTTCAACAAGATAGGGCAAAGGCCAGTAATGCTTTGGCTGATGTGGTGGCTGGACTCACTCCAGATGATATGCAGTGAGCATCATACCTCGCTTTACCTTGTGTTCGCTAATTTAGTTTCCCAGACACATCGCCCATGTTCTGCAGGCTGCTGAAATGCAGTGACAGTCAAAGGCCCAAGTAGCCTTGAATATTATGGAGTTGCAGATGGACAGGACTCGCACTTGGATTGCCTCTGCAACTTCTTGTGAGGTAATGCACTCTATCCAAGATGAATTGGTTATGATAACGACAGCCCTCAAAAAAGTCAAGCAGAAGGTATCCTCTATCATTTCTCGCAGAAGTCAGCTAGAGGCATCATGCAATGAAATGCATACACTCCTTCTCAACATAGAAGATGAGCTTCCAATGTCATTTGAGCCGATTGAGTTTGACTCCTGTGAGTTCAGTTCATTTTTTCCTTGTGCTCTTCCAGACTAAAGATGCATCAAGTACATCACTATGATTTTCCAATCGACTTCTGTGATGAGGTTGCCCAGGTATCTCTCTTTCTGGGGGCAGTCTCTGTTGTCATTTTCAGCATTGGTCGTAGACATGGGGAGTTCCTCTTGGGTGTTATTTCCCTAATTTTGAGCCTTGCAATGGAGTCGCAGAGCCCTCATTCTTTGTCTCATCATCAAAACACACTCAGTCAAATCCCGCAGTCTATGGAGGCTGCACTTTCACACTTCAAACTTGATGGCCAGACCACTACTTACATGGTCTGTCCAACATGTAATTGTACATATAAACTGAAGGCTGATCTCAACTCAAGTCATGCGCAATATCCCACAAATTGCTCCAACAAACCGATACCAGAGAATGGTCCTTGCAATGAACTGTTACTGCAGCGTTCTGCTGATGGGCAATCAGTGCCCATAAAGACTTTCATTTATCACCACTTCCATGACTACCTTGCTGGACTGTTGTCTTGTCCTGACCTGGAAGTGTTGATGGATAGACCCTACAATTATTTACTAGTGTTGGTTGGGAGCCTGCCACCACATATTATCAAAGATGTTTGGGATGTGAACTTCTTTCGTACTTTCAAGGGCCCCAATGGGCAGTCTCTATTTATTGACAGAGGTGATGAAGGCTGATACACCTTCACACTCAATGTTGATTTTTTCAACATTGAGGGCAATCTTCAGTGAAATGCATCAATGTCCACCGGCATCATCTCATGTGCATGTTTGAACATCCCCCTCAATATCCGATACAAACCTGAGAACATGTACTTGGCTGGCATCATTCCTGGGCCTTCAGAACCTTCTGGAGATGAGCTGAATCACTTCCTCGACCCCATAGTTGACGACATGGTGGAAAGTTGGGAGTGTGGGATATGTTATTGCCACACAGCTCTCCATGCTCATGGTCAAATCACATGTAGTGCCATAGCATGCCTGGTGTGCAACCTCCTGTGGCAAGAAAGGCCACCCAGCTAGCAGGTCCAACAAGCCATTTTTATTGCACTGCCTGCCATTGCTGGCACAAGTTGACTTCCAGTAGAACAGATATTGAATCCAAGGATTGGGGACTTCAAGACAAGAGCGAAGTGTGCCAGTATGCCAAGCTCTGGAAGAATGCCAGAACTTTGGCTGAGTGTAACAAGTTATTTGTATCACATGGGGTGTGGTGGTCTACACTCTGGAGGTTACCTTACTGGGATCCCTCTCATCAAATTGTCATTGACACCATGCATTGTCTACTGGAAGGCCTTGCACACACTCATTTTCATGAATTCTTAGGTCTTACAGCTGATTCCGCACATCGCAAGTCTGACACCATCTCTGCTTTTGATGATCTGTCCTTCGACATTGATCTCAACAAATGTGAAACATTTACTGAGAAAGATGTTAGGGCTGTCAAGTCAATTCAGAGCCTCCTTACAGAAGCAGTTCCTGACCTTGAAGGAAATGACACCAAGCTCATTGAGCGCCACATTTCTGAGCTAGAGAGGAAACTGATGTCGAAGAAGGTCGTATATCTTCAGTTCATGTCAGAAGGCTTGGGCATCAGGCCAGACGTTGCACACCCTGGCAAAAAGGTGTACAAAGCACACTGGGTCAAGTCACTTATTGGCTGGGTAGATATTTTTTTTTATCGGTGTTCTTTTACCCTCTCAAGTTGCGCTTTGTAGTGTCGAACACAGCCTTTCATTCCTAGGCTGTCAAAATTGTGCATCACCACCCCAGAAGTCATGCGACATATTGCTGATGTCATTCGGGACACTGATAAGCCGTCCTTGTTGAGATCAGTCCCCTATAACTTTGGAGAAACAAAAGCTGGGACCATGAAGGCTGATGAATGGCACACGTTAACTATGGTATACTTACCCATCATGCTGGTTAGTTTGTGGGGTGAGGGATCCACACACCACAACCCTGAAATTGCAGCCAGTTGTTGTGCTATCCTTGATCATACAATGGCCCTCGTTTCTGCTGTCCACATTGTATGTCTACAATCCATGACAACAGCTTGAGCAGAAGCATACTGTGGATACATTATTGCTTGGATGAGGGACTTGCAGGTATTGCTTCCTCATGCATCCCATCGCACCAATGGCCACATGGCATTGCATGTCTGGGACTACCTACAGCTCTTCAGTCCCATGTGGTCATGGTGGTGTTTCCCATATGAGCACCTGATCAGCCAGCTGCAGCGCTTGCCCAGCAATCACATTTTTGGTACCATTCCAACCTCCCTGTCAATGATAGAATTCTTACACTGCCTCCATGCAGGTCAGCAAGAGTCAACTCTCCTCCACTCATACATCAAAGCTGCAAAGCTCAAATGCTGGCTGAACTGACCTTCTTGTCCTCCCATGTTTAGGGAGGTGAAGTTGCTATTTGACAGATTCGTGTCTCCCCCAATCAATGCGACTCCTAGCAATCCATCTGAATGTCGCCCGACATCACTCAGACCAAAAGGCATGATTCCAGAAGAGCTCATTCAGCTCATTAAAGTTCAGTGGGCAGTCTTACATGCTCACATACTCCACAATGGATCAACCTACACTCATGACTCTACCCATGTAGGCAACAGCCTAATCCTTTATTATCCTGGTGGTGTCAAGAGCATGCAACCAGCACCAGGTATTATCAAGTTTATTTTTGAGACCCAGCAAGGAGTAGCCTTTGCCGTGCAATGTCACCTTCCCCTGCACTCTTACCCAGATCCTTTCTGCCACTATCCTCACTTCCCAGCTTGTTTATATTCATCAGTGCTCTCTGACCATCTTGAAATTGTCATGCCTGAGTGGGTTGTATCTCATTTTGTGCAGTGGAACTTCTCTGTGCAGCATATTGTTGTGGTGTCTTTGTGCCAGGTGTGTCATCCCATCTTTGACATCTTATAATAATGGTCTGTCTCACAACAAATAGGATTGAGTTGCATCATTCACAAACATTCCATAGTGAACAGAACAATGCCCTTTGGAATAACCCTACTCTATAATGTAACTTGATGCTCAATTGTAGGAGCTTTGGATAAAGCAATGTAAAGTAAGCCCATGATCTCATACACAGATTCCTTGAAACTGACTTGACATGTCCTTCAACCCATGCTGATGTCCTTGTTGTTTTATTCAACATGGCATCCATGTCTGTTATCCCCATACTCAACAGGAAAGGCATGCTCAGTCATAAGCAACTTTTTGATCCAACATCTGAGCCACAGTACAGGGTCAACGGGAACATCTGGAATGAAACTTCTGAGCCCAGTATGGCAACATCTGGGACTGAGTTTCATTCCCTATATAAGCCTCATCATGCATTATCTTTTCTGTTTCTCTCCATGCACATATACCCTGTATCTACAGTGGCTCAAAAAACTGTCCGCATGTTTTGACATTTTTCACTATCTATGATATTGTGTGAGAACAAACAGATGCCTGAGAACATGCTTATACCACATTGTAGTATGGCTTCAGGGCTTTCATTTGAGCCCTACACCGTGGGAATCGGTGGAGATATGGTGGCGATACAAGGCTTACAAAATCATGACTCATGCAGACAGTTTTTTGAGCACATATTAAAACTATATAAATCATCATTTATGACACCATAACAATCATGCCACCATTAAATAAATTATAAAGTGGTGTCATTGTGTCATTTTAAAACCATATCTAACTATACAAACCAAAAATTTCCATATGTCATGGTTATATTCACCATGAAAGCCACCCCCCCTGCTCAAAGGGATAATATCCTCTCTCTTTCCTATTCTGGCCTCTCTGCTTGTCAAATTTCCTCTAGAACTGGAGTATCCAAGTCCACTGTTGCCAAGTTCATCAAAGAAAGTCACACAGACAAGGAAAACTTCTGTGAAGGGCATCCATCCAAGCTCACCTCTACTGATAGGAGGGCTATTATTCAACATATCACTACAGGAAAGGCTGATAATGCTGTCCAGGTCACCTATTACATCAATTCCACCATCACATTCCCTGTCTCTTCACACACTGTGAGAAACATTCTCAAGACAGCTCATCTCAGGTCAGTAACAAGGAAGAAAAGGCTCTCCTCTCTATCACACATATGCAGAGATGACTAACCTTTGCCTTAGCCCATCAGAATTGGATTACATGGACTGGAAGCATGTTATATGATCATATAAGACCACAATAAATAGGATTGGGTCAGATGGCAAGGTATATATGTGAAAAAAGAAGGGTGCTAGTCCTCTCTGCATATGTGTGATAGAGAGGAGAGCCTTTTCTTCCTTGTTACTGACCTGAGATGAGCTGTCTTGAGAATGTTTCTCACAGTGTGTGAAGAGACAGGGAATGTGATGGTGGAATTGATGTAATAGGTGACCTGGACAGCATTATCAGCCTTTCCTGTAGTGATATGTTGAATAATAGCCCTCCTATCAGTAGAGGTGAGCTTGGATGGATGCCCTTCACAGAAGTTTTCCTTGTCTGTGTGACTTTCTTTGATGAACTTGGCAACAGTGGACTTGGATACTCCAGTTCTAGAGGAAATTTGACAAGCAGAGAGGCCAGAATAGGAAAGAGAGAGGATATTATCCCTTTGAGCAGGGGGGGTGGCTTTCATGGTGAATATAACCATGACATATGGAAATTTTTGGTTTGTATAGTTAGATATGGTTTTAAAATGACACAATGACACCACTTTATAATTTATTTAATGGTGGCATGATTGTTATGGTGTCATAAATGATGATTTATATAGTTTTAATATGTGCTCAAAAAACTGTCTGCATGAGTCATGATTTTGTAAGCCTTGTATCGCCACCATATCTCCACCGATTCCCACGGTGTAGGGCTCAAATGAAAGCCCTGAAGCCATACTACAATGTGGTATAAGCATGTTCTCAGGCATCTGTTTGTTCTCACACAATATCATAGATAGTGAAAAATGTCAAAACATGCGGACAGTTTTTTGAGCCACTGTATAACCCATACCCCACTGTACATACATGGTCCAGTTGTTTGTTTGTTTGCCATTCCATACCCATACCTACATATCATTAAATTTGTATATCATATCATGGTTCAGGACTCTATCATAGCTGATGCCTCTGTTGTTGATGTTGCAATACCAGTGCAGGTTAGTGTACTAGATTCACATCTAGATCCCACTACCCTGGGCACTGGGTTTGCTGATGACATCATTCCTGTTGCAGAGCCAGCTGCTGTGCATGACCCCCAGCTGTCCAGCCTTGACACTCCAATCAAACAGGATAGCTCTACTTTATTACCCTTTATGACTCTTGCGTGATGCCAAATTGATACTCTAAATGCCATGGGTAGGGAGATGAAAGACTGTATCATTGGCCTGATGGCAGTGGAGAACTTCCTTGATGAGTTCCTACTGAACCCAAAAGATCATGACTCCTCAGACTTCGCTTCGGCCTCCAATGCTGGCGTATTCGACTTGCTCTCCATTAGAAAAGAGGAAGGAACTTATATACCATTCATGAGTGATGCGTGCACATATCTTTTGAGATCGTTAACAGTCCTCCAGATTCAAGCCATGTGACCATTCTCCCCCCAATTATCATTCATGAACTTGTCTGGTAATGCAGACTTGATGAACTGCTTGGCATTCACATTTAACATCAAGCCAGATGTATGTGTTTACACTGATGCAACATCTCATGGCTGCAATATTTCCAAATTCGAAGTCACCATCAAATTCAAATGGAAGGATGCTAATGACGCATTCATCAAATATCCCAAAGTTGATAAATCTTTTGTATCTCAGACCGACAAAGGTTTTGATACATTAGGTCAAATAACAAGCTATGCTTCTGCTCAGCTCTCTGCTCAATATTGTACCCATGCCTTCTCCATCCTCATCATCCATAATTGTGCTCGCATCATCAGATGGGATAGGGAGGGAGCTATCATCACAGATGCCTTCAATTACAACCAGGAGTCACACTTGGCCAATTTCTTCTATCATTTAGGACAAGCATCGCCTGTGCTACATGGTGTTGATACTTCTGTAACGCCCACTAGTGCTGAAGATGCTGCCCTTGCAAGGACGGCATTAAGCCTTGCTACAACCACATGCATGTTCAAAGTTGCAGTCCCTCAGGATCCTGATGTTGAGGACTCTGACTGCCTGATGTTGATCATCCCCCAACCTACTGCAAAAGGGTTTCCACCCGTTGGCCACTGGACTTGCACATGCACTGTGCTTGACATAGCCAATAACAGGGTCGTGATGTTCAAGGACTCTTGGCACATGACGATGAAGGATGTCCTACCAGAAGGCAAGACCTACAAATTATTGAAGTCCCACAACATTCGCAATATCGCAGAATGCATTGCATTTCATGATGTGATTCACCCCATCTCTTAGCAAAACACTGTTAAGGTTGTGTGCTCAAGGGGGTTGGATCACAAGGGCTTGGCCTCAGCTCATATGCTGTGCCCCTTTCCCGAGTATGTACCCTTAATTTCCGGGGGCTAGAACAGTCGTCCGGAGTTTCCAGGATTTGACTAGGGCGGATAATGGACATCCGGATCTGAAATGTGAGATAAATCCAACAGACATCTGGATATTACCTGGGCAAGCGGATAAGACTAATCCAGATGAAGTCCAGACTAGAAACTAACAGAGGATGGACTACCCTTAAGGTAGAGTTGGAAATATAGTCTAGGATGCAATCCTAAGACTCAGAATATGACAAGAGACTTATCCTCGAGTCCGGAGGACACAGGAATGAGCAGGAACTAAGATGATATTCAAACTGGAGTATTTCTGAGAGTTACAGGAGGTTTATATACTGTAGGTATCATATAGGAATCAGTCAGCAAGCATAAAGGCTATGTACGAAGCATATGCAAAGTCTATTAGTAAGTAGGACGGATCACAAATAATGAACACCAGAAATGAAATGTATGTAACGATCAATAATCAAAAGGGAAACATGGTTAACTGGAGTCTGGAGACAGGGGCAGTCTAAATGGAGTTGGGCGCTGATATAGGGTTTGGATTCCGGAAGGGAGATAAAGATAGATCAGATCATTTGAGATCCAGATCTCAGATCTCGGATCCAGATATCCAGAGAAGCAGATTTAGAATTGAGAGTCCAGAATGGCATATGACAAACACCCAGACTGTCAAATTTGCGAGCGCTGAATGGGCTTGTCCCAACAAGGCTGTCACTCCCCACACCCTTCACCACCTTGTTCTCAATCTCATGGGTGAGAAGTTGACTGATTTTAAGAGCTCTCATCAGCTTGTCCTGTCTGTTCATGATGCATTGCTTGGTATGTAGCTTTGAACTTTGCGTATCACTCCATACTCATTATCCACGCAGCCCATCAGGATGCATATGAAAACACAAAAATATTACATCAAGACCTCAGCGTCGGGAATATCATGATCTTCCAAGGACAGGGCTTCCTCATCGATTGGGACTTAGCAAAGCTAGTCATCATTGAGGGTCCCTGACAAACAACTCACATGGTACATTTGCTTCATGCCCAAATTCATTGTACTGATTTTCCGCAGGATATATTTGTCAATTGCAAACAGCTTGACATTCTTGTCCTTGAACTGGCTCAGTTCTTCTCACATCAGTACTCTGTCCTCCCCCTTGAGGCACATAAGAAACTTGTGGAATTGCAGCTCTCATTGAAGGAAATTTTGGAGGAAGTTGGGCCAGTGTGCATGGCTGCACAGCAGAAGATAATCGATGTCGCAAAAAGCTTGCTGTTGGAATCTCCAGCTTACCAGAAGGAGATGGGTATGTGGGTCCTGCACTCACACAAGGCCATCATCAATATGTACAACAAGCACCTTGGGTCATCTAACTGGCCTGATAATGATGTGGCTGTCTGGCAAAAAACACATCTGCTGGAAAAGCCAAGCGGACATTGTTTATATACCAAGTCAGTATGTCCCTCACAGGACATGACACCCATATGGGTACAGATCACACCATCTGGCAAGAAGCATAGGTTAGCTCCTGAGGATGATGTGGTAGCTGGCCTAGATGATGGCCTAGATGACCTCATGTCCTTTGGCTCATGACATTTATCTAGTATGTTGCATGTATTCATCTTATGCTTATGATATGTGATAACTTCCTGTCCAGTGCTCAATAAAATGGAAATTGCAATTAGCGTGCCTCAACCTCAAGAGCAGAGTTGGAATGGTTCTCGTGCTATAGTAAGTTCAATATATCTGTAACACTGATTTCAACTGGCTCCTATTTAGTCCAGTGTCACAAACCTGAATTTAATCGGCTTCAGGCACAACATTGCTACAAGCCATCTTTTTTGTGTGTCATTGTATTACAGTATCCCATTAATTGCTGACTTGCTCTAGATTCCATCCATGTTTCCACATCAGGCACAGCACTGTCATGGGATTCCTTTCTCTTTCATATGTCTAATCAGTCTGTTGAACTGCAATGTGCTAACACAATTAAGTGTAGCATCTGGCAGAAAAAATTACCAACAATAGAGGATGCGAATTTGAGGATATGGGCAATGCCAGTCCGCTTTTCAGGTGAGTTCCATCACCCATCCGCAACACTACCTTGACTATGTCTCATTTGTGATAGTACTGGTGGCAGTCTTAATCACGCCTATCATATCACAAGTAAGCCCATGATCTTGTACACAGATTCCTTGAAACTGACTCAACATGTCCTTTAACCCTGAGAGATGCCCACATCCTGCAGCACATTCGGTGCTGATGTCCTTGTCATTTTATTCAACACGGCATCCACATCTGTTATCCCCATACTCAATGGGAAAGGCATGCTCAGTCATGCAAAATGGTCTGTATTCCTTGAGCTGAGGAAATCATGTGTTGATCATACTGAGCAGAATACTATGGGGTACACAGCAATCAACGGAGTACCTTCTGAAGCTCATCCAGCTGAAATACTCCAGTTTCCTGACACATGTGACGTCTGCACAAGCAAGCGTATGTTCATATACTGGCCTTAGTAATTCCTCAGTTATGAACCTCCCACAGTGGATGCTGCACAATTTCTCCTCCTTCACTACTGACTACCCATGCCACAGAATGCATCATTCAGTTACCATTTGCAATCCCTGTCATTGAGGAAAAGACTGAAGAGGAGCTCATTAGGATAGCAGAAAAATGGAAAGAATAGGGATCATAATCCTTCCAATCAATTTTTTTGAGGACATGTTCAAAGCTGATGATGAGGACTGGCTGATTTATCACAAACTCGTACATCGTGCTTACCTTCCTAAGCAAATCATTCAATCCAACATCATATACCTACATAAGGCCTTTGCCTTGGAGTTAATTGAAAGTGTACTCATGGATTACTATGAACTGTTCAGGAAGGCAAGTTTGTCGGTCCCATTCAGCTACTAGTTCATACTAATGCTTATCACAGCACATGGAGCTTTTGATGTTGCTGTAACACCACCTTTATCCACTCATTCTGAAATCTCTCTCCAACAGACACGTCTTTTCATTGACACTCAGATGCACACGAGGTTCAACATCCTTGGGCGGCCAGCAAACCTGTTATTTGCACACCTGCCACTCTTGATCTCTCCACACTCCCACAGGACAACCCCACAACTCAGCACCTCACCATTGTGCATTCTATGGTTGAGAATGGCTGGCCTGTGCTTCTTGCAGCCCTCTCCTTTATTACGTCCCAGTGAATGTCGAGCTCCAGCAAATGGGGTTGGAGACTCAGCACCAAATTTTACAAGTGTCTGGACACACTCTTGTCATTGGGGTGGGGCAGCATTTTGAGATGCTAGGGAGCATTTGTAAACCTGCAGCTCTCTCCAGATCTCAGTCAGTCGATTCCATCAGCATGCTATCACTTCAAGAGATGCCCCATCAAAAGTCACTGCCTTTGGGGTATGTTGACGACCATGGCTACACAGCACTTGTGAAGATTGCTTTTCAGTCCCTCAAACTTGTCTGTGACTCTGTGTCTGTGTTATCTCCTGAAGACTTGCAGCTTTGCATCAAAACCCTTGGACAATTCAGTCAACAAGCCGACATGAACATTGCGCTTACTGCCACAGAAAACCTTATCTGGAGTGTGTCAGATTCAATCCAGGCAAAGTGGAAGGATGCAGAGATGGAACCAGAATATAGTGCACTGTGGATTTGTCTGCTGCTGATATTGAAGGTTGTATTAGCTCTCTTCAATGAATGAATACTTATGGGAACCATCGACAGGAAGCGCATGGATACATCACTCACAATGTTGGGTTTGCCAGGGAGATGAAGATACATCATGCTCACCTCACTGAGCAGCAGGGCACACTTTTCACTGTGCTCCTGGTCCATACCAAGGCTGAGCACAATCTCTTTCAGCTGCTTGTGCAGTCATCATCACATTTCTCAGGTCGCACTCAACCCAACTGGGTGTTGGTGGCTGGAACATGGGCCAAGCACTGTGATGGTAAGGATTTTTTTACAAGGTATGTACTATTCTTGTTGACCATACATGGCAACCGTGGCTCACATCAATACATATCCTTTCAAACCTGAAGCTATCCGAGCACCTTAAGAGCTACTTCAAGAAATGGAGCAACTACACAAACGAAAGAAAAACCATGTAGAAATAGTCCTAGTACCAGCTTTGATGCATCTTGTATAGTAGAGTATCTGCTATGCAACCCAATATGATGCACTCCTCCCTAAATGTGCTCCAACCCCAACAGGCGCTCGATCTTGTTCAATTCCTCCCATAGCTGAAGTACTGCCTTGCACCTATCCTCCACCATCAATCCAAGGAGGCATTTGTCAGTGGTGCGACATCTGGATGGGAGGGTGAATGGGGTGTGGTGCCTGTGGATGAGCTTGCACAACCTCTATAGTGTCTTGTGTGATCTCCTGTGCGTAGTCCCATAACACCTAGATATTTCAGAATTTGCTAATGGAGATGTGCAACAGTGGACTTACTATCACGGATTGTATTACTGTAAAAGTCTCAGCACACCCAAGGTCCCCAGCCTGCACCTCTAGCCTACCCTGCTCCTCTGCCCCAGCCTGTGCCTCTGCCCTAACCTGCTCCTGCTCCTCCACCTCATTATCATCTTGATTGATATCAACTTGCTGCAGAAATGCTTCAGTTCTTGCGTCTGATCAGGCTACTGATGACTTACATTTTCGTGTGCCTCAGCCATCATTGTGGTAAGATGAATGGTTTGATTATGCGTTTGATTATGATAGCTGAATCTCTGAAGTTAGCATTGAAGTCACTTCATGACGTGGTGTCACACTCACCATATGCACCCCACCTACCCTCCATTTTCTCCTACCACTTATTCTGATTCTCAAAACCCCTCTCATTTTTTGATCTTGCATGTTGTTCGTCATATGTGTTGACCCACCATCATGTGTAGCAGTTCTGCAAGCCAATATATCAGAGTCAATAGTAGGTCACTCATTATCACCTTCCTGTTTCTTTCATGATCGTCACGCTCTATCCCCAGTTATCACCTTCCTATTTCTTTCATGATCATCACGCTCTATCCCCAGTCATCAGCGCAAAAAATCTTAAAGTCCCTTCATACCGCATGCCCACAGGCATTTACATATCCATCGAAATTGATTCCCGAAGACACTGGAAATCAACCTTCAAAGTCCTATCATCCAAAGAATCTGTAGCGTGGGGGGATACTGTGACTCTGTAAGGTCTACAGATTTGCTGACACAATTCAAGAACTGACCCGCAGTCTATAGATCATTGCATGCCTCAACTGCGTTATCAGTAGAGATCAAGGCATCTTATGAACTTGGTTGAATGCTAGGCAGTGGAGAGGTCATAGCGACACTTGAAACATCATGGGATGAGCTACTTGATCATGGAGATGAACCATTCGGTGAGTCACTTACTTCTCGTTCATGCACATCCACTAACATCTTATAGATCTATCCTTTCCACCTGTTCATGATGTCCACCCTTCCCTCATGCTCAAGACTACTTTTGTACATGCTTGTGAGGGCCAGGACAGCGCACTGTTTGATGTGAGAAATGCTGGCTTCTACAAATTCTACAAATTGCTTTTTGGTGACAGAATATCAATATTAGTCCCTCATAGGCTGCGGGATTGCTTGAGATACAGATATGGGCCACACACTATTTGCTGAATACATGACAAGCATGATGGTCTCTCACCTGAACAATGCTGTGCAGCGTTTTCAGTTTGTTCTTGACCAGTGTCCAGTCAGCCAACCACTCTGTCCAAGAGCCCTCGACAAACTTTTGTGAGCTCTCAGAGATTATTTAGAGTGCCATAGAACTCTTTGCAGTTTGAGCTCAGTGCTCTGCTCTCATTTCATGCACAGCCAGAAGAATGAAGATATTGAGGAGGTCATTACTCTTTGCCAAGAATCATTGGCCGCTTTGCCTTCACTGCACCCAGACAGGTATTTCAGTTACATTTGGCTACAGGAGGCATATTTGTCTTGTTACCAGGTGCAACTTGATCCTCCTGATTTGTTACTTGCTGTAGCGAACTTCAGACTGGCATTGCATCACCCGACTCAAGGATTCCCACAGCGCATCATGCGGGCACCAGTCGCCTTCAGCTCCAAACACTGACACTGCAGTTCCAGATGCTAGTTCTCAGCCACTGGACTACACTACATATAGTGATTCCAAGTCCAAGAAAAAAGACAAAAGGGAGAAACTTGTAAATGAGGTGCATCTCACTGTTCTGAGCCAGTCTGAGAGGCTCAACAATATATCATTTAGACATTCATTGTTGTACAACCTCTACCCAGTAAATCAAATCACCTGCTCAATCTCCAGGTTCAACTTGTACCTCCACAATCTCATCATGATCAATCCCATGCAACTGTCCAGGCTCTTGACCAGTCAGCTCAAGATACAGCTGACACCACTTCTGATTCCACTGATCTTCAAAGAACAGATTCTGGTCAGTCTGTGTTCTCAGCTTACACCTCTGCATCCTCTGTATCATCATTTGCTTTGACATCAACTACGAATTCAGGGTGTCACATGATCATTCCACTATATAATCTTCAAGCTCACAACATCATGACCAATGTCATAGTGGATGCTGGCACTGACACTAAAGTGGCTAGATTCGCCAAGAGGGGTTTAGAAATTCTTGGTCTGGCCATCCTCAAACCTATCAAAGTCTGGGGCACTGTTCTGTTGCCAGGTGCTTTACTGCCAAGCAGCAGCATGCACACTAGCATTGATGATTCCAAACAAGAACTAGGCTTGTTCCCTCAGCCACACACACACTCCTCAACCAGTAGGCCTACTACACCCAAAGTCTTCACCACCACCCTTTCGCCTTCACCCACAGAAATCATTCATAAACCCAGCTTCACCCTAACCCCTGCTACCCCAGAAGACACTATAACCACATAAATGGACCCTTGCAACAGAACAGCATGGTCATGGATCCGCACTGGAGGCCTACTCAACATTTTTCGAGCTGCTGGGTGCCCATTTAGCAACACGATTATTGGTGACATCACAGTGCAAAGCTGCCGCTGCGTTCCATTCTGCCAGAACACTCCCTGTAGATGTCACTCCAAGGAGCCGTGCTTGGAGGATCTCTACACCTGCTCTTACACACTGACACTTTTGGCTCTTGTCAGGTCTAGACACATGATAAGGAAGTGTGTCACTCTGTCCTTTGTGGCAATCGGACAAGATCAACCAGGTGCTGGGAAAGGCAAGGCGCTCTTGGCTGCCAACAGCGAGCTTGAGCTTGTTCATAAGCTTGTCCCTGCAATGGCCAACTGTAGTACTATCTCCGGTGATGCAGCCACACGCGCAGGTGCACTCCAAGCCTTGGAAAACAACACCTGGGTGCATCTTGCTTGTCATGGGAAGCAGGACCCTATGCAGCCTTATGATTCCCATTTCGATAGGTGGTCATTCCTTCAAGTATTGCATTGATGTGATCTTGCACTGCAAGGACGAGTCCTTGCCACTATGTTCTTCAAAAATATTATTTAAATTGGTGGCTTTATCGCCACTTGTGAACATAGTCAACTTCTGCATCTTCAAGTCATGCCTGTTTGGTGGACTCGTTGCATGTCTTTTCATTGTCTGGGCAATTGTTCCAACTCTCACAGCGCGACCCGCATGGACTTGTGGAGCTGTGTTCCTTGTGTGATAATTCAGATATGTTGAGGGGAAGACAGTGAATCATATCAGGTATAGACTACATATGCGATGGACTAAGTACATATAGCATTTTTATAAATCTAATCCTTCAGTGAAACCCCAGTGCCCAATGAGTGCCCAACCAGTGCCCACCTGCTAAAACTTCACATTTTCTCTATCACATTTCACCTTACTGAAAATTTGATTTTTCCTGCAATGGGAAAATGCCCATCATTACATAACATTTTGCAGAACATTTTTCCCCAGTCAAAATTTTGTACTTAACAGGTGGACAAAATTTGTTTACGAAATTTCATGTTTGTATAGTCATTTTTGTAGAACAAAACTTCAACTATCTTCACTCATTTTGACAGGAATCAAAATCTTTGTCAAAATATGCGATATCGTATTGTCATTTCACCATGTATCTAAATTTGTTGTTATGCGAGTGTCAAAATTCGTAGTGAGAATTGCTAATTTGTTAATCACATTTCAATTCAAATCTTGCCTGAGGGAAAACTCCGAAACTACCGGTGTGTGATGCTGTGGTTGTATCGGCACAGGCCCTAAGTATTACTAAGTTAGTAATTAGGCGGTTATACATATAAGGAAATAACTTCCCGGCTATGGAGCTACGTGACTTGCTCACCCGCGCTCGCCATGGCAGGGCACATCCGACTACCCATGGCACCAAATTCTCCAAGCTCGCCGTCAAAGCCGATGCGCAAGTATCTCAAGAAACTGTCAAAAGCCATAATGAAACCTCACCGAGTTCAACTTCCGAAATACAACTTACCCGTTCGACTGCGCCCGGTAAGCTTCCCTCACGAAGCTCAAGTCACTCATGATCACTAAATTCATCAGTGGTTTCTCGTATTCACCTGCGTTATAATGGTGATATTTGCTTTCTTAGGGTTCACCAACTTTTCCCGGGCCCTGCCCCTGAACGATAAGTTCTTACACTTTACTTGTTTGTGCGTCGCAACGGGTGTGTTTTATTTCGTATTCGATGTCGAGGAGTGAGTTTTGACGTTTTAGCTTACTGGCACTTTACTGAATATTGGGGTTTAATTGTAGAGAAGCTCGTAGAATTTGGTTCTGGCGCCATTCAGGGTTAATATTTACCGCTGTCATATGTTTCTTCTTTGGAGGCTTCGTGAGCGAGATTGTGCATTCCATGCTTCCAGTACGTGTCCCTTTCCTTGTCTGAGCGAGCACGACGAGACCATGCGGAACTAGCACAAGGAATTTCAATCTGGTGATGTGGTGGTATGTACTCTTGGCTCTGGCGCCTTTCATCCAGTAATCAATTAACCATACTTGACAGGCAAATTGGCTCGGTTCCACCGTCGGACTCTATCTCGCATATTATATTGAGAAATATTACCGTTCGCGGAGAGAGGTGAGCCGTTTCCTACATCGTCCAGCGACCTCACGCAAACCTCAATTCCCCAGATCGCACGCCTATACCGCCCCTTGGAGACAGACGACATTTCCGATGCAGACGATGTGTCAGACAACGAAGGGATGCCCGGAACACAGCTCTTGCCCTTGTACTCTCATCCCTCAGCCTCATCCAAGTCAAAGCCTGTTAAAGCCACCCGCTTAAACGACGTCTGGGACGAAAGAGAAGAGTTGTTTGATATTGGTGATGATAGCGGCGAAGAGGATGGTGTAGACACACCACAACTGCAGCACGAAAGTTCTCAAGACGTTCCCTCCCCCCCTCCAAAGATAATTATCACCAGTTCATGAACGCTACGGGATTTTTATAACATTATGTATACCATCATTTAGTAGCGTAGCATGTATTTGCACCTCAATAGATCTAACTCAGAAAACAAATGCAATTGTGTTACATCATGTGAAGATCGAGCAAGAGCGTCAACGTCTGCTTGTCTCAACATTGGGTCTCCGACTCGCTCCCAAACAAACGGTTCATGAACACAAAGGAATTTTTATGGCACCACGTACATCATCATTTAGTGTACCATCTAAGGCTATGTGGACCCAAATCATCTGACGAATGTGATGCAGTATATTCAATCATGCTGCATACTATGAAGGTCGAGTAGGTTCGAGCGCCTCAATGTCAGCTTGCATCAAAATAAGATCGCTCCTAACAATATCGATCTCTTCCTGCTGTTTGCCGGCAAGCTCTCGCAGCCCTTCATACGCTGCTATAGGAACAACTGCGACATTTTTCTCGATCCCTCGCTCCAGAGTCACCTGTCAAACAAACTCATAAGTCCAGTCCACGCAAAAAAAACCTCTCAATGCTCACCTTCAGATCTCTCTTCAGCCCCTCCCCAACCCTATCAGCATCCTCCACCCATTTTCTCTTTGCTCGCTCCCATTTCCTCACCGCCCACCTTATACTGGCAACAGCAATGAGCGCACCAGCACCTAACGCGGTACCTGCTTCAGAACCCGCGCCAACGCTCAAAGCGCTCTCTCCGAATGCAAGCCACCATCCTACACCAGTACCGACAAACATACCGCCAAACGCGCCCAACACTGAGTTCTGCGCATCACGGTGTAAACGCGTGGTGGTGTATTTTGTCAGCTGAGTACGGCGTGCTTGAATAGGGCGGGTGAGGGCATCTGGGGTGAGTGCGTATGTAGGGGAGTGTGTCAGTTGACGGAGGTGGTTGTCAAGGATAGGGGATTGGAAAGCGGGGGATGAGGATGAAGATGCGAGTTTGGCGAGTTGGGAAAAGGTGGATGATGTTAGGGACGCCTGGGTAGAGGCAAGACGACCCGTTTGCAGGATGAGCTGTAGGTTATCAGTTTTACAACAACAAAAATACATTTATGCGATGTGTGTATACCTGATTTTCAAGTTCCCTACACCAGTGCTTATACAGCGCGGAACTCACCAAAGAATCTATCTCATCAACGCGCCATATCATCTTCAGCCAGGTCAACGACTCCAATAATGCTTTCATCTCTTTCGAGCCGCGAAGCAGAGCTTCGTCTATTCCAGACTCTACAAGCACCTCCCTGTCTGTTCTCGCGCGGATTTCCTCGACTTGCGATTGCAGCTCGCTTGCGCCTGTAAAGACGTGGTCTATCGCTACGCGTGCTTGGGATACTGATCGAGCGCTAGCATATAACGCGCCCTGCATTTGTATCACAGCACTCCGGGTGCGGATAGCCAACAGCGACGACGACGACGACGCTGTGCGACCCGAGTCCTTCAACCCAAGCATCCCCGCCAGAACATCACCAAGAAGCGATATCCTCGACCCCGTAAAATCGTCCTGGTATCTCTGAATAGCAGCAGGAGATGAAGGATCCGATTTAAGAGCAGAAACAGCTTCCAGTGCACGAATAGGGTCCACAGCAAGAATTTTTCCGGGCGTGCAATTTGCAGCTGCCAGTTCCTTGGAAATGTAATCTATCGCATGTCCGGATGCGCTAGAAACAGTGAGGACGAGTATTGTGTTCGGTCTTTGAAGAATGTATTGGGCGTTGGAGATGAGCGTGGGTAGTGGGGTTGTTAGTGGATTGCAGAGGAGGATTAGTACGTCTCCTTTGAGGAGCATTTTTGGGAGGGAAGGATGGGAGGAAAGATATGGGATTTCGGTAAGTTGGACGGGGAAGGGGTACTGTTGGAGCCAGGATGCAGGGATGGTAAGGGTGCCGTTGATGAGGGAGGTTGATGACCTATGACTATTCAAAACATCTATTAAGCATCCTGCATCGACATCGAACATAAAACATGGACACACTTAATTGTAAGGTAGGCAGGCTGGTTTTTCCACCGGTTTCGTAGGATATCGCTGTAAGCGTCATCAGTCGTAAACGGGTTTTCAAGGAGAGCTGTGATGAGCTCATGAGAGCCGGCCCACTGGTCAGCTCCGCATACTGTAAAGAGGTAACTTCGTCGGATACATGAACATAAAAAGTTGGACGGAGGACTCACCGATTACGCGAGCACTCGGATGCACTTCTAACGGGGAACATAAATCTGCGTCGACCTCGCTCAAAAGTTCACTCCAGAGTTGGGAGGACTGTATTCCTCCGTCAGTGGTAGATCCCGGTAGTGCGCGAGGTAGAAACTCTAAGATTCTGTGCAAGAGAGATGAAACCTCGTGTCTACTTGAAGACGCCTTTTTCCCTAGAGAATCGTTGGAGGTTTGAGGGCTACTGCTATATGCTCGGGTGCAGCTGCCGGCGTTCCGCCGCCGGCCAGTAACAAATGACCTGGATTGTTTTGCGTCATGCAAGACAGAGAGCTTAATGCTGAGATTCCTTCGCGAGTGGATTGCACGAAAAACATGGCGGCGAGCGACTAGACATGATGGCATTGAGTGAGACCTTCTATTGTGGGCCAGGTCGCGGAGGCACTAGCACTGAGATGGCCCAAGTCAAATGCACGTGACTCATGCGAAGGACACGCGCGCAAAATCTTCTGCCAGCAACAGTAAGGCATCTGTTTCCCTCCACTCTCGCTATCACATACTTAGCACGAGATTCAAATACTCAGTTTCAGATATACCACATTGTCAGGTTACCAACCGCTACGACGATCATGAACAGTCTATATCGCATCGTGAATTCAGGATATATGTTTATCCCCGTGGTTTGATTATGAGCAGCTGCGGACCGCGGTACTACAGCACCTTCCAGTGCTTTATCATTTTCAATAAATCAAAACAGCAACAAATATTATCCCTTCAGGCTCGTCTGGGCCGTACAAGCGCTGGATAGTGCTATATCTTGCACGAATGCTTGTCTACCAGGTTCGCAAGCTCGCTCACATCCATCCTCGAATACCATGACTCCAATCTTAAATGATCTCAGTTTGTGGTCCTTCATCAGTTCGTATCGTCTATGCAGCTATTTTATAGGTTCGTGAATGTCTAGTCGGCTGACGTCGCGGTCTACCCTGAACTATAGTTTCGTGATTGCCGCCTCCGCTGGGGTGATAAACGATTGGGGTGAGCACTGAGCAACGTAGTTCGAAAAATCGGAGATACTCTTACGATATTTTTAGCACTGACTTCTGGACGAGAGGTACGTTTATGTCGTATCATGACCGGGGCAAGAATCTCACTAAACATGGGTCCATAGGTTGAGCTGGTCTGGGTGAGCAGAGTGCCGCACTAGAAGAGCAACTTGGAAGTATAATCAATTCGCAACAGAGGCAACACTGGTCCCTCATAACCGTTTTGTTTCTCAGTGTATGTAGCTTGTGTTGTCGTTGTTTGTTGACGAGGCCGTACTGACATGAGCATATCCTAGGTGCGCTACCTTGGAATTTTATATGTTGTGTGAGTTTGGTCGACTAAGTAATTGATGCTGTGCTCATGTCTCACAACCAGCCTCATGGTGCTGTGTATGCCTTCCATACATCGCGTTTGCTTCCTCTGACCGGCTGTATACAGTGTCTGTTCCGACGATCTCAACGACAAATGCAGTGAGCATTCCACAACGGTTTGTGCTATTCCCGTCTAATCACCTGCACTCCCATGTAGGGGTGAGTGAGATCCTTAACCATCTTGCTGGTTCAATCTAAATGATTACCACAGCTGTGAGTTGGTTTTGAGTGTTTGACCCCCTGAGGCTGACCACTAACATTACTGGATTTGTTAGGTTTTATTATGTACGTCGCAGTGGATTGGATCGGCATCATCGTAACTGTAGTGCTAGGCGGCGGGCGAATACCTCTGTGATCTCCAGCTAACTGAAACATTATTCAAGTGATCATGGTCGCTCGGTTACACGCCATGTATCAGCGATCCAGACAGGTACTGATACCTCTCGTCGTATTCTTCGTTTCTGCCACCATTTTCATCCGAGTGAGCAACGCTATAACAACGGGAGATGTTTCAGTGGGTATGTTTAATTGTGACTCAAAGAGTTCAGTGGATCAGGCTCATGAACAAATACCAGGGGAGGTTGTTATCTCCGGCACTTATCAGTGCGTAAGTGATTTTGAGGGAGATTTTTTACTTCTGGATTTCGTACCTTGGATACTCGGCACTGTATGGGAGGTCTTCATACTGTTTCTCGCAACCTGTATTGCCGTAAAACACTTCCGTGAACTGCGACAACATTCTGCGGGAGGGATCATCGGTGACTGCTTCACAGTGTTCATTAAAACTCACGTGTTTTACTTCGCGAGGTGAGCTCATCGGTGAATGTGGGTCCCTTTGTCTGCTGACGTCCTAGGCGTGATAGCGTTGTTGGTCTTTCATGCCTCGGCCTTGGTTCTTTTTTGCGCAGACTTCGGTATGCCGATCTGTCACCGACTTCTGCATACGACCACGGTTCATCATTTCTATAGGATACATATTCCCTGAGAATTCAGATTTCTTGCAATATTCCGATCTGTGCAGATGTTTGTGCTAGGACCGCGCCTGGCCCTTGGCGTTCGAGAATATCGTGCCAAGCTCGTGGCCAACTCCGATACAGCAGCCGGCATGACTTCAATTGCTTTCCAGGAGCACGTGCGTGTGTCAACCAACAGCAGTCTGTAACGGGAGATGCTCGATGTGATCAACACTTGTGAGAGGGGGCGGGAGAATTTGTTTTTGTTCGATGTTTCGTTTTGGTATTTATTCATGTGATTCTGTATATTTAAAAGAGAAATGGGTCTGGAGAAACAATATTTTTTGTATTAGTGCTCAGCGCTCATCCACACTTGCACTAAGTGGTACTACCCCCTCCAGCGCAATCGGCACCTGGGCCAGAGATGTCGGCAGTCACGCTTGATGCGAAAGCGGCAGTAGTTGGTGTTATTTCAATTGCTTTCCAGGAACGCCTGCATCATATATCAAACACCAGTGGCACTGTAGCAGTAGTGTGTAGCGGGGATGCTCAGTGTGATCCACACTCGCCGAATGCTCTGCAAGGAACGGGAAATTTTGTTTTCGGTTCGAAGTTTCATTGTGGTACTTATGAGTATCATTAGTCTCCCGTATGTAGACCAAACAGAAGCAAGATGGTCGTTGGATCTTTTAATCACCTCGAACTGGCAATCATGCATAAGTCGTGAGGCATACATTGTTCTGCTCAAGCCTAGCTCGAGTCAAGAAGACGCGCCCGTTCTTTGGCACTCGTCCCTTCACCTATCAGTATAAACCCCACATAACACCGGGCCAAACATCCTAACGCGGCGGACTATGATATACTGCAACTGTACCGGGTCGCCAGTTTTGCCAATCAATATAATTTATTCTGCACATTGGTAGATACATATGTGAGACCGAGAACACTCTGGCGAACGTGGAATCGATCAATGTTTCCGCTTCCGTTTCCCCTTCGCACTACTTGGCCAAGAAAGCGCAAGATCCTTCGGTTTCTTCGCAGTGCTTTGTGCCTCAGTCTGAGCTTCCATGATGACATTTCTGCTCAAACAGAAATCAATATGTGCATTCAGCCCTTTGTTGTCCGTCTCCAACAGCTTCCCGCATATAGGGCAGTCCTGATGCCGAACACGATCCCCTTGTCTGGCGCTCATTGGCTTTGACGTGGTTGCCGAGAATGATGAATCACTTGGCCTAGTCCGTGAGGGCCCCGGGGCTGACACCGGTGGTCGTGTTCGTCGTTCATGGGGTGGAGGGTTTGAATCATGAAGGATATCAGTCTGCTCCTCATCATCGGGAGCATCGAAACCTCGCCCTTCTGCATTTTCTTCTTCTTCATAGAACCCCGGCATCGATTCATGATCTTCCCTAGCGTCGTCTTCCTCGTCGTTGCAATCTTCCGCGTTGCTAGCAAGTCTCAGTCTCTTTCTTGGCGACGAATTTGCGGGTTCAAAGAACTGGGACAATCCAGAATCTTTTTGTCGTCATTGTTGACTAATGAGATATAATAAAACATACCCGCTTAATGCCTCCTGCCGGTTCTGGTGCATGCAGGTCTTTCAACTTGGTGACTCGCAAGCCAATTAGTCGGAGTGTGAGGGGCAACTCAGGGAGTAATAATTCCTTCCCGATCTGATGTACCTCGACAGTGAGACCTGCAGATAGACGGGAGTTCTTGGTCCTTCACTTACTGTAAAAAGGTCTTCCTTCTTCGAACTGACCCAACGGTCAAATGACTTTGCTCGCGTAAAGACTGCGAGACGTGAGCAAGAAATGATATACCCAGATACTGCGCAAACTAGGGCTTACCTTGGAATGTGTCCAACTTAAACTTAAGTGTCACCGTTTTCCCAGTCCAGCCCCCTCTGACCATAGTCAGTCTCCAAGTTCCCCCGCCACCTCCTCCAATTTTCTCAAGATCTGTATCTTGTTACTTAATGCGTGAAAGGTCCTAAATAGTTGTTGAAGCGTGACACTGACAAGAGCGACACAACACTTGCCTTTCTGCACCAATGCTTTTCTTCTCCTCTCGTTGAATGGGTTGTACAACATTGGATGCGATGCCGAGATATGTTCTCAATAGGAATACCAGGCCAAACTGCTTGTCCATTAATTGCAGTAGTCGCTCTATGCTTGAAGATATCACCACATGTCTATGCGAAATCAGTGTATATTTAATGCAGCATTGTGAGCACTGACCTTAATGCCTAGAGCCTCAAGAAGTCGCTCGTTGACACGTCCTACCCCTGGCACCTTGCGGATTGAGAGATCAGTGCATGAAAGCTTTGATAGAAGTGCAGTCGAACGGCAGATGATATTGTACCATTCGGCTTATTCTATAGCAGAAGTCAGCGCTGACACTAATTTTCGAGACGTTCTTAAAACCTTGTCTGAACATATCTAGACAGCACAAAAGTTCAATCAGGGACAAAACCAAGTAAAGTTTCTTAAACAACCTTTGCTAGCATCTGAGGATCGTAAGCTACGGCTTCATTGAAAAGAAAAGACAAACACACCTTGTTCGGAGCAATCCCAGCGCTCACTGTCAATAATGTCTCCCTGAAGACAGTGTCACGAATTTCTTGTACACAGGTATCCGCATCTACCATGTGTTCCTCGCAATATTTCGTGATGCTGAGCAAACAGACGATTAGTGCCGACACACTCACATATAGCTAGCATGACACACTTCAAGTACCCTTCATCGCATCCGGCCGCGAGCATAGTAGGATCGTATCTCTCAAAAATGACCATGATTTTATCAGACATTTCTGAATAACGTTCGAAATTAGATCTCAGGAGAATGAGGTCAGGGCAGAGCTTCTTGGCGACGAATGCTAAAAAGACTCCAGTAAGAATGATGCAATGAAATACAGCAAACGTAGACGGACTCGCCATCCCGGAGCGCACACCGAATTTACGCGCCTCGTAGGAAGCAGTGGAGACCACCCCGCCTCCAACCTAAGGAAACGTAGTTCACAATACAGCATCAATATGACATTGCAAGCTCACGGCAAACTGGCTTCCCCTGCAGCGATGGGTCATCAAGTAGCTCAACGCTGCAGTAGAATGCGTCCATGTCAACATGTACCACAGTTTGACTTAAATCGCGCTGTGACTCGAGTTCTTCGAGCTATAATCTGGCTTGTCTTAATGCGCTCCCTGGGTTGTAATTGCTGCTCACGAGGTGATCAATGTTTCTCTCAATTGGACCTGGTAAAGCATCGTGATCGAATCCAACTTTGACTTAAGGTAAACTAATTAACGCACGTATATCGACGCCCTGTAGGGCTTCGTCACGTTGCTTCAGGATTTTGGCAATACGTTCCGATAATTCCTTATCTTTGCGTTTCTCATTCTATATATCTTTCTGAGTGATATGGTGGGTGGCTCGAATGATGGTCTTGCCTCGTAGAACTTGGAGCCCTTGGAAGCCTCGGCAATGATGCGATTGACTGCAGTCTGATCATGAGCGAGGCTGCAAGCTGTCAAACGTGTTCAAGGTACAAGTATTATTAGGAGGTGACAAACCCAGCTTTGGTAGAGGAGGGACCAGCCAATCGTTTGAGTAAACTAGCGGAGTCTTGAGAGGGTTCAGGAGGTTTTTCTGGCTCCATACCACGTTGGGTCAGGGGAACAAACGACCTCGCGTTCGCCGTGTGGTTCTGGTCTATGCCACTGTCACGGTGTTCTTGCCGTGTTCAATCGTGAACGTTCTGAACTTCGTGACTTTGCTGTAGTGGCTGTGTAACTCCTGAGAAGCGTTCAACAAACATCACATGCAAGTAATCGTGCTCAGCGCTCAGCGCTAGCACTCAGGATTGTTCCTTCGAAACTTCCTTGCTACCACTACTTATTACGACATGAAATCATAGATAGCCCGTTTGTAGCACCATAAAAACCCAATAAACGACCTAAATACTGCATGCCAACTTGAAGCCCGCTCCGATAACTTTTCCACTCATGATTTACAACAAAAGGAGTTACAATTCATACTCAGCTCTTTGCCCTCGCCCTTCTCATGATGACGCACGCGAGTGCAGTGTCCCAGTTTTGTGGTTGATTCGATTCCATTGTGGGTGTAGGAGGCGGGACGGGTGTGGGCGGACGGCTATACGTCGAAGAGCTCTGCTCTAATAAACCCATCGAAGTGTATGAAGTAGAGACGAAGAGCTTTAAGAAAGCAGATTCTTGCTGCTGGTTATCAGGGAAAGGGAAATTCAGAGGGGGGATACCACTGCCTGTGCAGCCTATGTCAAGATAGCTGCGCTTCCGCAGTGGGGGCATAGGGTACGATGGCTGAGGGTGGTAGAGTAACTGGATGTCAACTCCGTTGGAGTCCATATAGGCCAAATACGGCCAGAGATCTGTATCTGAGTGATTGTGAAGGACTACGGCGTAGCGTGCACCGTCATTATGCGATATTGCAGCCGTTCCATCAACCAACAGGTTTGGGCCAACCCGTCGTTGGGTGTGAGGGTCGACCCGGAAGATTTCCATGCCCAGTGATTCGTGGAATGGCTTGGCGGGATTGGTTCGGTGGAGGTGCATATGGAAGCGTGCAGCTTCGTTGAGGATGACACCAGATCTAGACCTATCTTTCTCGATGCGTATAAGCGGGTGGGCAGTGGAAGGAACGAGGTGATCAAGATTTTGGACCCGCACGTCTCGGGTGTGAACGCCAACCGACATATCCGCCTTAGCAGAAGTCTCGACTTGCACAATATTCAACCCCTCCTTCACAGGAATACCGTCCAACTCTGCTTCTGAATTCTTGCTGCGACCGAAGAGGCGCCTGAGAAGATAAGAGCATGTTCTCTTGACGTAAACTCGGAAAGGAGTGCGGCTGTTCCATCGAGTAATGCGCGCCCATGAACCACGACCCCCAGGTTTGCTCATACTCTTGCGCCTGGCGAGTGACCACGTAGGATGAACTTCATACACGCGGAAGCTGTCGAGTGACGGATTGATAGAGCCAAAGCGATTGTGCTCGTGAATGCTGAATTCGGTCCCCTCAACAACGCCATGCATGGCCCCCATTTCCAGACGGAGGCGGTCCTTTTCGCCGTTGACGGGAACAAGGGAGGCATCGGCAACGAAGGGGACACCATTCAAGAAAACTCGGTCTTTGCGTTGGCCAACGCAGATTGGGTGCTGCTGAATGTGAGTCAAGCCTTTTGCGAGGTGCTCTGATAAATCAGAAGATTTCATCTGATGAAGAGGGAGTGCGTCTTTCACGGTCAGAAGCTCTGAGGTGAATTTTCCTCCCTCCTTCCATTCCAGCGCCTTCTCTCCTGGCCGGCAGGCAGCAAGGAGGACGTGGCTCTGGCAGTCGTCCTGAAAAAAGCCGAATTCTCCTCTAAATCTCCGCCCGATGGCGCCTCGCCACAAGCCCAAGAATAGGTCTTCGGGCATGGCCTTTGATGTGGGCGTATAGCGGACGAAGCGGCGGTCTCTACTACTTGAGATAAGCTGTGCCTTCGGAAAACAGCAGTCAAGAACAAGGGTGATGTTATCACCTTTGATAAGGCTGAGCTCTGCTAGCATCGCGAAGAGTGAGCGGTCAGATATGCCTGCTACACGTCCTTCTGGTCCTTTCGTATCATGGTCGTAAGGACACAAGACCTGGACGCTACCAGGCTTGCCCTCGCACCAGTCTGATGGTGCGCGTAAGGTGCTTCCATGACCAGCGAAATATACAATCAACGCATCGCCTTTTGCAATGGCAGGATTGTTAACAAGATGACTCGTGAATGTGTCTTCAATACGGCGTTTCGTGGCTTCTTGGTTGACAAGAAGCGCGATGTTTTCTTTGGGTACTTGGAGGTCTTGCATGAGCCATTGTTTCATGCGCTGCGCATCATGGGCACACGCTTCGAGGTTCCAAATTTTTCCGGATTTGTAATCGTCGATACCAATTAACAAAGCGAATACACGAGAAGCCATCTAGGCACGATTAGGAGGTGAGTACCCTCTAAAATGGGGGGGTCGCTCACCTCTTGAAGAATTGACGATGCAGGGGAACCGAACTGTGGACAACATGTAACAGGAAACGATAGCTTAAGTACTTTTTACTCATAGTATATCACGCTAACGTGTCTTTGGAAGATGCGTGCAGCGCGTAAAACACGCGTTCGTTGACGCGGCAGAGGTACCGCTAAGCCAAAGAACGGGCATCAAACAGTGGCATGTGGAGTCGCATCAGCTTCGGATATGATCAGTGCGAAACGGAACATACCTGAATCTTGCCTGGCTCAGAACAAACATTTGTTCTCCATGTGCTGGAGCAATCTGAGTAGAAGGAGAAAGTGCCACTGGATCGGATCGGCTCCTGACAAACGACTGGCAAGATAAAACGACTACGGCGTCAGGAACTTTTATTCCGTCACGTTTGTGAAGATGAGGTGGAGAGACGCATGTTTGACGTAAACTCTTCGGCACAACGCATTTTTTCATTGAACTGACCACCGCAGCTGGTTCGAGGGCGTAAATTCTGCAAGTGAAATTCATGTAGGAAAGAGAGAGCATCAGCACGATCGTTTGTGCGCTTGACAATTGGTGGTCCGAAGCCATGGACCACAAAAATTACGTAATCCATTAGTCCACGGTCTGCACACCTTTGCGCAGTGACGTCTTCCTTCGCTGATAAGCTTTACGCTTCCCAAGTTTTCATTAACAGCTGGAGTTTGCCTGGACTGCTATAGACCAATAGAATCAATCACTTCACTTGGAACCGATCCATCATCACGATGAGCTACGTGTGCCAACAGTGTAAGGAGCCACTCCAGGTGACAATTTATCGTTCATTGAAATGCAAGGACCAGGACTGATGAGCATTAGCTTGACGCATCACTGGTAGATCTCGCACCCTCTGCGTATGACATGATCGTAGCATCTTTGCCTTCTGTGCCAGCCTCGCGTGCGCACTATGTGACAGACTCGGATGCCAAGAAAATTGCCCAACTCCCATCCCCATCTGCAAGCAAAGCAGCATGGCAGCAGGCCACACCCTCAGAAAACTCAAGGGCCTCGCCACCCCTTTCCACTCGAGCACAGGGGAAACAACCCCAGCGCAACTTCCCAGCACCGAATGAGTCATTTGTGCTCTTGCAAGAGAGCATGATACGCAGTATACCTTCTCCAGTTCCAGGAGCTGCAATGTCCAAGAAAGCTGCTCTTGGTAACCAAAAGAACTTCCCAGCTAAAAACACTAGTCCACTACCCGCTGCACACCAGCAACCTGAGCCAGACCATTCGAATCCAACACCTATCTCACACCACCTGCGCTCCACTATGAGGCTTTTTAATGTGCTTTCTACCCGGTCTGACATTGATCACCCTTTGTGTGCGGAATGTACACAAATCCTTCTTTTATCACTTCAAAGGCAGCTTGATGAGACAAAGAAAGAGCGTGACGGTTATATCGCATTCGAGAAGGAGGTTCGGAAGGAAAGAGAACGGGAGAGCTTGGATCTCAGTAGGCAGGATGCAGAGAAAAAGATCGAAAGACTCAAATACGACGAACGGGCAGCCATTGAACAATTACGCCTTGCTGACAGGGAGAGGGAACAACTTGATGAGGAGCTCGAATTGTTGGAGGCGGAGGAAAAAGCGCTGGAAGAAGAGGAGGCTGAGTAAGTTGGTTATTGGGCTCATCTGGTCGCAAATTAATTTCCGTTGTAGATTCTGGCGATCGCACAATGAGCACCTCCTAGTCTTGGCTGAACAAGCCTCACGTTTAGCGTCACTGCGTGCTGCATATGCTGCAGATTACGCCACGCTCGAGAAGCTTGAGCGCACAAATGTTTACAATGACGCGTTTTGCATTGGTCATGACGGTGTCTTTGGAACAATCAATGGCCTCAGGCTTGGGCGGGTTCCCGGAGTCCCAGTATGTTAGCCTTTGTCATAATGACCCGATTCCTGACAACGTGCAGGTTGAATGGCCCGAAATTAATGCAGCATGGGGTCAGACCCTTCTGTTGCTATATACGATTGCACGGAAGCTTGACTACACATTCGAGAAGCAAGTCAGAATTCGATATTGCCGTTTATACATACTGAGGGTCTTTTACAGCTACCGTTTGATCCCAATGGGCTCATTCTCGCGCATTGAAAGAACTGTAGGAGACAAAGCGACATACGAACTGTACGGGTCAGGGGACCTCCACCTGGGTCGCCTGCTACATAACCGTCGTTTTGATTTTGCTATGGTAGCATTCCTAGAATGCTTGAAGCAACTCATAGATTCCGTCAAGTCTCAGGATCCTACGGTTGAATTCCCCCATCAGTGCGTGAGCGTCTTCTATATTAATCCTACGCCACGCTGATCCTTCGAGGGCAGAATTGTCAAAGATAAGATAGGGGAAGCGTCTGTAAAACTTCAGTTCAGTCAGGAAGAGGCATGGACTCGAGCGCTTAGGCACGTTCTACTTGCGCTGAAGATTGTCTTGAAGTGGACAACCAATGGCGGCAACGGCTAAAGACAGTCCATTTTACATCATTTCCCTGTAACTGTATAACGTGCTCGCCCAGCTGGCAGGGATGTTTGCTAGCAGTGTGACTATCCTTCTTTTGGAGCGCTGCGATTCTCTGACCAGAATACTATGCTTCACACGATAATGTACACGTGAGGTATGGGCGTCTATTCACCCGCTTCTATGGCTTTCCTAAAAGGACGATCGGAGGACCAACCGATGTAGTCCAGATGGGCCATCATTGAGCGTTGAACCTTACTTACCGACATGCTGGCTCAAAGTGGTGGCATCAAGCTTTGAAGTCATTGCGTGATACATGCCATAACGATTACACGATGATAACGACCTTGAAACTCGTCAGCCCTATCCCTATTTGCCTTACAAATCGTTATCGGTGTGCATGTGATCCAATTCCAAATAAATATTCATATTCAGAGTATCATAGCCTTGCGACCATCCCGGATTCCAAATCCTGTGACTTTTGGTATTGTATTTGGACTCCGGAGCATCTTGTGTCCCCCGTATATCACGCAAGCCTGAAGGAGCTTGCACAAGCTTGTGCCCGCACAATACGCCATGGGCCTCCTGTATCTCGGAACACCCTTAACATGGGATGAAGCAAAGCAGCATGCGGACCACGTTCGAGAACATGGTATCACGCAATTTCTCCATACTTGGGATCGAGTTAAGGACCGATGGGGCGATGAGTTGCTCTGGGGAGACGAGGTAAATATTGCCAGTCCCAATTTTGCCTGCTTATGTATAATTAAAGGTGGAATACATGGTCGTTACCTTTGACGACGAGGAAAAAAATGCAAAGCTGTCTCTCCGCCAGACCGAGATCCTTGCAAAGCTCAGTCAGGTCGTAGGCGACCTCACCGACGATGATACACCCGCCCTGTGAGTAACGAGTAATTGGATCCTCAGGGAAAGCGCCGTAATAGAATTGTTCCTCAGCATGACCGTTCCGACTTTCCACCCAGAGTATGGAAGATACATGCTAGAGTCAACTCCTGGCTCTCCATACACGGGCTCTATCCCGGACTTGCTATCCGTCGAGACAAACATGCACTACAGGTAATGTCGCGCCTCAACTTCTGCGGGTATTCTGCCTGAAATTGAACCTTGGCTTTAACAAGACGTACACTCGCAAGAAAGCATCTGAAGGAAAATGAAATTCCATTCACCTTCACATCTTTCCCTCGCCTGGGAACGTATGACGTCTTCACTGAACCTTATTTCTCACCAGACGACGCCAAGTCTAGCCACAGCCTCTTTTTGCCAGAAGAGATCACGAACCCTCACGCACGTTTCCCGTCAGTGGCTGATCATATTGGCTGTACATGGGCGCAAAACTTATCTAAATTGTTTAGTACCCTAACGGCCAATATTCGCAGTAGACGAGGCTCCAAGGTCGCAATCAACCTTCCCATATTCATCGACGAAAGAACACCTCGACCATTTGTCGATCCCACTATACCATGGCAACGTTCGATATACCCAGAAGACCCGGGTAAGCGCAACCCTGTCCCATTTACTAAAACAGATTTAAACTGTCGGTGAACAGAGGCGAAGAACGGTGCGGCATTGATCGATCATATTTACATGGACGCAATGGGCTTCGGAATGGGATGTTGCTGTTTACAACTCACTTTCCAGAGTTGCAATGTAGATGAAGCAAGGCGTATGTATGACGCTCTTATCCCCGTTGGGCCAATTATGGTGCGTAGGTGCTCTAGCGAGGTAACCTTTAGGCGTATCAAGACGTTTTGCAGCTTGCCTTGACAGCAGCTAGTCCCGCATGGAGAGGTTATCTCGCTGATGTGGATTGCCGTTGGAATGTCATCGCTGGCAGCGTCGATGATCGCACACCAGAAGAGCGCGGTTTGAAAGTTGGTATCATTTCAGTGCCTTAATATTGGGGTTTCTGAAATGAATACCCTAGCCTTCGAAAGACAACCATATAATTCCCAAGTCCCGTTACGACAGCGTTGACCTCTACATCGCCAATGATTGGACCAACAAACCCGAATATAACGACGCACCTGTACCCTACAATAAAGGTATATTTCAACGTCTTCGTAATCACGGTGAGTAAGGGGCCTTCGTGACTTTATTGTGACTAATTCCATTGGACTTAGGCATAGATGAGGTGCTTGCCAAGCATATAGCACATTTATTCATTCGAGATCCTCTCGTTATTTTCTCTGAAACCATTAATCAAGATGACAGTACTAGCAGTGACCACTTCGAGGTGATATCGCTCTTCGTCCTACTTTTTGTTACCCTGAATGTCTTGGCAGAATATTCAATCCACAAACTGGCAGACTCTTAGATTCAAACCGCCCCCGCCAAACTCTTCCATCGGCTGGCGTGTAGAGTTTCGTAGCATGGAAGTGCAAATGACAGACTTTGAGAACGCTGCCTTTGCTGTCTTCATCGTCCTCCTTTCCCGTGCCATCCTAGCATTCAACCTTAATTTCTATATTCCTATTTCCAAGGTTCAAACGGATATTTCTTGCCAATCTCATTTGACTGATATTGCAGTAGGTTGACCAGAACATGGCCCGTGCGCAGAGGAGAGACGCAGCTCGTTCCGGCAAGTTTTATTTCCGGAAGGACGTTCTCCCCCCGGGACAGACTACTCTTACCATTAGTCCACTTTCGTGCTCTGGATCATGTTCGCCTGCGGAAGGTGCTCCAGCGAAGGAGAAACTACTTCGCAATTGTTTCGTCCCTGTTTCTCGACCATCGCATGTGGAAGATGGACCGATTGAAGATGAGTATGAGGAGATGACTGTGGAAGAGATTTTTGCTGGAAAAGTGATTATATATTCTTTGCCTGCATCCTTCAACAGTTGACATTTGTGTCAGGGATCCAAGTTCCCTGGTTTACTTGGCGTCGTCGAGGCTTACATCGACACCTTAGACGTTGATGAGGGAGACAGGCTACAAATAAGCAAATACCTCGACCTTGTCCGCAGACGCGCAATAGGCACGGAATTTTCTTTTCTTTTCTTTTTAGATGTATCCTTACATCAGTTTTAGGCTCTTTACAGACGCCCGCGACTTGGATTCGTAATTTCGTGCGCTCTCACTCAAACTACAATCGTGACTCTGTTGTGAGCCAGGAAATAAATTACGACCTTATGGTTGCTGTGGACGAGATGTAAGTGATTTACATGATGAATATATTGTAAGGTTCTCAAATCTTGTTACGACAGTGAGCGTGGCGTGCGACGCGTCCCAGAGCTGTTACCGGAGGATTACACGCCCACCAACGGCTACCATTCCAAGCCTAACAGCGCTTGACATGTGACGATATGTATTGTTTCTCTTGATGTGTTTTTGACAATCGTAGATCTAGAAATTGTTACAGTCCATATTACTGTCATTCCTGTAGAAGAGGGTACATACAAAAAAATCTGCTAGCCACAACCTCATTGGGATAATAGACTTGTCAGCATGAATTGGCCTCTTGGTCTCCTTTGTGCTCCCTTGTTTTCTCGTCCTTCTCCTTGTTATCTTCATCGTTATGGCCTCTGGTTCGTCGCTTGTGCCAAATCATGCTGCATCTTGTGGAGGAGGGATATACTATCGCTGAGAAGATCTGTAGCAACTCGCAAGACGGAGTACGACAACTGTGCGATAGGGAAGATGGTGAATGGGGCAAGCGGATGGATATCATCATGATCCATTGGAATTGCGTGATAGCTCCAATTTTGCAATTTCATTCCACGGTCGCCATGAACTACATCACGGCAGAAAGCAACGTCGGCATGAATCCCGAATGGAAGTATTTGTGGGAGAAAGGGAAGTTCGTGTATCCGTGCCTTCATATCGAAGATGAAAGGAACCCCTTCACCGTCAGAGCACCGATGAAATACACGGAGCGCGGGTTCAAGTTATATGCAGACCTTTTCAAATTTGGGCAGCATGAGTGCAAGACAAGCACACAATTTCCGCATGCTATGCGGACGACAGTGCATGATCGGATGTTCTATTGGAGCGTTAACACGGTGATGACCATAGGAATGACAACGGCGGCTTGTGCGGCATGCCGATCACGATATGATTCCTCGGAGGTCGCGAATGTCAGCAGAGAAGTGACAGGGTGACATTGAGTTATATTTTGGTTGCGGCGTGATATAGAACAAGATTGATAACGAACAAAGACATGTAAGAATAGCAGCTTGATTTGGTGAACAAAAATGGTCTTGAGCAAAGACTAGCATAGACTGCCCGGCATGAGAAGACATACAGTATGATACAGAGGTAGGCATGCCTGCAGGTCAACCGAAGTCATGTGACATCGGTTCACGTGACCGTGAAGCGGCTTTATCCGACCAAAGAACGTCGTTCCTCACTTCATCTTTCGGTCACGTCCACAAAATACTTTGATCATGTCTGCCTTGCGTCTGCTCTCCTCTGCCGCCCGACGTGCCCCATCAACGCTCGCACAGCAGCGACGAGGATACGCTGAAGTAGCTGACAAAATTAGCCTTTCCTTGGTCCTTCCTCACCAGGTGCGTCCGCTGTAACTCCTTCCATTTACTCGGAATTGAACCCAGAATATTGCGAAGGCTATCTTCACCTCTACAGATGTTGTCCAGGTGAACCTTGCTGCTGCAACCGGTGACATGGGTATTCTGGCAAACCACGTTCCCTCCATCGAGGCTCTGCGTCCTGGTATGATCGAAGTCATCGAGTCGGGAAACGCTTCTAAGAAGTGGTTTGGTGTGTTGAAAAATTTGATATTATTCTCCAAATGATATTAATGCAGCATTAGCGTCCGGTGGTTTCGCAACTGTACACCCCGGTAACAAACTCACCATTAACGTCGTTGAGGCTGCGCCACTGGAGTTATTCTCCTCCGAAGTAAGTTCCGTTCTTACACGCGTCACCGTACTCTTAAATTTATCCTCTCAGGCTGTTCGTGCAAACCTACAGGAGGCATTGAAGGTCGCTACAGGGAACGGATCCGAGGAGGACAAAATGGAAGCACGGATAGAGGCTGATGTGTATGAAGCCCTGCAACATGCTTTGGGGTCGAAGTAAATTCGTGATCCTAGTCGCCGACCGTACTGTTAGAGTATTACTTATTCCAGCCTTGATAACTCTCTTACTTTTGCGTGTCTTTGAGTTTCATTGTGTTGCGGCTTCTTCACGTTTGAAAGTCCGGATATTTCCGCGGCTCCACTCTAGCGAGAGCGTAATGTGTGAGGGTACCTGGGTAGTATGCGTGCCGCTTTCCCTTCAAGGATTCCCTTCTGCGAAACCAGGCGCAGTGGACTTATTGAAGGCAGTGCAGGACGTGCCCCATGGAGCTGCCAGTTAGCTTGCATGATACGTCTTTGCTTGATCATGAACCTCTGCTATCTTACTGCTTTCTATATTCCCAGCCTTCGACTCGTGGTGAAAGCAAAGTCATTATCAATAACTTCGTGGGGGAGATGCGAGACAATGTATGTCTTGCGCACCAGTATAAATATAATATGCTAAATCTAACAACTTGGACACACCAGCCACGAGCCCTTGCCGCAGTTCGAGCATGGCTCCGTTTGGCATTTTGTGACGAGACAGAAATCCTAGGACTCTCTGCCAATGACCCAAAGACGCTGGCCATCTTCTTTGAATTTTATCGTCTGTTACAGGCAAAAGACCACGCAGCGGAGTACCTTTCACAGAAGAGACACGAACTCTTGAGGAGTCGCGCCACGCAAGGCACACGATCGGGCCGCGGCGGGCACAGCGCAAAGGCGCGTGGTCGTAAAGTTAATGGCAGCCGCAGTAGTGGTAGCGGTAGCGGTCAGGGTCAAGGTCAGAATCGTGATCGAGGCTGTGGTCGGCGTCGTGATCGCGGCCGCAGCAGTGGTCAGGAGCGTTCAAGCTTGACACCTTTGACAATCACCGAAGCACCACAAGAGCATTCCCGCACATCTGAGGCGCCTGAGTCTAATGAGGCTCCCGACGGTAAACGCATCCGCGGCAGTTCGGGCAACATTTCTTCGATTGACCTGCCTATTTTCCCGCAATTACCTAGTCAGGAGGATTATCTAGATGATGCACCTTCATCGCCCGTCCGTCAATCACCAGGCGCAATCCACTTAGGATTGGCTAGTAGCCCGCTGAGCGATGTTGACAGCATTATCTATGCAGGACAAGGTACACAAGTCCTTGCTAATGACAACCTGCCCCAGCCCCAAAACCACGATCGGGAGGATAGCAGCCTACAATCTAACGATTCAGATCACTTTGTAGCGCAATCTCCCAATTTTATGGTTGCAGGTGTACCTCCTCCATCTACACGACGGCCTCTTCGCCCCTTGCCACGCAAAGTGTCGTCAAAGTATATTCCACCAAGGCATGGACAACAGATCACCTGTGCCCAACCGTCGAGACAAGTCCTTGATCAGGAAGGCGTCGATCGCCTACTGACGGATATTGGTAGGAACGCCTCATTAATGCACTCCCAGACAGTTTCAGTGCATATGGAGGACTGGGCTCGCGATGACGATCAGGATGACGTCGCGGATGTCGATGAGATTGCGAACGAATTCGATACACCTTCAACTAACGATGCTTTACCCCAGCTGTCCAGCTGTAAGGAGGTGGCGGATGTCAGTGCGCCAACAATTAAACAACAGAGACCTCCTTTACCGGTAAAGCCGCCAATTTGGGCCGAGGTACGCATAACATTGTGCGATCATACGGCACTCATAACTGGCATGTAGTCTCGCCAAGAAGTCTGTGAATCATTCGACTACTTTCGAAGCTACCAGAGTGGTGTTTATTCTTTGAAGGATATTGTTAAAGGCTATCTTTTGGGCGGTTCACCCGCAAGGTATGTTCTTCCATCAAAAGGCGAGATGTCGCTAAATAAATGAGGTCAGCCGTGATATCTTTCATTGTGGGGGAAGATTGATTATTTCCCATGGGTTAGTCTATGTCACATCATTTCCACAAGTTGTCTGATTTGTGGCCATACAGTGGCGGTAAAGCTGAGAGCATCCTCGATTACCGGGTTGGTGCTGCTCGGTTTCAACAGGCTCAGGATCAAGAAGCCACAGACAAATCCGTCCGTGCTCTACTAAAGAGCTACACAGACAAACGACCTTTGGTTCTTCTAGCTGATGAGAAGTACGCTCTATTCCCTTTTGATCTTGGTGCGTCGGGCTGCACGTATGTCGTCCTTGGATTATATTGGATATCTCATGCATGGGGTATGACACATCCAACTCGCATTTCTGAGTCGCTGAGCTCTCGCTGTAGCCGAGTATCAACCCGCATCCAATGGCTGCGGGAGGGTTGTCCGCTGGAAGTTTGCTTTCCAGTGGTGCGAAGGACAAGGCAGTCCGTGGTGGACATCATTCAAGAGCGATGATGTGGATATGCTTCACGATCCAGTCAGAGGTGGGTTACTGATATTCTCCCATTCGATATTTCTCACCCTTGAGCAGATTGTCGGTCTGCTTCCAGACAAGATCCATCGCTGCCAAATGCCGTCGCCAACGTGACGTGCAACAAATGTTCTCAGAAGAGTCCTATTGTTTACTCTCAGGGATGGATGTGTCTGAACCCTTCCTGCACTTCCTTTTGGAGTCTAGGAGGACGAGAATTGGAACAACTTGATTATGACACTGCATTTTTACGTCCAATTGCAATGGTATTTACCAATCTTCCAGAGCTTCGCCCTGCGAAGCTCATTGAACCGATGGATTCCATCACTACTTCGTATGCATTTAGCAAGGGTTGGCACTGCGAAAAGTGCGGGCGCCTTTCGAGTCGGTAAGCGTCGCTTCGCGGATATACTGTGCCACCCTCACGCAAGTTTGAAGTTTCAAATGGGAACATTGGGAATGTTCTAATTGTCATGTACGTGTCGTTCCCTCTTATTATGTGGCTTCCCTTGAGGTATTTCCCATAGTCGATTCACAAAGTTCCCGGAAGACTGCGGACAGCAAAAGAATTTTGGCACCAGCGACCATCAGTAGAGTATCTACACTCGCATGTTGGAAAACAATCAGGTTTGCGGCGCCATATCATTCACTGACACTTCTCCCTCACCTGCATGCGACTCGCAGGGATCGTCGCTCGTCGACCAGAGCCATTCGAATTGGGCGATGGCGGAGGATTCACACATTACCTCACCTTCATTCTCCCTCATGAAAGGTAAGAGTCACACTAGTATGGTGCGCCGTCATCCTGATGAGGAAGTCGTGCAGAGGAAGGATCCATCTCATATTGGGCACTCCATTGGCAAATAAACAGGCGGACGAGATATTTCGACAGTATCAGGAGCAAGCCAACGAAGGAGAACTGCTTCTTAGAAGATACCCACTCAGGCTTGTGGGTAGCTTCCTTTTATTTACAAGGTCTTTCTGAAATCCATCCAGAAAAAACGTACGAAATGAAGATTTTAGAACTATGCCAGTATTACTCAAACTGTGTCGCAGTTCGTGGAACTTTCCTTACTAATTATTTTTCTCAAAATTGTGAGTGTATATATTTTGTTGACTATAGATTCTCGTGCTGAGCATTTTGGCATGCAGCGGGCGAACCATACCAGGTCATTACATCCTGCATCTGCTTTAATGACGAAATGCTCAAGGATGAAACAGTATGTTGGTGGAACAGGAAATACCGTACCTTTCGATAAGGCACCATCATCTGTGTGTGGTGCCCTCGCCTTGATCAAAGAGAGATCTCGTCTCGCTCTTCAAAAAGATATACCATTTAACGAGATCCTCAGCGCTGCATATATGGAAAAACAAAAGATGTCTGTAAGTCCCAGTAAATAATTGCCTCGTAGTCTTGCATTGACGTATCTTAGTTCCACAGTGATAGTGAACACGGGCTAGGTCCTGTCGTAGCTTCCCTTTCACTAGGATCTGCGGCGTTCATGCATTTTCGTGCCCGTGCTACATCAAAGGAGCCAAAACATTCATCGTCAAACGTGCTGACTTTGATCCTCCGACACGTAAGTCGTGTTCACAAAAGTGCAGTTGTCCTAGACCTGAAAATTCTCAGGGAGACGTACTGATCATGGAAGGCGGTGGTGTCCAACAGTATTATGAGTAAGTCTCAAGTTATATGGGGGCAATCGTATCTGAAAGTGTTTCAGGCACACTGTCATACCCATGAATTTTCGCATTGCTGCTACTGCTCGTTTCATTGGAACTGCATGATAAGTGCCGCATGTAACAAGCGAAATTTACTTTCTCGATTTGAAATGCTATGTTCTCGTTCTACAATATTGTTTTGCTACCCGCTCTCCTTTGTCGTTCTCGATAATTCCATTTAATATACTGAGTCGCATTTCATCCAGTGTGCGACCATATCGTGTGCTTCACAAGCCAATGGGTCTATCAGTTGCATATCTCCGAGGATTGACGGGCGTGGCGAATGTCGTCGATTGCTGCTGCAATTTAAACAGCACGCAATATACACATTTCGCTCGTCATCAACTCTACTTTTCCGTGATTTGCATAACCATGACGCAAACGCCTCCTTGTCGAGCCTTACGATGCGATTGGTCTCCTGTCAACGACCCTCCACGACCAGCAACAACCTTCGCAACATTTCACTTGCTTGCCTCACGTACCATCTTCCTTCACCACTCACAGGCATTGTTGTGAGTGGCAGAGTCGCTGGAGTTACCTCTGAGGTGGACTATACAGAGGACCCAAGGATGTCGCGAATTGCTAAGTCTATCACTGGTTATAGTTCGTCTCTCGTGTTTTAGTTGGACTTCCTTCCAGACTCACGCTGCTAGACCTGGCTCAAAATCTGGCTCACGATGTGTCAGTTGCCGTTCCCAAATCGCTCATCTTGCATGCACGTAAAGCTACTTCAAAAAACATTCTCATCAACAGTAAGATGCTCTGCTTCCTCGTGGAAACTTGACAGCAAAACCTATTGAGCCGTCCTATTAGGACCCAGGTTGGTTGTTCCAGTCCTCTGAAAGCTATTCAGGCAGCGCTTCCCGCCAAGTAGACTAAGGATGGAAGGAAGGACATGCATGACAACATAAAATTGTCGTAAAGTTCACCTCGGTCGTCTCCCGACCCAACTTTAGCACTACTTCGATCAGCCCTCCGTAATCCCCAGGGAAGCAAGAAGCTAATTTTTGACGAAACCAGTCTCGAATTAACAACAAACGGACATGTCAACAAAACAATCAGAGAAGCCGCTTACACAGAAAACGAGCTAGAAGAAAGAAGATGAGCGAAATAAAAAGAAAGCTGGTAAGACTAGCATTTGTTACATGATCAGTTCTTCCTACAGACCGTCCCTTCATTATCAGTTACCTGAGTCGTCCGCGATCGCCCATCATTCCTTCCTGTCCATGACATGAGATGGTAGGTGGTGGCTACGCAGATAGCTCAGGTCTTCCTCCAAACCGTCTTCGATCCAATGATCCAGAGGACAAGCCAATGAGGGAGCCAGTGGAGGAATGCGAAAAGACGCGAGTTGCTCCCAAGTGACATATAAGTTGGAGGGTTGGGACTCAGCGCCTTTGCAACCACACATCGTGCAAACTCATCAGTAGGCATGCTCCCTTCGGCTTGACTGCTATGCATGCGTTCGTACACCCGATCGAAGTAAGGCTTGTAGATGGACGTGGGGGTTAATTCAAGGGTGGTCGCCTGGTTAGTACTGATATTTGACCGAATGCCACCTGGTGCTACTAGAATCACTTTAACTCCGAAGGGTTTACATTCCATGGCCAGAGTATCACTGAGCGCGTGAACTGCTGCCTTAGCTGCGCAGTATAATCCATTCCACGGAGTAGGGCTATGAAGATGGGGTCAGCTAAAAGATGGCATCATAGCACCGTGCTCACATGTTCCCTGCAATTGACCCAATATTGACGATAATCCCCTGCTTGCGTTCCACCATGGATGGTACGACTGCCTGTGCAACTCGCAAAACCGAGAATGTGTTGGTCTCAAAAGCCTTTCTAGCCTGATCTAACGACACATCGAGCAACGGTCCTGCGAGAAAACGGACATGACAATCATTTCACTGGGACTTGGAAGGTTTTAACGAACCGATGGCTATAGCACCAGCATTGTTCACAACGATGTCGATTTTTCCCTGCTCTTCCAGAATGGATTGTACAACCAGTTTCACATCGTCATCGCTGGTCACATCCATGGCACGCTTTTCCACGGAATGCTTGAAGCCGTCCATTGTCTCCAGCCTACGGGATGTGGCATACACAGTGCATCCTTGCTCCGCAAAACGCTCACATCTGTTGTCATAAGTTCAAGGAACTTGAAGGGAGATTATTGAAGACAGTGAACTTACAAATGGAAGCCAATCCCGCCTTTTGAACAGCCAGTTACTAGAACGACTTTTCGCGACATGAGTGTTAGGTGAGGCAGGACAATTGCTTCCTATAACTTATAGGCATGTCTAATTTAGTCCATGTATGAGAAGTCCATTCTGACTCCGTACTATGTACCACCCCTGGGGTTCTGCAACATTTTCAATAGCGCGAAGGGCCGCTCGCGGCAGAGCCCGCTACGGTCGGCCGGATTTGACTTCAAAATGCGCTGGAGATACATTAGCAAGTGTTTTATACTTCGGCTCACCAGTCAAATGCTCAGACATGATTTCACGCGCATAGAGCTTTAAGCTTCGGGCGCAGGGGCCTGTATTGTTCATCCACCTTGTACATATTACGCAGGGTCAAATTTCGACCATCGAAAACGCAACCTTTGTTCCTCATTCAATCTGGGAATAAGCGGCCTTTCCACTCATCAAAGACTTGCTCTGAGTCAATCATTGGCTTGATTTTGCCTGGCTGCGAGTCTTGGGCTGCTATGAGTAAATCTCCGACCCGTTCCAGCTTCCTAGTGTGTTCTCGTTGGAGCCGAGGAATCCGGGCAAGTGTTTATTTGAGGTGTCTACTAAGGGTACGTGTACGTGGTTTATTCATCGTCATCTATCTACTGTGAATGACAAGTTTTAGTGTTTTAATGTCTGGCTTCAACATTTAGTCGGTCCCCTGTACTCCCGAGCGACTAGCTTACACCCAGCCCAATTCTGGCGTCGACAGCCCACCCTACACAATTGACATTCCCACCTCATCCAACCATGACCAGCGCTGCCCTCTATTCCGGCCATGTCACCGTCACCCCTACCAAGTGCGATACCCTCCCAGCAACACTGCCAACAAGCCACAACCAACTGCACCCCTACTTCATCACCCCTACTCCAACTGTGTCCTCCTAGCCCTCCAGCACCTTTCCTTCACCCCGTCAGGCAAGATCTGACTCACCGCTACACCTTCCAGGACTCTTCATGCACCCACAATCATCACCAGTGTCCATGTGCGTATCACTGGCATAGACTGATTGTGAATCTGTTTGTAGGTCCCAAGGACGACAAGAAAAAACCTACAGCATGCGTCGTGTTAGTTGCTATCGCCCCAGCGACCAGGTCCACATGCCTCGTGTAAGAGGTGGCAATCTTTGAGGTGTGCCAACGTTGGGCATCCTCTTCGCTCCAAAGCCTTCGAATGGACTCTGCTTAATTCTTCCTTATAATGAGCCAGAAGATTGGAACCTGATCCTCCTGAGGCCGCACGAGAAGCTTTCTTCTTATGGTTGCTTGACTCTAGATCCATCACAATTCTCACAGATGTGGATCCGTCGTGAAGAGGGATGAACCAAGCCCATCCAGACTCGTCTGCACACACTCAGGTCAGTATGACGACTTCAGGAAGATCTCATACCTTCAAGTGCTTCGACCCAGATAGCATTCTGGCGAGTGGTACTCGGCATGTAAGACCCGGTTCCGGTCCAGTATCCCCAGCATGCGACGTTGTTGAGGGCCCGATTATAACGTTTATTCTTAAGATACTTGTGGACATGATCCCGTTCCTTCCTGACGCATCGACTAGGTAGCTGAAAGAGATACGGCCCTGTGTCCCGGTGCTGTCATTCCTACAGTCGGCTGAAACAGGCTTTTCGCCCTCGAACTAAAGTTCGGCGACTCTTGTATTGTCGAACACAGCTGCGCCACACTTTGAAGCATGACGAAATAGCAGATCGTCAAATTCTGATCGAATCTGTGAAACGGTCAGACAGGAAGCATGTCCTCGATGTATCACAGACCTGTATGAAAGAGACATATCGCCATACCGTATATATGTGGTATATCCGCTGAAAACTTTTGCATGAATCAACTTTAGTCCAACGTGACAAGTTCCTCGCATCCGAATAGGAAGTTACAGTCGAAGCCCTGTTACTGTTCCGAAACATATCGGCTCCCCAAAGTGCCCGAAAATGTCTTGCGTGAGAGCTGAGCACATCTCCTCGTCACTAGGCTGTGTAAGGCAACTGGTCACGAGTCTAGAGCAACGGTTTGGTGTTGCTCAATAAACAAGAGTGGCTAAGTGAATTTTCTAGATTCTGGTCTATCGATATGAAGATAGCTGTAAGCTGTGCAAATTCGAACTTTGAGGTTTCCGAGTCGTGCATCTTACGCTGTGTCACAGTCTCTGCCATAGGCCCGCCAGTGCTTCGATCTTGTAATTAAAATCTTGACCGACTAACATGTCTATCCAAGGTCCGTCATGGCTCAATCAGGAGGACATTGGCACCCCAATCCATAGTCACCTGAGTCGTCCCCGTCATTCCTTCCTGTCCATAGCATGTGGTGTTAGGTGGTGGCTACGCAGATAGCTCAGGTCTTCTTCCACACCGCTATCGATCCAACGATCCATAGGAGAAGCCAATGGGGGAGCCAGTGGAGGAATGCGACAATGCGCGAGTTGCTCCCAAGTGACATATATGTCGGAGGGTTGGGGCTCAGCGCCTTTGCAACCACATGGCGTGCAAATTCATCAGTAGGCATGCTCCCTTTGGCTTGGCTGGCATACATGCATTCGTATACCCGATCAAAGTAAGGCTTGTAGATGGACGTGGGGGATAATTTAAGGGTAGCCGCCTGGTTGGCACTGATATTCGATTGAATGCCGCCTGGTGCTACTAGAATCACTTTAACACCGAAGGGTTTACATTCCATAGCCAGGGTATCACTGAGCGCGTGAACTGCCGCCTTAGCTGCGCAGTATAATCCGGCCCATGGACCAGAGCTATGAAGACGGGGTCAGCTGAAAGATGGCATCATAGCACCGTGCTCACATGTGTCCTGCAATCGATCCAATATTGACGATAACCCCTTGCTTGCGTTCCACCATGGAGGGTGCGACTGCCTGTGCAACCCGCAAAACCGAGAATGTGTTGGTCTCAAAAGCCTTTCTAGCCTGATCTAACGATACATCGAGCAACGGTCCTGCGAGAAAACGGACATGACAATCATTTCACTGTGGCTTGGAAGGTTTTAACGAACCGATGGCTATAGCACCAGCATTGTTCACAACGATGTCGATTTTTCCCTGCTCTTCCAGAATGGATTGTACAACCAGTTTCACATCGTCGTCGCTGGTCACATCCATGGCACGCTTTTCTACGGAATGCTTGAAGCCGTCCATTGTCTCCAGCCTACGGGATGTGGCATACACAGTGCATCCTTGCTCCGCAAAACGCTCACATCTGTTGTCATAAGTTCAAGGAACTTGAAACTTGAAGGGAGATCATTGAAGACAGTGAACTTACAAATGGAAGCCAATCCCGCCTTTTGAGCAGCCAGTTACTAGAGCGACTTTTCGCGACATGAGTGTTAGGTAAGTATATCTAATTTAGTACATGTAACGAGAAGTCCGTTCTGACTCACGGCGTATCAGTACTTCCAGTATAAGCGTTTGAAACGTAAAATACTGTCGAGATACGCACCTAGGTTCGACCCAATCTGGGTGTGACCAAATGAACGTTAGGTTCGAAGGTTCGCAGGGGGGTGTGACGCGTGACACACTGCGCTTAGGTTCGACGACCAATGTTGGGGTAGACACATTCCCTTGTATACATGCAGCGCTAAGGGGCCGCGGTGATCCTCATGACCCGCGGCTGGAGATGCTCACCTCAAGAGCTTCGTCTCTAATTTGACTTCCGTCTGGCAACATGGCAATGTCTTCTCGCTATGTTATGGTAAAGTCTTGTCAGTGTGGATCCTCCAATGTTTGGCGAGCGAGCCATAGCTCAGTCCATTAGGTGAATCATCTGTCCCTCATGGCTATAGCGCTGATGATTTGGGTAATTTGCTGGTGGATAACGAGTCGGAGAGCTATGAGCGAGGGGTACTGGATGACATGACAGGGCTTCAATCTATGGCTGATGGGTCTACGGAGGTTGAGGCTGAGGGCCGTGGCAAGCGCAGACGTGTTGCAAACACTCAGTACAAAGACTTTTGGATGCATTAGATGTTTTTTTTTTGCGTTTTTACCACTTGTCACAATTTAGGTTCGACGGCCTCAAAATTGGTGTGACCGTCACGAAAAATAGGTTCGATTCGCCAGGCGTGTGACGGTGTGACGAACCTAGGTGCGTATCTCGACAGTAAACAGCTTGATATGTAAAATTGTTGACATTAGAGTAGATTTCAGCTCACAAATCCACAAGTTTCGTCGGGACGGCTCTCTGTGTATATGCCCACATGACCAAATGAATATGCACAGATGCCCTGCAAGATGCGCGGCACAGACACGTAGCCCAAAAAAGGCATTGCAAAGCCCAGCTGTGAATCGACAGCCAAATATAGTTGCAAAGTGGAAAATCAGGCCTGCTGTAGAGTATTGTATCATTAACCACTCACATCACAAGATCGGTGGCATGACTTGGCGCCTATACATCCTTCACACTGGATACGTCGTAGGTGGTATCTCTCCTCTTGCCGCAAGTGCCGACCGTAGCCCGGCAATATCCAGATCGCGCGCAGGAGTGACGTTCAGCGCCTTAAGCACGATCGACGTGTCAACGTCTGGTTGTGATGTGTAGGGTGGTGGCTCTGGTATTGGAAGGTCCTGTAATGATACATTAGCATGTACAACAAGAGCGTTTTCCATAGGCACGTCGATATAGCGTCCCATGAATCAGCTAAAGGAATGTGCACTGAACGCGACCCACCTCAGACCTTTCCAACCATCCCATAACCCACACCCATGCTTTACGTTCGTGCATCCAGTTATAGTCCACACTTGGATCAAGTGTTCCGCCCCATTTTACAGTAGAAAGCACCGCATCGGGATCGATTACGAGAGAAACGTCTACCAGAAGTCCATGGGAGGAAAATGAGAGAAGCACAAGTGCGGTGGAAGGGTCATATGTGAGCATACTGCAGTGAATGTGAGTAGATTTGCACGCGTGAATAATAGAGAACAAGGAAGAGGAGACAAAGGACTTACCGTCCAGCAACACGGAGCTTCCGTCCCACATCGTCATCAGTAATGCAGTCCAGCATCATCACCGTAGCGGGTTCTGGCAGTGGCATTCGTTGCCGCTTATCTGTATGTTGTTCGATTCCTGTCAGTGGGCCGATTTTCTATGCTGAGTTGGAAACAGGGTGAAAACCAAATTGGGCGTAATATTGTTTGGCAAGACCTTGGGATTGTAACACTCGCAAACAAGGACCAAATTGACAACGTTCGGACAGAAAAATGCAGTGGATGTAGAAATGACGGTACACTATCAAAGTCCACATGTAAATAACCGCGAGCAAGGACTGAATACCTTTTCGCAAGCATTTTAATTCTTGCCTCACTCACCCCTCGCTTGCCTCAGCACCCTACTTGCAAGTTCTACAAACTCTCCCTCCTTCCCGACCAGCGCAGCCTCAACCAGCCCCCACGCATCCTCTTTTCTATGCTCTTCCACCCATCGCACATACTCCGCTTCTTGCCATCCATGCATTATATGCGGTAGCGGCAGTGGGGACCGTACAAGAATATGGTGCAGCACTACAAGCGGAGGCAGGTTCGCGGCGTGCGTTGGACTTGCAAGTGAAGCTGTGTCGAGGAAGAGGAGGGGTCTATCATAAGTGAGTGAGTGAGCGAGCGTCAGATTGTGCGAGGGATAGAACAAACCGCATAGCTCTGAGCATTTTATACTCCTCCCCGGCTACTTCAAGGCCACGCTTGCTTGAAGGCCCAAGAAACGCACCCAACGCAAATTCGAGCTCTGTCATATCTGTCGTGAGCTGCAGCTTCCCGCTCTCTCCTAACGGTTTCGCGATACTGGCATGAAGCACAAAGATTCGGATAACGTATTTCACGATAGAGAGCACCCTGGTTGTTCTCTTTAGCACGACAGGTCAACAGCAAATGTCTGAAGGGCATACCAGGACTGTGTCATGTCACTCGAAAAATTAGTCAAGATCTGCATCTTGACGTAGTTGAGTTTATCAGCGAGGTCTTTCATGTACAGGCTTGGCCCTGCCATGCCTGCCATCGGCCCCATGGCCTTCTGCAGGTCAACCCTATGAAGTCTCGAGACGATGGAAGCGAGCTCCCTTCGTATTGCCGTAAGGAGGGGGTCAACGATGCTATCGTAAGTGACATGCAGTTTCTGTGCAGTGAGGTAATTTCAAGATTTTATACTCTATACTTGAGAGAATCAATACCTTTACACCAGGTCTTACAAGCGAAGCAGCGCTCTCGGTGTGTTCTTCAGCTATCTTCTCCAAATTCGTCCAGCAGTAATAAAGGCACGTCGCAACCTGGCCGTTCAAAATTTGTTGTGGAGTCGCCATCGGCCCAAGAAGTGTGACCACTGAGCGATCTGAAGAGATCTAGTTTCAACGCATGAGCTGCGTGGTACCTATTCAGAGTTCCCCCAAAACTCACTAGACCCTCGGCCCTCATCGTCGCTCCATCGAGAGCTGCGCTAACGTTTCTCGCCACCGCAAGCATTAACAAAGGATCAAACCTAGCTGAATCAAGCTCGTTCATCACTGCCCGCGCAATTGCGACACCTTCGTTAGCGCCTGGAGGTGCGCGAGAGCCGCCAACGAAAGCCTGGGAAACGGCTTCATTCAAGCGGGTTGTCGAACGAGAGAGGTAAAGAGCCTCAAATGTAGAAAGAGCACGGAGGACGAGAACAGTTTCTGGTCTAAAGATTTATGTATGGTGTGATATTTGATGAGCAGGGGAAGACCTACGATTGCTGGGATTGCGTATAGACTGTGTCAGTATGTACTGCAATTTTGGCAAAGAATTCGTGGAAAAGACGTAAGAGCCTCGGGTAACCAGAGCTAAGAGTCTGTTGAAGGAAGGTCGAACCTAGTCATGACACTTCAGTGGTGATGTGCATGGCACCAATGACTTAAACAAACCCTTGGCAGCGTCACGAGCGTACTTCTCAAGCGAGCGTCCCAGCGAAGTCCAGAATGTAGAACTAGGTTTGTTCTCTAGAACCTTCGAGTACTTATTAGTCATGGATTGGATGCATTGTTGTGCAAGAAAGGCACCTTCATTACATCATGAAGGAATGATCTTTGGGTTATCGGATCCTTCTTCAATTTCAGGACCTTCTCAAGAGTGTACACCTAGGACGACTGGCAGTAAGTCGACACAATATAGAACATTTTCTCAAGTTGCCACCTTGATACAGCATGCAGCCATCTCCTCGATAAGAGACTCAAGGCGGGCCCAAAGCGCAGCTGTCCATTGCGGTGCTGTGATGTTCGTTGGTTCTGTTCGCACACGCGACTTATATAAGAGACCTTGAGAAGAAGGCACATTTTCTGAAGAACAAAAACATCAGTAAAGGAAGAATGATCTCGGTACGACATACCCTTCGAAACAACTTCCTTGGAAATACGTGAGAGATCGAATGCAGTTCGTATCCGTTCCTCGACGGCGTCACAAAGGTCTCTTGATAAGCCCTGTATGAGCGTCGGGAGTGCACGTAAGTTGTACGCTGTTTGTAACGAGGATGCCAACAGTGATTGATCCTTAACATTGAAGTCTAAGTTAATGATGATTTACGTTGGAATGCAGAATAACAAACCAAAGTAGAAAGACCAGTCATGATCATTGATTCCATCTCATGCGTAACCTTGTTTTGCGCTTCTTCGATAAATGGTATGTGTGCTGCTGCTGCCTTTACAGATCGGAGGGGGACCAAGGTATCCGTTGCTGGTGCAGTCCTATCGTCAGTTTCTGACGAGTCTTTTACTGGGGTATCTCCGGTCTCTTCAGGTCCATCCAACAAGGCACCTTGATACGAGTGAACAATCAGGAGCTATTTGCGAAGTAATGCACAAGCGAACCTAGCTCTGCAATTGTCAATGCTGCCTTAGCAATGGTGCGCTCCTTGTCATCTTGCTGATCCGCAGACAAGCCTTCTGAACTGTTAGGTCTTTTCTTTTCAGCAGTGCCCGGCTTGTCAAACGTAGCAAGCTCGGAAATCTGAGTTTCTAGACGTCGCGAGAGCACAACGAAACGTGAAATACGTCGCAACGCATCTGAGGTTTGACGAATACGTTGAAGCTTGATGGCGCTCGTTTCCAAAGTTTGGTATGGAACACGAACTTTCTGGCGAAGTCTGATTAGGTCACGTCAAGTTACGACGTTACGACAAGACCTAGTACGTACTTCTCCAAAGAGGCATCAACGTCATCCAAGCCACGTCGAACTGAAGTCAGTGATCCAGAGAGGTTATTGACGCCCGCTGCTCGCTGAAGTAGCTCTTCATGGTGGGTGGTAACCTGCAAACATTGTGTCATCAACAGCATATCAATGTGATGACATATTTTCATACCAAACTTTTGATTTGCTTGCTCACGTCCTCAATGCTCAAGTCCAGCTTGGATATTGCGACTGATATATCCTCCTTGGCCGATTCTAAAGCTGTGCCCGTTCGAGGCTTTGCGTACTGCGTTTGGTGAACCTGTGGATACGGCTCGCCAGCAAGAATGGCGTTGGCGTAGTCATTAACATCAAAGTCGGAGATAGTGAACAATGAGTAGTCTAACGTGGTATAAAATTAAGTGAGGCGAGATATGAGAGGAAAGTACTTACCCGTCATCGAGACATGGATTAAGACGAGTGCTGGTCCGGAATTTCTTGATTGCCAAATGTCACGTGGGAGAACGCGTGTGAGTTTAGCGCATGACGCAGATCATCAATTACAACCACAAACCCCCGAGTGCTGAGCATTCTCAGAATCATCCCATGGTGACACATGGCACGCATATCTGACGACTGGTTATAAAATGAATGCATGAAATGTATCTGCCGGAATTTATCTAATGGACTGAGAATGCATCGAGGACCTTTGGAGGAACTCGTCCAAGTCGCTTAGCATATTTCAATTCGTTTTCGAGATAAAACAGAGGGTGGAAGTCAGTGACCTCCTACTACTAGTAGGCCATATACATATCGTGAAGGTCAGCATCGTGGTCTTGTTGGTTGTCCCAAATCTCGGATCTGATGTGCATGCTGTACAGTCACGGTTGTCCAGCTCTTTGATCGCCGGCCCATCGATCAGTACTCGGTGGTGACGCCCCACTGCTTGCATTTAAAAAAAGAGTACTGCTTCCACTGGCGGCTGCACAGTGGTTGTTATGCTTCTTGAGAACTTTTTGATGCAGGGACTACCTTATACATAACTGGGTTCTGCTAGTAGGCATAGGCTTTGTTCCTTCTCTCTTTATCCGTCATGTCGCTACTCACCTTGAAGGCATGGTCGTCGATAGTGGCCCTGGTGGCAGCTGCTGGATTCCAAGGCACATGCGCAGATTGTGGCCAATATAACGTGCCTCTCCTCCTTTGGTTGGGTACGTCGTTCCTTTGCTTCACCTTAAAGTTGCGAGTTCTGATGGTATGATTGGGTGATATTAGATGAACAACAGTCTTAGCCAGAACCCACGCTTAGTCACTGCCTACTTCGGGAGCCCCTACGCTGATGGAAGTATGGCTTTTCGTTTCTCGGCAAGCTTTGGCCTTGCATGACTCATTTTTGGCAGGCTATGAAATCGTTGCTATCCCCGCAGGTACTCAATATTTAGGTCCCCCGCTCAATGGAGCAAACCCTTGCCAATGCAATTCAGTAATCTACTCACTGACGAGCGCGTGTGGTGTTTGCCAGGGCCTCACTCCTGTGACGTAAGTTGCATCGAATATGCTCGACTGACGAAGTACTTATTCCCTCACAGCTGGAGTTCCTGGAAAACCTATTGCACAACGGCTTTTACACAATTGTCAGTCTCCGGGGTTGTGTTCTTGAACTTCTTTTACTTGATATGCAGATATCCAACGACCATTCCGACTGGCACTGCAGTTCCGAATTGGGCTTACTTGGACGTCGTAAGTACACGAAGCATCACGACTGTCATACCCTAAATTTCTTTGAAGGTAACCGGTAATATTTTCAATGTTACCGCAGCTCAGCTGGATGGAGGTCAGCTCACACGCATAACTTTTCAGTGGTACAAACGCGTCACTCACTTTCTTGTAGATTTACCGGAGTCTATTGCAACCTCGCCACCGACCACTATTAGTAGCGCGATCATCGTGACATTCACTAGCGTACACGCTTCGACTACATCGCTATCCACTAGCTTACCCACTTCGACCACGAGCACAGGATCTTCATCGCCTACTTCGAAGAGCTCAGATGTCGGAGCTATAGCTGGGGGTGTTGTCGGAGGAATTGTCGGAGTTGGAGCCATCGCAGGTCTTGCAGCATGGTTCTTCATTAAGCACCGTCACTCTCGCAGAGCACCCTTACCCACTTTCAGCCAACCCCAAATGACGCAGCTTTCGCGTTTCTATATATGTTTTCCACGACGTTTGTGACGCATCATACTCATCATCTTGCGCAGGATCCCGCCGACCCGAGCACTTTCCCGCCGCCATTGTCCTCTACCTTACAAACCACCACATCGACCATAAACCCAAACTTTTCACAGCAGTCGCGTCTTGGGCAGTATAATGGTGTTCCGGAGGTCTCAAATAGCCCGCAAAGATGATCTTTGGATGTTATTCCCCCATAGAATGGGACGACACGTTATACCATACCACAGATTGGCGGGGAGTTCGGCTGCAGACGATGTGGGTCGGTAATGAGCCTTGTGCGCAGTTTCACTGATGCAGAATTAATTGTACTGGAGGATATCTGACCTGGGATTTTACCGAGCAAAATAGACACTTGGAACGACTTTGTGAATACGACGAAGGCTTCAGGTTTACTCCGTCAGTGTCTTGCTCTAAATATTGAGATACTGAAGTGCATGAGGCCTGCTCCACATGCACCGTGGAAAGGTCAGGCTAATTCACAGCACCTCCCCCCTCCATTTGTCGCCTGCACGACCGCCGTGTACTCTATAACCATTTACCACAGAAGCCCCAGAATGTTCACCGCATCAGATGCATGAGCACCTTCGAGTTGGCGTCAGCTAAGTTGTGTGAGGTGGTGTTATATATAGCGTTAAACTTCACCTGCCGGCGCCCAACTGATTTTGGCCCTTCGATCCTGCACCGTAAAAGCAGCAGCACAACACGGCTGTTGTTACCAATCTCGACAGGTTTTATATCACACGCAAGTGAAGCTATGTCAGCCCTTCTAATAACTGCAGGGCTTCCCCGTTACCAGCCTCTCGCTCAGACTCCCCCACGGCTTACAAAACCACATGCATAGTAGCTGGTACAACATCAATTTCCCTCCCCAGAGCTCACAGTCTGCCTGCGATCTACATACAAAGAAACTACTACACCTGAGTTACATAAATATATCAGATTAGTACACTAAGTGTCAACCATTGGAATCCGTAATATATAGCATCAGATCATTCACCGCACTTGTCAATCGAACGTCAGAACTGCCCAGTCTTAATTGACCGAGAGTCTGCCTGATGGAAGAAACCAAATCCTCCGTACCAAGGACCATGCCTTCATTTAAGCAGTCCTTAGTAAAGGCACTAAGATGCTCGATGGTCTCCTTCAAGCTTCCGGCCTGTCGAACAACCTGAGAATGCCAAGCCTTTTGGACAAGCATTTGGCAAGAACTGGCGTCCGGGAGGTCAAGTGGATGGTCAGATAATTCTTGCATGACTTGCAGATTCGCAATGATGTAGAGCGCAAGGTGTTCGGATGACAGAGGATCAACATCAGGGTAGGGGAAAGTGTTGGCGATATGGAGATGGCTGCTATGATATCCATGCCCGAACATGTGAGCCCTCCATGCCTCACTTTTGGCACAAGAATACAAAATTTTCAGACAAAGCAGGTGTTGTCGTGGTGAGTCGCTGTAGGTAAGAGTGGAATGAAGAGCTGCGGAAAAATCTGGAAACAGTTGGGCCGGCATATAAGTGTCAGCAAAGATAATCTTCCTGCAGGCATGAGCGACACCGAGGGCGGCCTCTCGAAGGGCTGGCAGCTGTTCTAAACCTAGAGAAGACACTATAACTTCCACCAGCGCTGGGGTCCTGGATGAACTAAACTTGACGTGAGGTGACTGGCTCAGTGCTATCATAGCGTCGATGACAGCGATGTGATTAGAATTGTGGTAATAGATGATGTAGTCGATGAGCCAACCGCAATCAACGGGCTCTTGAATCGATAACCGAGATGGCCCCTGCTGCCACGCTTGGCCTGCATCGCCCTGGTTAATGGGACCATCACCGGCCACGATAACTGTGAAGTGTAGCACGGTGCGAGCGTCGTTCCAGATTGCGTCCTGAGCATTTTGGCTCTGACTAGCAGTCCTGACGAAGGTTTTGCATACTTCGAGTCCCCACTCCGCAACACGACGATGTTGTGCGATTTGACGGTACTCTTCTAATTCGAGGACCACACCTAATGGTTCTAGCAGTCTCAGCACGATTGCGGACTGTTCACGAGACTCTTGTTTCATTATATGCTCTAGCAAAATGTCAAGTGCAGTGGTGGAACTTTGTATCACAAGTTGTTAGTACGTGCATGGACTTGAAAAGAACTAAACGGACCTTTTGGTGACCTTCAAAATCGCATCCCGGTCGGTAAATTGACCAAGGAGCATTCTGCCAGCTATAAAGCAATTGGCAAGTACATTTTTTGGAGGAAGTGGGTTTACGAGAATTCTTGCGATGGCATCCAGGGCTCGCTCGTGCCAAAAGGAGGAGTAGCGCAGATCATTGAGGCGATGGAGGAGTGGATGTGACATCCAGCAAAGAAAAGCGTCCGGTATGTTGGGTTGATGAAGGCGTGTTGGAGAATCCCTATCCAAGACCACCTCGAAAACAAGATAGCAAATGAATGATATCTCTTGATCGCTGTGATGTACCCATATGAGCTTGCGGATGTCCTTTTCGCAGACAGCGACTGGGAATGGTGAGTCTTCAGAATTTAGGAAAGACTTTCTCTCTAAGTACAGGTGCAAGAATGCCTTTCCGCAAGCGATTGCACGTTCCCGTCTAGGTGGAACAAGCATCAGTTGCTCGTGGTGGGTATTTTCGAAACAACCGAGAAATGTGTCGAAAAGTTGCAGGAGAAGAGTGGATATGTCAAGCTCGGGTGGCCATTCCACCTCAGGAACAAAGCTCGCCGCAGTTGTGATGATATCGGGGTCGCTGGATGATTCGATGATCCACCTGATACACGGAGCATCTGTTTGCTGTGCGACGAAGACGGAAGGCGTGAGTTGTTGCGAGATAGTGTTCAGAGTGTAAATAATCTTGAACGGGATGTAAAGCACGAAACTTAAACAGACTTTGCTGAAATTCCGACGTTTCTGCAACGATGGATAGTAGCGGAGAACAGACCGACCCAAAGCACGAAGGGTAATTGATCCTGGTGTCTGGAAAGGGCAATCCGCAGGCCATGAGTGATGCCAAGACTATTGTTAGATAGAATGTGAAGCCAAGCGTTGTGGATGTGATGATGATGGTAGCAATTGTGGTTGACATTGTCCACATGCTAGCGGACAGTGCAACCCCAAAAAGGAGGAGAGAGATCTGCAAGAGCGAGGGCAAGAACTGCAACACAGCATCGAAATGCCAAGTCCGAAGACCATCAAGTTTCGTCTGCCTTTGTCGGCCCCGATCATCAATGGTACCACGGCTAGAGCGTTTGAAGTTGCTCAACCATTGCTTCCCTAGCACGGCTCCAAGGGCGGCAAGTAGGCTTGCGCAAAGACTGGCGTAAATCAACGACTGGACCCAGATTACTGAGGTACTAGGTCCCTGCCACGGCGCGTAGGGTAGATTGGACTGTGGGATGAAGGACGGGTTGGCAGCCTGGAGTAGCATTCCAAGCAACACATTTGTAGTGTTCATTGGATCAGGGCTGAGGTTCGCCTGCATGTTTACAATAAACGACGTATTGACGGCTGAAAACAGACCAGCCTGTGATTCAAGCTCAGATGATGAATCAAGGACAAAGAAAATGTTCTGACGAATATAAGGACGATATCCATGTCTGACTGATACTTCTCAAGAAACTCTCCGTCATGGTCCGTAGCTTCCCGTGTATAGGTGGCCCAGAAGCGGGTTTTGGCATCTATCCCGTCGCCCTGGGACTGTGATGGACGGGGACACTGCATGGTCTCTACAAATGGTTTCAAGTTCTGAGGAAGCTCTAGAGCCCTAAAGAATCCAATTGGATTGAGTCGACAAGCGGAACTATTTCAGAGGGACATACTCTGCGCCATTGCCATTTGCCGGTAATTGGACACCAACATTTTGACCCGGCATCTTGTCACGGTGGCAAGTGAGGCTATAGGTTGACCCTCTTGATTGGAATGGGGATTATGGGATCATATCAACATCTCGCTCTTATAGAAACACCAAAAGCGCTCAGTGTGCGAACGTTAACCTGTGAAACAAAAAGCAGGGCGGTTAATACTGACTGGAAAGGTCCTCATATGCAGAGCTGTGCCATATCATTCCCGATTAACGGCAGCAGTTGCCACTGTGGGACCTTGATAGAAGCGCCCGAATGATGTAACTGCACATCTTAACAGTCAAGCTTTACCAGTCGTTGTGCCACAGCCAATGCTAGAGAAGTAAACTGCGGTGAGCATCAACGCGAAAAAGGTATCGTGTACTCAAATATTTGAGAGAAACCCTTACACAGAAGACACACCAGGAACAACATGGATGACATAAAGATGTCTCACTGCCAATCGGTCACTGATGTGCCTGGGTGACTCTCCCTTGGGGCTCGAAGCAGAGCTGTGCGAGGCGATGGAACTGCCTTATACTATTTGACCTCGCATTGAGAATCAGATACATACAGATACACCGGCAAACAACATACATAAATCATTAAGTCAAGAGGAACAGGTACTAAAATACCCACTCAATCACAGGTAGGTCATGTAGTGACCAATGATACGACATCCTTGACTAGCGATATCACCACATTGTCCGCGGAACCTTGCTCCAAGTGGTACAGTGTCTGCATTACACGTGACTTGAACTCGTTTGTGACATCGACAAGTTCCGCATCACGTTTCAGCAACTGGATTGTGAACTTGGCAAATGGTTCGAGAGCTTCATGTATGACGCACTCAGACAACTCGAGTGGCTTAAGAGAACGAAGAGCGACGAATGCCCAAGCCTTGTGTACAAGAAGGCCACAAAGATCGTTCGGGATGAGGTTGCCGTGTTCTCCCTTTAGTCGTGCCATGATTGCAATGATGTATAAGGCGAGATGTTCTGTGAGAGGGTAGATTTCAAAGTAACGAAGGTTGTTCGCGATCAATAGGCATGCCTCGAGGTGTCCACTATCATAAAGGTGATGGGACCATAGCTCACTTTGAGTCCACGAGAACAATATGTGCAAATAACGAAGGTTCTGCTTGCCACACATACTGGAGTGTTCAGAAAGAATGCCATCCTCGCCCTGACCAAAGGATAGACTGTCAGCAGCAACGCCAGAAAGCGCTGCCGAAAATTGAGCACAGAGATCTGGGGAGAGACAATCGGTGTCCAACAGGGCAAGATAGTTCCTTGATGAATACGCAGCGCGAAGCGCAGCCTTGCGAAGCTGTGGAGGCTTATCCGGTGCCATTGCAAAAATCATCGCATTAATATAGGTCGGCATCTTCTCCCTGCATGCAATGTCGATGTTCATTTCGCTCATCGTGAAGAATGCGTCAGTGAGCGCTGACTGATGAGAGATCGAATGATGATGCATGATATAATCGAGGAGCCAGCCGCAACCAGCATTCCTGGTCGTGCGGGGACGAGAAATCTCTTCCTTACAGGCAATCCGATCATCGGTCGGGTCGCTATCGCCACTCCCAGCAGTGATGACGCTGAAATGCAGCGCGTCGCGAGCAGCCACCCAGGCCTTATCGCGTGCTTCTGGTCTACAGAGTTCCGGATGATGAAGTACTGTGTTGACAAAGCTTTGACACAGTCGAACACCCCAGTCGGGCATTCCCAAATCGTACGCCACCTGGCGAAACTGCTCAACTTCTAAAACAGCCGCCAAAGGTCGTAGAAGTTTAAGGGCGTAAACAGACGAGCGCTCGCGTAGCTCTAGATGGATGTCGATACCAATGGCTTGCTGCATACTCTCGAGGACAGATACAAGCAGTGTTTTGACCGATGACCTGCACAACTATGGGTCACTTACAAGCTTCACATGACATCAAAAAGCTTCTTACCCCTTGTTTGTGCTGGTTAGTTGATTTGGATCAACGGATTGATCCAGAAGCAAACCCGCTGCCATAAGGCAGTTTGCTAAGACATTCGTTGGAGGTAATGGCGACACAAGCAGCCTTTCTACTACGTCCAATGCACGCCGTCTCCAAAACCTTGCATACCGATCTGCGCTGAGACAATGAAGTAGGGGATGAGACATCCACATCAGAAAGGTATCCGGAATTTTCGGGTTTCCAAGCGAAATGGGTATGCTGACGCCAACATCCAGCACTATCTCGAGAATAAGGTCAAAGATGAAAGAGAGTTCTGGGTCATTTTGACGAGTCCACATTAGCCAATGGGCATCATGCAGACGAGAGGAGCTGGTAAGTGCGAATTCTGGATCATGAACGGCACGCAGAAAGACGGGCCTGGCATCCATCGACCGCCTTTCGATGTAGAGATGCAAGAAGGCCTTTCCACATGCAATCGCACAATCGCGGCCAAAATCGGAGAGTTTCGGTTGGCCGTACTGTGTGTTCTCAAAGCAATCTAGGAAAGTGTCTCGCAGCCTAAGCGAGGCACAAGATACATCCAAATCTGGTGGCCACTCGACCTCAGGAACCAGGCTGGCGGCAGTGGTAATAACATTTGGGTCATCGGAGGTCTCAAGCAGCCATCGGATACAAGGGGCGTCCGTATTTTCGATTGCGTATTGTGAGGAAAGCCGGTGAGAAATGTATGATGCGAATGAGTGGAGTAAAGTTATTGTGATATAGGGAATATAACTGACGAAGCGCAAGAGTGATGAAGGGATAGTCCGATTTCCCTTCTGAAGAACGTTGTGGAAGCGGACAACGTGCTGACCGATGCTGCGAAGTCGATTAGATGCCGGTGTTTGAAATGGACACACATCAGATATCAATGCGGCGACAACAATTAGCGCATAGAAAACGGCCCCAAATGACGTTGTACCAATGACAATGCAGGCGACAATATGTTGTTCTGTCCATAGATTTGCACCAAGCGCAACTCCAAATAACAACAAAGACAGCTGCAACAGGACGGGAAGACCTTCCAGAATAGCGTTGAAATGCCACGCATATAAAGCATCAAGCTTCCGTTGCCGTTGCCTTCCACGACCATCAACCGTTCCGTGATCAAAGTGTTAGAAATGATTGAGCCATTGCTTGCCCAGCATTGCTCCCAGTGCTGCAAGAAGGCTCGCGGATAGACTTGCATATATGAGCGACTGAACCCATATTTCGGTGGAGCTAGGACCAGTCCAGGGTGGTGTGTCGAAATCGTTGCCTGGGAATGTTGAATTGTCAATTATATGAATTAGCTTCTTGAAAAGCATGTTGGTCTCTGTGGTTGGATCGGGAGCTAAATTTTGCTGCATATTGACAATGAAGGATGTAGTGACAGCTGAAAAAAGACCAGCCTATAACAATAGGTATGCGGGTCGAGTGAATGAATAGGAAAAGAGGTTGTGCTAAGGTAAAAGACGCACGAATATTAGAACGATATCCATGTCGCTTTTGTACTTGTCGAGAATTTGTCCATCATGCTCAGCTGCTTCATGCATGTACGTCGCCCAAAAGCGACTTTTTGTCTCTTGACTGGCCCATTGTGATCTAATAGGCTCGCGTGGAGTCTCATCAGCACGGTTGAATAACGTTGACCTATGTACCGATGAGGATCAGCAATCAAATGTATGATAACTAAGTTAGAAACATACTGACACTGGCATAGGCGCACCGTCTGGGTCAGAAACTAAACCTTTTTTTTGGCAGCTTTATATATGGAAATCTTTCACTCACCAATCGTAGTATCGCAGTCTGGATATCAATAGAATGCTGTAGATAAACTCGAGGCAGTACCAGTGTCACGTTATTCACTGATGGGTTAGTTTCGCTTACTAATACCTTTAGGACCTACACCAAGAACCTCCAAGTGCTCCACAAGATCAAGCATTGTGGTGCAAACTCCACGGCCACCTGCGTGATACCGATAGTGATGTCATACTCATAATGCATTTTAATAGCTGCGAGTATGCTGTGGAGCTGCACGTCCCTTGCTCTGCATCAATTCGCACTTTAAACCAATGTCCTACCCTTATTACCAGTCAACTCTAGATGGATGGGGAAGTAACCAAGTAAGTCGGTTGCCTGAGCACTGGGGATATTATTGACCAAGAGAACAGCTACAATTTGGCCGTCCTCCCCCGATTCAGTTTCAACCACAGCCTTCTTGTAAGTAACTACGTCGTGTACCGATATCTTTTTCGTAGGAACTCAGTGGTCGAGCGTAGGGGGTGGATATGATTATTTCAGAGCCCACGCACCACATATGGATCCGTAAGAGCAACCCCATCTCGTTTCATAGCATGATCGCTCATACTATGTCTCAGTGCGATCTTCAATCAGGTCTATGGTAAAATCTTTAGTGCAGATACGGCTCCCGTGGGTGTAGGTATCAATGAGGCTCGCATATGGCACCGACGTGGATATGGTGGTATTGTGAGGCATATTTTCTATCGAGTCCGGTAATATTGAACGAGATAAATGTATCACCAGTGTGCAATCAATGCGCTGACTCCCCAGGAAATCGGATATGCCTCAGCATACGAAGCATACCGATTCTGGATCCATAATATCGCGCTTTATGAGCTTTTCGGCGCAGAAATTGAGCGCCAGAGAGAATCATTCACAGGACTTGCCATTGCAGAAGGTACCAACTCTAGCTAGTATTTACTTCCTCACGACTCACACTATTTGTCATCCAGCCATCAAGATGTACATGATCTCAAGCCCGGCTGATGTGGACGGTTGTATACCAGCCTGCGAAGCCGCAGCAGTGACTGCATTGCATATATTCGATGAAGTTAGTATTCCTATATTTGATCACCTGGACAGCTATTCCATGGGCTGTTGACTGATCGCACCGATACTGATGCAATGCTATCATAGAACTTGTCGAGTTTCGCCGGAGGGGATATGAGTGCTGGGACGGGGTACGATACCGGAATGGATGTTGGCACATATGGTTCGGGATTCGGAACGCCCGGGATGGCAGGTTCTGGCATGGCTAGTGTAATCGACCCACATGCCATTGACTATGAAGCACCATATTTCCGCCAGAGGACTGGGAGACACAGGCGGCTCTCGATGCCAGCCCCATATGGCGCTACAGGAGTATATACTAATAGCCCCAGAGCAGGATCGGTTATAGGTGGGATTGGGGGCTCGCCTTACTTGGGTACTTCACCTGGCATGGGCATGGGGGCGAACCCTGCAATTTATGGTGGTGGGAGCCCCCCAGTTGGCGGAAATGGAATGGGACTTTCAAGGATGCACGGAAGTGTTTACCCTGCATATGGTGCTGGGTCTTCTGTATATGGAGGCGCATCTCCGGTACATGCGCCACCCATTTACCGCGCGCCTTCGCCATACAACAACACCCCAAACGTCACAACGGTATCCGCCTATCCAGGCACGACGACTGTTATTCAGTTACCCCGAAGACACCACCGGTCATCTAGTAGACATCATAAACACCATAGCAGGCGCGCGCGGAGTGCCGAGCCCGATATGATTACATACACCAACACGATGGGCAGTCCTAATGTTAGGGGTGCAGCCGTTGGTGCCGCGAGGGCAGTAGGCGGCGCCGTGGGCGGAATCGCTGGAGGAGCAGCAGGCTTTGTTGGAGGCGCAGTAGGAGGGCTAGCACGAGGTGCGGTGGGCGGATTTACAAGAGGTTCTTCAATCGGCGCGTCTGGTCCCATGAGGGGTGGTGTGGGTGGTTCCTATGGCAGTCCCAACAAGGGCTACGGTTACCCGGGACACAAAAGCATATATCGATACTAACACGCATCAGGCTATGGTATTGTACATACTGTAACATTCACGATAGTGTATATACTTGGAATCAATATATCTCGATACATGGCACTTAACCACGACATCTGTTTTCGTTCATTTACGAAAATACACATCGTCCGACCAACTGGACCACTTCTCAGCAGCTTCAAGCAATAATTCCCCCTTCTGTCTCGCAGATTCCAAGGCGACCCTATGCAAAGGGAGGCGTACTGGGGGTTCATCCAAACGAGACAACCTGTAGGCCACTTCTGCAAACTTGGCTGGATCGCCATCAAAATGTGTCTGCTCGATATCAGGATAGAGAGCTCGGTATTTGCGCGTAGGGAGAGATGCATTGGATGTATAAGCAGGGTGAACGGGTTCTGTCACACGGCTTTGGATCACCGACGTACGAAACAGCCCTGGCTCAATGAGAGTGATCTATGTCGAGATGAATTACTTTCCAATACCAAAAAATACAAGCGTGCGACCTACTTTGATGTTCCACTCTGGATCAAGTTCGCTGATATACCCTTCCGACAAACACTCCAAAGCTAATGATGCCCAGTTGGACTTCAAAGGTACAAGATGAAATTGAGAGCCTGCCTACCAGCTTTGCTATCATTTGAATGTCAGCCTACAAAGTAAACTGTGCAGAATATGCGAACTCACGCCGAAGCATAATGTACAGTGCCAGGCTGTGGAATAATGGCTGTCCGGGAAGAAACGTTTAATAATCGCCCGCCCATTGGACGATTCACGTCCCTGAAGCATCGTATGGCTTCACGCATGACATTTTCTGCACCCCAGAGCAGCACGTCGAACATCTCTCGTGCCGCCCTGTGAGACATCCCTTCAGCTTCTGATACCATATAGTATCCTGCATTGTTCAGCACGATGTCAATACGATTAAAGCGCGAGATGGCCTCATTGAATGCCGCGGCAATCGAGGGCGTATCTGTTACATCGAGCGGGAAAGTAACGAGGCGGGAGGAGGGATATTTAGCAGTGAGGTCTTCCAACATCGAGGGTTTGCGCAAGGTGGCAAGTACGTTGTCTCCCTTGCTTAAAGCATATTCAGCAACCTCTCGTCCTAGACCAGTCGATGCGCCAGTGACTGAATGCAGAGGAAGTGGTTAGCTTCGTTTCCTAGTCAGCAGTAGAAACAAATTGACTGAACCAAACTTTCGGGGAGGTCATTGCTGAATATTGTCTGGCGACGTATCCCCAAGTTCTGGGAGCGCTTGGGATCAATCTGCGGAAGACACTCATGGGGATCACAAAAACTGAGCCTTATTAAGAAGGGATAAACCAGGCTATCACCGATAGACCTCTAGTGGATATCGGTCACGAAGTCATGAGAACATCAACTTCAGATGGTAAAATTGGACAAAGGGTGCTCAATCCCAAAATATCGTTGTCGTGGGACCCGAGGCTCTAGTCTGCTCTAGTGTTGCCGCGAAGCGAATCGAATTGGAAATTGGATGCACTTCGGTAGACTTCGTTGTGGACGAAACGAAGTCTCAGTCACTTCACTTCGACGGCAACACTATCCCGAATACCGCTAACCCTGTCCCAAATGATAACGGTATTTTAGAATTGGGTAAGGACACATGCAAACTGTACATGTCGGAAATTAGCGCATTGAAGAAGTTTACAAAATTATGCTCGCCCCTGACTATTTTCCTCGTCAAGATATACATCATCTGACCAACAACCGTAATCTTCGACAGCTTGTAACAACTTCTGACCTTTGATCTTTGCCGCTTCCAAGGCCGTCCTGTGCAACGGGAGATAAAACGGGGGATCATCTAGTTGCACGAGCCTATACATCTGCAGTGCAAACTTGTAGATGTCTCCATCTGAAAAACGCTCAGCTCCTGGATATATGTTGCGATACTGTCTAGAAGGTAAATTTGGATCAGAGTATGCAGGATGGATTGGCACGAGAACATTGGTCCAGGGTGCGGCAGTACGGAAACGAGCAGGTTGGAGGACAGTGATCTGTGGATGATGAATTCGAGTTTGAAATCAGTGCCATGCGTAGGACTCACCTTGATATTCCATGCTGGATCCAATTCAGTAGCATACCCTTCTGAAAGAGATTCAAGAGCTATTTGCGACTAAATTTTTCAAATCAAGGATAAGTGAACTGTATATACCTGCTTTACTATGCAAATGTCAGCCAAAACGATGAGCGAGAAGGCGTCACGTACGCTGCGGCGTAGTGCGCTACTCCTGGAACAACTCGCAGGACTGCGCGAGACGACATTTGCAAGAGACGTCCCCCACGGGGTTGATTGAAATCTCTAAACGTTGTCACGGCTTCTTTCGTGACATTTGCGGCACCCCAAAACAATGTATCGAACAGGAGCTTTGCGTCGTCATCAGGCATTCCTTCCGCTTCACCGATCATGCATAATCCCGCATTGTTGAAAATAACGTCGATGCGGCCAAATGTCTCACGCGCTTTGAGAAAAGCGGTAGTGATATCAGAAGGAACTGTGACGTCCAGAGGCAAGACAAGAAGCCGATTCTTTGAGTATAAATTCGCGAGGTCATCTAGCATAGCAGGTTTCCGCAGAGTCGCAACAACATTGTCTCCTTTTCGAAGCATGACTTCGGTAACTGCTCGACCAAAACCCGAAGATGCCCCAGTCACTAGTAACGACGATTAGCATTTTGAGGCTATCGAAATATTCCTCGCTTACCAAACCACACCTTCGAATTTGAAGATGCCATAGTGGAAATAAACCGTCTTGAGAAAGAATAGTAGGCCAGCTTGTGATTCCCTGAAGTTGATGACTGCTGAACACACTATCAAAGCTTTGGCTTTGACTACAATACGCATCAATTTAATCTCGACCCGTGGGGTCGCAAGAATGACAATCCTGGGAATCATGTGGTGGGAATGTTCTAAGACTTGGGCCTTGCATGATAGAGGAACGCGCGGGAGTCCGTGCTGTCATCTGGGAATAATGCTCACCTCAGAAGCTACCGAAGTAGCAAGAAATGGCGGTCCGGAGAACCCTATCATGTAGACTTGACAGCAGTACGTAGGACACCACCAAGCTCCCTGACACGGAAAACACGTCACGTCGCACACTCTAGTACTTAACTAGGGATTTAAGTTTGAGTGAGATCCAACTTGAACGAACGAACACATTACTTACGATGTGGCCGACTCGTGACATAGATTCCATAAGTGCTCGTTTGAGAAGCCAATGCCGACGTTCTTTGTGCAGCCCGCACAGCCAACTGCATTGTCAGATAGATATGAAGTGGAGCTACCTGGTTATGAACTGTGGGCAACCATGGTGCGTATTATGCATTTTCCTGTACATCCCCGAACTTGAATCCTATTTAGATTGAGAACGTTCACATTCTTGTGGGTTCGCTGGATATAAAGGAATTCAGTGCTGCGCTCTCCAGGACTTTGCAACTGTGGCCTCATACTGCTGGAAGGTTGACAGACGATGGCGGGAAATACAAGGTAAGTTCAACTCTGTACCAAAATTTAGACCAAAATTTATGAGCTTACAAGATTTACCTCACAAATGATGGAGTCCCAGTTGAATTCGAAGAGCGCCCTCATGAATCAACGTCTTCGGTTGTCCTTGATTATCACGTAATTCAGAACGACCTCTCGGGCTTGCTGAACTCCCCTCATCAGCGCAGTGCGCTCGACTTCAAAGTCCCTCTTTTGAGACTTAAAATCGTCTCCTTTCGCAATGAAACCACACTCGGCATCTCTTGGAACCATACATTGGGTAGGCTGTTATCTGCGAGAAGTAATTTTCACGCGTTTCATACCTTATAGGTGATGCCACTATGTTCTTCCGCTTCACTCATGCACTTTCCCAATTTTACCAAGGCTTACACCTCGTCTATCCACCGCCTACGTTCGAGAAGCACGTTTTCCCTGAGCCTGAGGAGTGTACCATTGAAGAACTACGCCCATTAATGTACTACTTCCACGAACTTTGTAGCAAGGAAGAGCTTCGCAAGAAGTACTCAGAGAGAGTACACACCTCAGAACGGGTCAATTGGTTCTTTGCGAGGCAGGGATTGGAGACACTCTGTAACTCTTTGCGTCAAAGATCACCTTCAGCAGTAAGCCGGCTGTCAATCCATGACAGTCTCTCCGCATACATCGTCACCGTTATGAACCGTATTCTGCCTAATCAAATACGCAAGATCAAAGTCACTGACAGCGTTTGCTAGTGTTCTGTCGTTCCGCTTACAGACCCCGCTGACACAGTCATTTTAGTATCGCTTCTCTGGAGCAAGCTTCGCATGTCCTGATGTTGCTGGCAATGCGGTAATCGACGTATGTTAGGCACATGGATCTTCGTTACTTGCTGATCTCTCTGTAGGTTTTGACAGCACTGCCAGAGAACCCGACAGATATCACAGGTATCGCCACAAGCATCCGCGAGACCCTCACGCACTATCGACAACACGAAGTCATTTCAACATGGATGTCCGCAGCTAGTCACCTGATGCTCGCAGCTGCAAAGGCAGGGAAATCATTTTACTACCCTCCTTCTACCGAAATTATGCCCGTGAATTCTATGGCAACGTGCGTTATCCGTTGCCTTTCATGTCTTGATTTCGACTCACGTACTCATTAGCATCGACTGGTGTTCAGCACACTTTGGTCAACCAGAGTCGCATAGACATCACATGAGTGGGCATGGCTTGCTTTATCTGCGCGTTTTTGGCGCCAATCCATGGCGCGGAGATGATGGATCGTGGCGTGCTCCAGAGGGAAGAATTGACATATCCATCGGAGTTCCTCGGGGATGCAGGCAAAAGGTGCTGGACATTCTGGCGCAAGGACTCGATAGTATCAGGACAGATGGTTGAACGACATGTATTTCAATCCCCGCAGAAGCCCTTGCTCGTCATCTGAAGCCTTAATTTCGTATTGAAAATCATTCAATTGCAAAACTGATGCGGTTTTGACATAGTCTTTTAATGTTGACTGTTTGTGTTCTGAATGGGTGCGCAGCAAACCCAGAACAGAAAGCGAGTCCGCCATCCGGCACGTCTTCTGGTGGTGTCAGGATACGAGGTTTTTCCAGTTGCCACGGGAGTCTCGGTGACTGTCGTGGATGCCGTGACAGCGGCAGGTGGTTGCTGTAATAATATCAGATTGCTCTGGGTCGCTCCGTTGTGTTGCTGCATGGTATGAGGATTTGGAGCTTGAGAGGAACTAGCAGCTCGTTTTCTTCTTGCGTGATAATTCCTCTATTTCAAAGAGTGTAATAGTAGTAAAGAAATTGTAAGAAAAAAGACACGTTTGCCTGCTGTCAGCGGAACATTGACTGTTGGCACGCGCAACCGAATGCCTGATCCATTCCCCCTGCGTCTTGACGTACCCGGAAGTTGGGCCATCTGCAAAGGTTACGAACACCATGAAGGCTACTTCACGCACCAGTACACCCCTGATCAGACATGTCAGAAGGCTAAAAAGTAAGGGTACCGTCAGTCCAGGGGGGATGCCGATGACGAAAGACATACTAGAGTCTCGGAAGCTCGTCGTTAGCGAAGATTGTTCCTCCAATTTCCTTCTGCTCCAATGCAATCCAAGCATTTAATAGCGCCCGTCTGATGTAGGCCTTCCCCTGACCTCTCGTCTTGTGGTAGTTCTGGGATAAACTTCGCTGATATCCGTCCGAGACTCCACGTCGACGTTAGGAGATACTCCACAAGGTGACGGCGAATTTCCTTCTCAATAACTTCATCAGTTGGGTTTTCTAGAAGTGAATTGACAGCAAAGTTCTGGAGGACATGAGGGCATACAAGGATATTTTGTCGTACCTCTGAAGGTAGTTCGAGGAAGGCTTCGTGATTAGCACTGAGGGCACCATGATGATACTGAACGAGAAATGTCGGGGAAGATGGGTTCGTGATCACGATATCGATTGATATAGTCGCTTCTCGTATTTTGTGTTTCTATTTGCCCCAAAGCTGATATTCCACATGAAGAACACCTAGAAAAAAGTACTAGTTGGGCCTTCATCGACACGACAGCCCGGACTTTAGTTGGCCATCCCGATCAATCTTAGGAGTGTCGTGTCGATGAAAGTCCATCTCAGCACCATCCGCTCGCTTTCACGCACACCGTGGCCGGTGGTACAAAAGGAGTCATTGTACTGTTGATATTTATGCACTCCTCGAGAGGATGGACTGCAAGGAAGCGATTCCCTTATTGGTGAAAGACGACAAACCTTCACCCGTGGCAAGGCACAGTATCAATACACAGATTAATCAACACCGAAGACATACATCAGTTATATCAGCTAAGTTGCCCTTCTGCGCAAATCAGCAACGGCTTCAACGGGTTTTATTCCTACCATCTTCTCGACCGCAGCCTAAAACCATTAATTTGAAATTGCTTCAACCGGATAGCTCCCACTAACCTGAGCCTGATCCCAGTCTAACGCTTCGTCATCGTCATCTTCCTCAACTGGCCTGATAATGTCTTCGTTCCCAGCTCCAAGACCCCATCCACCCCCACGCTGGTGATACGGCTTCGCCAGCCCTTTATCGATCCCCCCAATTTTCGGAGTCTCTCCACCCTCTTCTTCTTCCTCCCGCTCATCTGTCGGTACGGGCATCGTTGCCCACCCGCCAACAATCCCAAGTACACTCGCCGCTCCGGAGGAGCCAATTCGCCCACGTCGATCACGTGGGCGCCCAGCTGACAGGAAACTGGGTGTGGCCGCCCGAGGTGCGAGACCGTGTCCATGCGAAAGCCGCTGTGGATTCGAGACTAGCCGGAGTAGAGATTCTATTGCTGCCTCGCCTGCCGAAGGCTGGATAATAGGTGTGTGTAGTGAAAGGGGTGGAGAGGGGGAACGGACACGCCGCTCAGATGTAAGGACCAGTAACCTAGCGAAGGCGTCACGAGGAATTAGATTTAAAATTTAATAGGGCACACACATCTGCTGCAATCTCGGTTGACGGAATGGACTTAGCCGTGCAAGCATGTCTTTCCCAAAAGGAGGGGACAGCAGGTCTTGTAGACGGCTATGGATGGGAAGCACGACACGATCGCGGAACGCACATAAGGCAACACTGCGAACGTCAATGGTCGGATATAACGAAGATAGCGCTGATGAGCCACTTAGTTTACTGCCTTGTCGCGTGGGCGAAGATGACCGGTGTTGTTTTTGCGTACGATGTAGCGAGGTCAGTAAAGAATCTGTTTGCAATGGTAATAGGACCTAAAATATGACCTTAGAGCAGAAACATGAGCCGTTCTTAGGAAAGACAACTAACCCCCTCGATATACGGGAGTATTTGGTCCCAGAAAAAGGCCCAGATCTCAATGACACGGCCCAGTAATATTTCGTCTGAAATATTAGAGAGCTTGGCGTTGAGAGTGACCATGCCTGCTGCGATGAGCTCGCGCGCGTCCGTTTCGAGAGTTGCCAGGGTTTTTGAAGGGAGACACAGCTAGCACCGTTTGAATATGCCGCCGTACAAGGGCGTTAAGATCTTCTCTGTGTATACTTAAACTCTACAGAACAGATGATCGTGCAACAAACATACATGGGTACACGTAATGGCTCCTCGTTGAATAGAGGGAGGACATGCACATGTAGTGTGCGCCAGGGATTGTCCTTGTCTGTTATACCCACGCTTGACGCGCTGGAATGAAGTGTAGGAGTACTTGCAATACCACTGCTGGATGGCGAGGTTGATGGTGTGAGTGTAAGAGGGGGTGCAACAGGACCTGTGGATAGAGAGGGGGCAATACTGGGATTAAGACCTGCGAGAGTCCCGAGGCGGTGCATTTCTCGTGAAACAAGCTTCGCATCGTAAGTCCGAGTAGAGGAGGGCTAAGGTAGCGGACATCAAATATTAGATTGCGTGATAAATGGGAGGCATACTTTCGAGGGAGATGTATGTGATTTGAGGGTATTCGAAGATGCGACAGAAGCCATTATCGATGACTGGAAGGTTGCAGCTTCAGCGCAAGGATGAGAATGCGACCGGTCGCCGTGCTTGAGGTGCTGCGAAGGAGATGGGCTTGTATTCCTGGGGTTGCTAATACTGTTCGACGCAGTAAAGAAGCCCAGTCGTCTTGATGATTGTTGCTGAGGCGCAGCAAGGAACGGATCGGAGCTAAGGGTATTAATGTTCAGATTGGGACGCGCATGCGGTGCAGAACCATTAAAATCAGGGTAATTATCAGCATCAAGTAATGCTTCATGCTGCTGCCGGCGGCGATCATGCTCATGGTGAAAAGTGGGCAGGGCTAAGAAGGGACCCGAGCGGAAAACGGATGGTTTTGGACGCGGTGTTGCACCACTAGAGGATGCAGACCTGTGGTGATTACTATGGCTGCGCCTTCGACGACTGCTATCGCTCTGCTCGTCATCGCCGTCATCAACGCCAAAAATCGGTGACGGCGGGGTCGGGGGCCCACTGTCATATGATCGCCTAGCGCGGCCGAGCAGCATTTTAGAAGCAGATAGTACTTGACTCTGGGGTGCAATTGAAGAGGGAACATATTGATGGACGGACCTTATGATTCAAATAGGCACACTAACAACTGTGGGATCGTTGACGACGATTATAGTTCCTGCTCGCGGGACACGGTGGCTGTGCAACTAAGTGAACCCTGGTTATGAGGGAGACGCTTAGTCAGCGCGATTTGCGGCACGGCGGCCCGCTCAGTAGTGTACATGCAACGTTCTATTATTATGTAAGGAAATCCGGTAAGAAGGAAATATTTATACTGACGCACACATCACGTGAACGTGATATCATACCGACGTCAGTCCATGAAGCCCGCCGCATATAAAGTATCCCCTAGGGGGATGTCATCTGCAATTCAGTTCCCTGATTTCTTTAACAAACACAATAATGTCTGGTACGTCTTTTCGTATCTTAAGCCGTCTCCTTACGATACTCACGGGTTGGTCGTGTCTCAGGAACCACAGAACACACCAAAGACACAGCGCGCGTTGTTGCTGGCCTGAAAGCGGCCGTCCATAACCCTAATGTATCGGGTGAGGCCAAGGAGAACGCCCTGAAACGCCTTGAAGAGATGGGTCAGTCAGTAGACCCCATAATGCCAGCGCAGGCAAAGGCTACTCAGTCGGCAGCGGCTGAGGCACACGAGAAGAATGTTCTTCGGGGCTATAAGGCAGCAGCTTCCAGTAGGTCTGTTGCTTGCAAGGGCGCACCGTCCTGCTGATTCACGCAGATCCAAATGTTTCCGAGGAAGCCAAGCAACACGCCAGAGAAGTGTTGGAGGCTGCTGGTATCCAGCACAAGCTTGACACACATTCAGAAGAGGAACACCAGCATCGTGTTCTTGCTGGATACAAGGCGGCCATCCATAGTAAGATCCGTTCCCGTACTACAAAGCACCTTCTAATCGTGTTTGTCTTCAGATCCAAACGTTTCAGCTGCGGCCAAGCAGCACGCCAGAGAGTATCTCGCAGATAGTGGGGTCACCAATCTGGATTAATCGAAAAGAAGCTGTATAAGATGATTGTATTTTACTCGCATTCACTGTCATCGAATTAATGGTATCATTATAATTGCCTGCTGCTACTTACTTTGAGAGTTCCTCGAGCCGAGTCAAAACTCTATCTACTCTGTCCTCCAGACCTTGCACATTTCCTGCGACTGTCCCCTTGTTAGCTTCTAAGCTGACCTCCACGTCTCCGACCGCAATTTTGAGAGCTCCAGAGCGTCCCTTGTCTTATGCTGCTCTTCCTCGAGAGCCACCATCGTGGCTTGAAATTCACCCGCAGATGCATGCAGCGCAGAGAGGGTACGCAAACGAGTTAATATATGTGGGATGTGAGGAAGTGAAGGAGCCAGACGTGTTAAAAGGGGAAGGAGTGCATCCTGGGTTGCAGTGCCAGGAATTATTGTTGTACTCCCAGGCGATTGGCGCTTTTGCGCCTGCGCGGTAGAAACTCGCTCAAGGTCGGACAGCAGCAGTTTCAATCGACGGGAAATGGAGTCGATATGCCGCGGTTGAGTCAATAGCATCAGTTGTGAGTTCAAGCGCGTGAGCATAGGAAGGAGGGGTGGAGTAATCGGCGTGGACTGAAAACTGCTTAGCGCCCTGCCCCTTAGCGTCGAGAAATACATGCCTCATCCAAAGTCGCGCCGACAGAGCCCACTAGTTTCTCTAGTTCCCCGACTCGTTTGTCCATTTCAGCGACGCCTCGAACTTCCGGTACTCCCTGTACTTTCGACTCCTTTGCCTTGACATCCGCACCGGGCTGCTCCACGTCTTCTTCACCATCCTCCTTGCCGCCATCGCCAAGCACAACATCAACTAATCTCCCTCTACCCTCACGCCCCATCCTGACTTTCTCTAACCGCCTGCGCACGTCTACTAATCCTCTTATCATCTCACCAGCATCAACACCCTCGGCTTTAAGCGCAGGATTAGACGGATCTGCAACCTCACCCTCCAAAGCAGCAAGCTCAGCTTGTAGTGCTCGTAAGCGCGCAGGGAGAGGTCGCCTACTCGGCGATGGCGAACGTGATGGAGAGGATGTCGGTGACGGGGGGTATGCAAAGCGTGATTCCTGGCCTGATGAGTGGTCAGATGTTAGCAACCAGATACAGGGTATACATGTTTAAGGAAATACAACGCACGACGTCGTTCAGCTCTTCGAAAGTGTCTGCTCGCATCTTCCGCGCTGATCAAGTTGCTGTTATCGAGCTCTTCTTTCGAGACATCTGTACCCCGCTGAGTGCGTACCCGCGGACCTGAGGGTTCGTCAGAATCCGAATCTCCTCTCTGACAGAGATCAGTTGTTCGTGGGTAATGTTCTATCGACACAAGGAGCACTGACGTTGGTATCAGATGAGGGAAACACGTCCTCCGTTTCATAGACATCTGGTGCAGTATCCTGTCACCAATAAATAAGTAGAGATACCATAGGAGTAGTGGCAATAATACGCACGATGTCGGGAAGGTTTGCGTATTTGTTCGCGCTCATCGTGAACGTTTAAACATTCACACTATGTGCAGACTCGCGGTAAGTAGAATAACTGGTTGCGTCCATGTTAAACCCCGTGGGAACCCTCGATTGCAAAATGTACCAAAAAAGCGTCACCTGAGCGATTCGAACACTCGCGGGCAAAGCCCAACCGCTTAGCTGTGTATAGCAGGCGATCCCGTTAACCACTCCGGCAAAGTGACTTGTTGACTTGCGAGGATAAAGTATACACAATCACATGGGTTATCTCAACGACTGTTCTCGAGTTCCACAAGATCTTGTTCTTCCAGATTGTACGACGAGATTGGACGATTCGCGAATTCTAAATTCACTAGTGTCTACCTTCCCAGTGTCCTAATTATCAACCAGTCCCACATGAACGCGTCTGTACAGAGATGTACGTTGCCAAGTCTCATCAAACCAGCGATGAATGTACGCTCAGGTACAGGTTGTTTGCCCAGCTTAGAGTTCAGTAAGTTGTTCGTCAAAGAAAATCGCTGTGAGCGGTACACCATCAGGACGAATAACGCCGCGATACATGCCACTGCAGTTCAGTGGAAGAGCCACTAGTACACCCAGAGTTTTGAGTCAGTGTGAAGTTTTACAAGAGAGCATAAACGTACCGTTTCCGTCTCTGTCCAGTGCAATGACACCACCTATTCCTCCTTCCTTGAACAGGTCATCAATGACATTCTGGGATGCCTCGCCCAGGGACTCGCCAAGGTATTGCATCCGCCGAGCAATGTTGGAAGCTGCAGCACGGCGAATGTAATACTAAAGTGTATGGTTAGCACTTGCAAGCTGAACATCTGCTTGACTGATTCTCACGTCTCCGTCACCAGTACCAGAAACGCCTACACCCTGATATTTTGATTTGCCTCTTAGGCGATCCCAGGTACGCTTCACAAGCCCACCATCCCTCTCCCATTCTTCAGCCCAAAAACCACATCCCATTACGGGGGTATCTCCAACTCGACCGACAAGCTTGTTCGTACGTCCTCCAGTGGAGGTTACTGCCGCAATGCAGCCCCGGATATCAAGTGCGACCGCACCAACAGTACCCGTTGGCATCAAATCAAGAGGCTCCCAGGTCTCTTTGTCTTTGTCGTCAGAAAGGCTGGCGACATCCGTAGTCTCTGAATTTGTGTCATCGGGTATTTCAGGTCTGGGGTATTCAACGGGATCTTCGGGTAATCCAAGACCACGTCGGTGTTCTCTCCATCGTGCCTCAGTCCAGAAGTAGGATGGATCGGCCTGACGTACGCCAAGTGAAGCACCTGTAGCTTCTGCTGCTGCACCCGACAACATTGGATGAGGGGCAAGCTGGGGTGCGAGGTAGAGCGCAGCGATGCGAGGTGAGAAGGATTTCTAGTGTGAGTGATTAACGTAACCGAGGATCCGCGCCGAGAGGAGGGCATTGCAGGGTGTGATGCAGGAGGCTTGGAGACCATCAAAGAAGTCTCGAGCTCATTCTAGATAGCATGATATACACGAGGGTCCTTAATCATAGGTAAGGAAGCGTACCTTGCCTGCAACATTAAAAACTGCGCCATGCCCAGAGTTAAACAATGGGCAGTCTATAAATCACATACAGAAGTTAGCCATCGACTGCCCGAATACTTGTTTATCCCACCTTCCATGACTGATACAGCCTCGACCGCAGCATCCATAGCCTCTCCTCCGCTCTTGAGCACCTCGTAGCCCGCCTTTCAATGCCCGTGAGAGTGCAGCCCTGTACGTAGCACGTTGTTCAGGTGTTGAGCCCTCCCGTATCATGGTACCAGCACCGCCGTGGATGACAAGCACATAGTTGGGCTCCGCAGACTTCTTGCCGGGCTTGAGCGTAAGGTTCGCGTTCTTCGAGGCGGGCATTGTAAGGAACTTGCTAGTACAAGGAGATGATCCAGCAGGTAAACCGAAAACGGGAACGGCCTATGCTTCCCTGGGAAGCAGGGTTGCCCACACAAAGATAAGACAGATACGTACGCACTATGACATTGATACAATGATAGAACGAATTCAGACATTGGCGACGCAATTATCACGCGTCCATGCTGTTTGACACGATCTAAGATCTGATTTGAGCGGAGTTTAAAGCGCTTGTGCACGCGGCATGACCACTTTGAAGTTCGACTTACGCATGATCAAGATGCGTTACTATCAGCTGAAGTACCATATGTTGTTAGCTCGTTGCCAACTTGCTCATCTGTCGTGGACTAATAAACGTGGGCCGTCCTCGACGCTGCAACTCTCCAGGCGGGCGTGTGTAATAATCTCATGTGTAAACTCTCTGCCAGACCAGAACGGGATTTGGAAATTCTCGTGAGTGTTGCGATTGATCGTTCGCATTGGACAGCCGTTCAGCACAGCAGCGTGCTGCGTGGGAGAAGACACGAGGATCACGTCGGATCACAGTGTCATTTTGCAATCCAAAGACGTGGCTTCTGTCTATATTATAGACGTCAGGAACCTTGGGGTATTGTAGTTGTATGTGTTTTTCCAAAGACCAGAGATCTCTGAGCAGTCGTCATTTGCACATCGAGGACCTATATGCATACCCGGGTCCTCTAATTTCCTTCAAGCAGACGCCGGAGGCCAACTATTCATCACGCACTCTGGCTGGCTCTTTGTCCAGCACCGTTAATACCCTTTCATCCTCCCTCGCACACACCCCTAGCGTCACTCATTTATGCCTCCTCTTTGTGACGTTCCACAAACAGCAGTACACAAACCAATGCCGGAATGACAGGCGCATAGCAAGGTGGGCTCTACTATCCTATTGTTGGGTTTGGGCGCTAGGTTGACGTTCTTCGAGGCAGGCATCACAAGCAACGGAAATCCTGCAAGTAAGCCGAAAACAATAAGGGGGGTCTACTCCTCCCAAGCCTGGCCGTCTCGTTGCTAATCCCATGAGATACGTGCACATGCGCCTGTTGTAGGCACACTGATGTGTCAGGGAGTTGGCAACAGATATAATTACACTCAGGCAATCGCGCGGCGGCATCGATGCGTACTGTTTGGCATAATGTCCTTACATATCACCGGGTGGTCTCGGACTCCCGATGCTGACGGTCTTTAGTTTCGACATTAGCGCTAGAATAGCAATAGCATAACAGTAAGTACTGATTATTATATGCCGAGTTGAATCGTCAGCCTGCTGCGATAGCAGGCATGTGATTGGCTTTCAGTTTGCTGGCCGTTTCCCGTACTACTTCGGTCTTTACAAACCGCTTGCTCATACATACATATTCGATGCATCCTCTCCCCTTTTGCAAGCAAGAAAGGAAGTTGAACGTTGAAGGCACGTTACAGTGCTTTGCATCATGATTTAGACGTGATCGTAACAGGGGTAACATGTTTGTACCAAAAATATAACCAAACATATCAGCAGGCGGCAATTCGGCTGTCTAATCATTAGCCTGACCATTATGCTGGTTAAATCGGTTCCTTACCAGTGGCCGCTGTGTTCAACTGCTGTGGGGAGAGTTACTACTTAAAAGTGACCCGAGGGAATTCTGCCCAATACGCCAACCTTGATGGAACGACTGTCTAATTCCTTCTTCAAGTTCAATTTAGTTTGACTACGGGAGATTACCTGTTAACCTCAGCTCTATATGATGAGTGACTATTTTCCCGATTCCGTCGGTTTTCAGACTATCGCAGTACGTACTCCTCCTCACCTGTCGTTTTTATTTGCTCATTTGAATTCAGTATGTTGCAGGTCGTCTATATTTTCCTTTTTCTGTTGGCAAAACTGAATCCTCGATCGTAACAGTTGCATCCATAGCAGTTTTAGTAAGTAGGACCAAACGGAAGACGATCATAAATACTGATGTCTCTCTGTAGCTTTTTGACTTCATCATCACTTTCGATTCGGAGGTCAGTTATTTTCAATGGCGCGCTATGTAAAGTTAATAAGATGCCAGGTTCGTTGGACATGGGGAAGAGGGTGGGGGATCACGAGAATAATCTTCGTCGTTTCTCGCTACGTGCCATTCGTAGGTCTTGTTATGACCGTATACTGTGAGTATTCGCGACCTTTTGTCTCCCCTTGCCCTTCATCGAGGTCCTGCGGATAGACTCGGTTGGGTCCACTCATGGAGGAATTGTAAGCTCTTCGCGATACAACATTAAAAATACCCATGACAATATTTCAGCCCGATCATGGAATATTCACTGCTGTATATGACAGTCTGTATAACAAGAACGTCACTTGAAGTCCAGTCCTCAATCATTTTCTAGGCGTCCGCTGGTTGGGTATAGCTGCTTCTGAGCGTGAGTATCAACTCTAAGTCAAATTGTTTTCTTTCTGATGACTTCTTTTATTCAAAGTCCTGCTTGTGTTAAGGACATACGTGGTTTGGGGGTGTGACAAGAGGTTTTTGATTTTGACATTATTTTTTACCACGGTGACCTTGGTCCCTTTCTCCTGATCTATTTGTTTTTGACTGAAAAAATCAACCGTCCCTTCAGGCCGTCTCAGTGGTGGTGCTGGTAATCGCAGATGTTGGTGCAAGTGAATCCGGAGGTCTGTATCTTTATCCCGAATTTCTTTTGCTCACATCATCTCATCAGATTCGACTGGCGTATTTGAGGAAGGACGTGACTCTAGCATTGTTTATGGTCTGTTGATGTTGGTTGAACTTGGTACGTAGCATTGCAATGATTCTGCTCAGTTACCGGATGATCCTTCACAGTGCTAATGATGCTGACACTGTACAAACGCTTCAAATCTTTCCGATCGGAAGGCAGTCCACTGGTGACTACTTTATGTCGGGACGGTGTAGCTTATATACTATGTATTACTCGTGAGTTCGAAGGCCCCTGTGTGTAATGTGGCCTTACCTTTCGTAGTGGTCTCGATGGCAAATTGCATTTCCATCGTTTTACTACCTGTGAGCAAGTTGTTTTTATATCCCCATATAAGCATCTGATCCGGGCGGACAGCCATCCTACACTGGACTTCTTGCTGGGTAAACCGTATTGTTACTTACTTTGTGTTTAAAGCTGAGTCGGAGAAGCCCACAGCTAGTCACGCATAGCGTTCTCGCTTCACGCCTCCTGTTCAATTTACGAGCAATGCCCGACTTGCAAGATGTTGTGACAGACGAGTCGACTATCTTGGGAGTGGTTTCTCAACACATGGCGTTTCAAACCCCACCTTGCACCGATCATACAGAGTTGTGGGATTTTACAGACTGCTAGTCCAATGTCTACACCATCCTGTTATCGATACATTAATAATCCTATGCCCTCGGGAGGTCATTAATCAATAGTTCCTCCACGTGGCGTATATCGAGTAAAGCATTTAAGTTGTCCTGGAACGTCTTATGGCATCAGTGCGTTGTTTCTAAATTCTAATAGCATGTAGGAGGGGAGCATATAGTATAGCCGAAGTATTTGGTTTAAGATCAGCATCTCATCGCATAAATACACATGTACGTTCTTGATACTTGACGGATTGGTGCTCGGTAACAGCATCAGTTGTCTGAGCGAGAATGCAGAGAGTTACTATCCGCAACAGAATGTAATCGAGATCCAGAGCTGAGGGGAAGGAATACACAATACGTTCAAGTTCAAGTCTCGTCAAACAATTGGCAGGCTTACCTCGGCCTGGCCTCTGACACTTGTTCATCTCGAGTACTAGCACTGATCTCTGACGAAAGCAACTCGCGAGTTACAGCTGCAATCACCGATTAGTCAATGTGACGTTATAGGATACAGAAAACCAACATTTACCGCCTGCGTAGGGTGCTCGATAAAGCCGACTTGACGGTAACTGGAGGTTGAGGGCTGTGAGCAATTGCTCAGCCACCTCCTGTTGCATCTTGCAACGCCGTGTGAGTAGTGTGAATACTTCATTTCGTTTGAGAGATTGAGACTGGTCTGTCCCAACGAGTTTTTGAACTCGCAGCCATAGCTGTTGCAGAGTGGACCTGGGATTAGGACCTGCATCGCAACATTTCACTAGCAGTTCCTTGATCGCCTTCTGCGATTCGGTGTTCGCAGCTGAACTACCAGGTCCAGGCGTGCTAGTTATGTTTGCACAGGCGTAGTCCACGCAATCGATTTTGTGTGTGCGGAAAATTGCCTTGTAGCCTTTGTGGCTTACGCCACGGTTTGTGACGACAAGAGCAACCGGAACTTCTTCTTCACAAAACACTTCACGAAGCAACCTATAGTGACCCTTCATCTTCTCGATCTCTCCGTCGCGTACACAATAAAGGAGTAGATCAATGCCGCCTCTTTTCCTTAGGAAATCGATCGCGAGGTATGTATTAGCGATAGCATCCGTGTAGCCCTCTGTATCCAGCCCAGGTTCGAGAAAACCAATGGTATCAAAGACCTGGAATGAACGACCGTCGACCGGAATTGCATACTCAGTCCAGTGTTTAGTACAGTGACCGAGGTCGTCTGACGTGGGTGCCCGGCTTTCTCCAGCGAGTATGTTCACGACCGAGCTCTTCCCACATCCAGTTTGGCCAACGACGAGTACGTTGAACATCTACTATCTAGTGAACACTCGAGATTGCATGCTATGTGCAAAACACGCACCGACATATGCACGACCCTCTTGCTTTTGGTATCGATCTAGACACTGGGCTTAAGTTGCTGAATTATACTGACGACAGTCAAACATTTCGAAAAAAATTGGTAAGGAATGTAACATACCAAGATTTTCAGATCCAACACGACAGAGGACAGGTAAGTGTAGGTGGGGTTAAAGAAAGACTCAACCGTAGTCTGCACCTACACGTTGCTGCCTCATGCAGTGCGCGAGGTCTACCTCATATTCAAGAGACCGAGTCCCCATCGCTTATCAAGCGCATTGCATACCATTTACGTCGGTGCGGCTGCGAACGGCTTCGAGGCTCATGCCACTGTCTGGTCCCCTTGTCGGGTGGTGATCAAACCTTCGACCCGGAACAAGACTGTTTTTTTCATGAGTGGTATTATTTGGAGCTTGCAATTCGTACTTGTTGATGGTTTTATGTGTTTCCTGAGGAGTGATTAAGATGCAAACCCACCTGCACGAACGCACTGCAGACAGTCTAGTCACAGCTGCCGTCGGGTGGACCATCCTTCCATCTCTCATCAACCTTTGCGCAATCAAACATTTCCTTGCCCAGCTTCTCGTTCACCTCATTATGACGCTCACAAAACCACTTGCTCAACCTCTCCCGACTGCTCACGTCTGGGGGATGCTCCTTCATTTTGTCGCCAAAGTCCGCGGCGCAGTGTGTGCATGGATACAGGGCGGGTAGCGCGTGAATGAGATTTAGCATATTTGCACGCTGGTGGGTAGTGGGCCGTACTGGGTAATATGCTGCAGTCGCATGCAAAAATGACCACGTGGCACGTCCAAGGGCTTCGACATCCGGCGGACAGTGTGGGGGCAGGGTTGCATTTTCTGGCTTAGGGTCGGGGATCGGAAGCCCGTTCCAGATGCAAAGGCAGCCATCATTCCTGCGGTAGATTTCTTGCTCGAACTGGTAGTGGCCGAAGCGGCGGGCCTCCAATTACGAAACGCCGTACATATTTTGCAAGGTTTTCCGTCCGGACCAAGCACCATACCGGGTGGTAACGAAGGCTTCGGTGTCGCTGGGTCTGGTAATGCCGGGCGTTCAGATGACTGAGATCGATCCCCCATATCGGAACGAGATACACTGCACGTGCATGGTTGTACATGAGGTGTAGTACCAACCATGTTGCTTTTAGAAGTTACTGTTACCTTAAAACGCCAGATGCTGACAACTGTGCAGGGCAAGGACAAGGGCAATTCGAACTCGTTGGATTGGTATCAGACCTTACGCGTTATGTTGTAAGAGGGCCAGGTGAAATTCAAGGTTGACGCGGCACTAACGCGGCTCATGTGACACGACACTGTCACAAATCCTAGGGTAAGTATGGAAGTCGCGCAGGATGGCGCCAGAATTCCGTGCGCCGCGCCAGAAGGTGACGAAAATAAATGGATCTGAGTACTGCAATTGCGTGTCTATTTCCGACTTCTCCTTCACGCTCATTGTGTGGAGCATTGAGCGCCTTGGTCTATGAGTCGTTCAGCATCTCCTCTTCCCCGCGGATCAAGTCCTCAGCTAAGAGTCCCGGGGACAACTCTGGACGCGAACAGCATGTCGATATAAATGATGCGGAAGCACCATTTCCTCAGCCAGTGCGCGGAGGTCTACATCGTGGCCTGTCTGCACGACAAGTACAAATGATCGCAATTGCTGGTACCATTGGAACTGGACTCTTCCTAGGCACCGGAAGATCCCTTGCTCAAGGTGGTCCTGCCAGCATACTGATTTGCTATGGCATAGTGGGGTTCGTTGTATACGTGACGCTATTGCTGCTAGGGGAGATGGCTACACAGTACCCAGTGGCCGGTGTGACCTATTTTTTTCGTATTTAGGTAGAGCGCTGACCATTTCTATCTTTCAAGGGTCGTTTAACGCTTATGCGACGCGCTTTTTTTCGCCGTCTTATGGTTTCGCGCTGTCGTGGAATTATTGGTTCAATGATGCAGTGTCTGTTGCTTCTGATCTTACTGCTGCTCAGCTGGTGTTACAATTCTGGACAACGTCACATCCTTGGGTGGTTAGCCTGCTCTTTTGGGTGTTCCTTGTATCAATCAACGCCTCTCACGTCAAAGCTTACGGAGAATTGGGTCAGCAACATAGATTTCCTTTTTCTTTCCAAAATGGTAGTTAACGCCTTGCGGTAGAGTATTGGCTTTCATTCCTGAAGGTCGCTACCATCGTGATCTTCATTGTCGTTGGCATCCTCGTTAATGTCGGCGTCAACAAGTCCCATACCTACATCGGAACACACAATTGGCACATTCCTGGCGCTCCATTCGTTGGTGGCTTTGGTGGCTTTGCCAAGGTTTTTGTGACAGCTAGTTTCGCATGTGAGTTGCATTGCTAATTGTGAACTTAATCGCCTGATCAGTCTGTAGACGGTGGAACAGAAAGTCTAGGTATCACCGCAGGAGAAACGAAGAACCCTTCACAAAACATGCCAAAGGTTGTCAAGTTTGTGTTCTGGAGGCAAGCGAAGTATTCGGACTTTTGTATAGATTATTGATGTGCGGGCGGTGAGATTAGAATTCTGTTGTTCTATATCTTGAGCATCCTGCTCATCGGTTTGAACGGTGGGCTACTCTTTGCTCACAGCACTACTACACATCTAACTGTTTCGATTAGTGCCATGGGATTACCCGAATCTGTCGAATAAAACGACCACTACATCCCCTTTTACGATTGTATTTACTCTGGCTGGTTCAAGTGAGCATATCCTCCTGGCCCCTCGCCCAAGTGTTAACGCTATTTCAAACAGATGTAGCCGCATCATTTATGAATACCGTCATCCTCACCTCTGTTTTATCTGCCGGTAACCACGCTCTTTTCGCGGGAACAAGAGTTCTGTACGGCCTATCTGTTGTTGGCCCCATCCCTCACGCACCTCGTATATTTTCTCGGACCACTCGAGCAGGTGTCCCTTTGTACGCGCTGCTTGCGACCAGTAGCATTAGCGTGCTCTGTTTAGCCAGCAGTTATATTGGCAGCGGCCAGCTGTGGGGATGGTTGCAAAATATTGTTGGAGTCTCAAACCAGGTTTGTATCAATACGCGAATGTGTGGTAATCCTGGACTAAGAAAGATCTAGATTGCCTGGTTATCAATTGGATTGGCCAGTTGGAGATTCAGGAAAGCCTGGATCAGACAGGGTCGGTCTTTAGACGAAATGAAGTTTCGAGCGTCGTGGACTTGGCCATGGGGTCCTTACTTTGTTGTGCGTGTGTTAATACTGCTAGCTACTTCTTCTCTAACCCATACGACCTCCCAGATTATCACAGTGATCGCCCTGATCTTGAGTGCGTACTTTTCTTATTACACCGCTGCCTTTGCATATTGATTACTGACGAGCTGAGAAGTCCAAGGATGGTCCTCTATAATCCCCACATTCTCACCAGTAGATTTCGTCTCCTATTACATCGAGATACCCGTCATGGTTGTCATGGGCCTCTGTTGGGTCATTGCTAAGAATACTTTCATAGACTCTACACCAGTTCCAGGTAACGCCCCTCTGGATCCCCCTAATGAGACGACCTCTCTGATACCCTATGACACTGAAACCCGAGAAGCTCATCACAAGTGGACGTCCGACATTGTGGACATCCGAACGATTGATCTGTATAGTGACGAATATGCCGACGAACCCTTGGATGAAGTAAATGATGAAACAGGAGGGAAAAGGTTTCTATTTTTTTGGAGGTTGTATGATATGCTGGCTTAGATCCCACGTTTGTACCGATATCACTTTGCGTTGTATAATCCATAATGTATATCTGATATTGTATCCCATACAGTTGTACTGACCCGACATTATTTAACAACGAACATAAGTACTCGAGGAAGGGAAGACCGTTTGCACATGAGGAATCATCCGCTTTTGAGACCGACTAACTTGGGGAAGGTATGGGGCTCGGTGCTTGTCGTCAATAAGCGAAGGAGTTATCTGTGGCACTGGGATGTCAGATATCTACGACAAAGCATGTTATGTTGGGGCAAATTGCTATCTCCCAATGGTATGTGCATCTATTCCACTATGCACTAATGTTTGACATACAAATTCAAGCAGGGGGGAGGAACACAGCCCATAGGACACAACTCAAGGCACCCCACAAAACACTCCACGTGACCCATGCTTTCCCCCACTTCGGAATGTCGAGCATGAGGCGAGCGGCAGCCCAGTACGTGAGTGGAAGAGACGGGAGAAGCCTGAGTGATATCTGAACGTGAGCGTTGAACGTCAAGATCGATGTGAGCGCCAAGGCATGGAGTACGTGGGGCAATAGGGATGGAGATAGAAATGGAGAGTCAAGCTGAGGAGGGGAAGGGGCGTCATTGTTCTTTGAGAGGATCCGTGGTGCGATGTGGGGAATAATTGAAGGTAAGTTCGACAGATAAAACCAGCAGAACGCGAACACATGGAGCAAGGCAGGAAACGCGAACATGAAGTTTGGTATGTTGGAGACAGTCCAATATTGCAAGAAGCCAACGTGCCAGTATTTGGATTGCACGTGGGAGTATATTGAAGGAATCATATTGCTCGTGCACCAATCCGGGATGCGTGTTTCCGAGGACTTGCAGAACCGCAGATATGCGATGGTATTGTGGTGGATAAAGGGGATCAGAGGCAACGCAGTCAATAACACGCATTTAAGCAGACGCCTAGGAGTAAGCTGGCATAATTGCATTAACTCGGATGTCATGAATCGGATGCCTATGCTTACTTGATCTTTCTGCCCTGCCAGAAAAGGTGTGACCAGCATGCCCCATAATATGAATCCGGACAAGAATATTCCGTTGGACCTGAACATGCTTGCTAATGCAAAGCATACAGATGCTGCAGCCCACTTGGAGCGAGCACATGCCAGCATGCCCCGATACGAGAAATATGTGAAAAATGGTTCGCTGTAGGATGCCAATTTAAGCGCAGCGGGGCTGCTCGAGAATACGGAGAGTGCAGTCGATAAAAATGCCAGGGAAGGTGAGCGAAAATGATGTAATGATAGGTGATACAGCACGTGTGTTGAGTCGCACAGTATGGCCATGCCTGCTCCACCTCGAAGAAGTGTTCCCCAACCGTTCGAACCCAAACCTGCTAGGGCCTGCAGGTGGGCCAAAATACGCATTAGTAGTGGCAATCCATTGAAAAATGCCCACTCGTGTTCATACACGTATCCTTCTCTTGCTATGTGCGCGAAATGGAACGCATCCCAACGAAGGAGGACAGAGGATGGGAGTGTCTCGTTGACCCAAATATATGGTGATGAATCGAACAGTGGAAGCGAGTGTGCAGAAATCGAAACTAATATCCAGACTGCAAGTCGTACTACCACAGAAAGAGTTAGTAAAGTTCGAACATGCCTCGTCGTTGCTGATTGCATTTCACTGATCAAGCTAAGCTTCAACTCAAGCTCGAGTTTCGTGTTGTTTGTCCCTATTTGCAAAGTAACCAATCAGTCGGTGAAGTTTACGTGTCAAACTTATGTAATCTGATCCACTTTTAGATGTGAAAGTGTACTTTGCACTTGAATAAGCATGACCTGCTGCCAGGCTGAACGCCGGGCTACGTTTCATTCCCTCAAGCGTCAGGCTTCAGCGCAGCAGTGAGTTCTGTGGTTTACCGTACGTTGCTCATATCTGTTTGAGAATTATGACTGACCAGCATAAACAGATTATAAGTAAACGCACTTTCTCGCTGACAGCACAGTGGCCGAACTGTCGTGTGAAGTCTATTACTACCAAATCACCTGCTAATTGATGTCGCCCAAGTCCAAGGATATCAATCTCAAACCAAAGATACTGCAGGTGCCCTTGACGGCACCTATGAGTTCAGCAGCTACTATGAGCCCTGCCATGCAGTCACCTCTAACACTCATTGACTTTGTGACTACCGTTCCGACACCACTTGCTTCAGAGTTAGTTGCCCTTGCGCCATATATTCAGGCCATAAGGCACTTCGCACAGATTATTAGCTGGGAGTCTTCATGGGAGGAAAGCTGGCTCGCTCTTGCCACATGGTGGGCGTTCTGCTTGCTCTCCGAACCGACCTTGAGGTATGCGTATTCAACTATCTATGCATTCTGGCTGATTTTGGACGTGTTTGTTCGCCAGGTTCTTTTTACCCCTTGCAGTCACATTCGTTCTCGCACTGAGACGGTGGACATCATCCACTCACACGTCTTCGGCAATGTCACCGCCGGTAATAACCGACAGTTCCCTTCACGCTCTCGTATCTGATCTGACGACCATTCGCACCCTGCTTCCCTCATCACCCCTCGTCGAATCCCCCCTCCCTCCGTCCTTTGTTGTTCTCCGAGTACTCGCATTTATCTATCTGCCCTACCTTATCCTCACATCTTTCGTTGGTCTCCGTATTTGCATCGCATTATGCGGTACCCTGTTCATGACTCACAGAGCGCACTGGGCCAGACATGCTCGAGCATCCATCACTCGCAGCGCACATATCCGATGGGCATTTTACCGGCTATGCGCATTTGTCTCAGGGGTGCCCCTGCCACCACCCTCATCGCCCTCTCCTTTAGAAGCTTCTACCAAGATACGCCCGGCATCTGTATTAGCGGATGATGTACCCAAGCCTTCCCCCCCTCTCCGCTTCCTGTTTACAGTCTACGAGAATCAGCGGTGGTGGATGGGTCTTGATTGGACAGCTGCTCTGCTTCCCAATGAGCGCCCATCATGGTGTAGCTCCTCCTTAGTTCCATTATCCCCTCCCTCAGTTTTTCCTCTTCCCTCCTCTACAACGGCATACGTCGCTGTCGGCAAGAACGGCCGCGCAAAACGTGTAGCGCGATGGACGTGGGAAGAACCTGAATGGCGCGTTATCATACGCAAAGAAGGCCAGGAAGGTGTCTGGCGAGTGGAGAAGACACCCCCAAGAGATAAAGACGGACCTGATGAATCTACTGCAGCACGGATGCTACGCGCCGCACGCGGCCGTGACAACCTGAACACGAGCTCCAGTGGTCCTACCGAGTCGCCCGAACAGACTGGCGAACAATATTCCAGCGACCCGTTCCTCGATCCTGCGTCTGAAGATGAAGCTATCACAGACCCAGAGGGTTGGTTGTACGGCGACAACAAGTGGGAAGGGGCGAGCTCGAAAGGCGGAATGGGAAAGTACACGCGCTTCCGGCGTTGGACTCGCATTGCTGTTCTCAGTGAGACTGTCGAAGCTTGTGGGTCCAGGCGAGTTGGGTGTTTTACGCGATTCCACGGAGTTCAGCGGATATGGGACTGCCACAAGCTCCATTTTTGGCAGTCCTAGCACCCCGTCTATAAGTGTTAACTCGCCAACGTTGAGCTCGTTTTCGGAATTAGAAATGCAGAGTACGGTGACAGCGCCAGAGTCGCAGAAGGATGGGAAAGACGGAAAAGATGGAGGCAGCGCGAGGAATATGCTGAGACAGCGACTGAAGGCTGTTGTGGAAGGAACGGCACATTGATCATAATGACCTTTGTAATATTATTGGTTTTCACAGGGAGTGGATACATTCTATGAACGCTTTCCGGTAATTGAATATTTTGTTTCACGATCTACATCTCACTGGCACACGAAAGGACAATCATATGCAAGGATAGAGCAAAGGAAGTCTAGCTTGAGTGTCGCCAGACCTTCACAGTCCCATCTGCACTACCTGTGACCATCTCCCCAGGGTCTATTGGGTGATGCTCTGTCCAAGTGATCACCTTGTCATGAACTTTTGGCGGAGGATTGGGTTGCAAAACTGCAGCCTAACACAAATGTAAGCACAGTAATGATATTTGTGAACTTGAATACTCACATCAACCAAGTCCCAAGCCCAAACGGCGCCGTCTTCATCTCCACAAACAACCGTCGCTTCTGCATGTCCAAAGCATGCTCGGCAGCGATACGACGTGTGCTTGTGACCAGTGAATGCATTAAGAAGCTTACCACTGGTTGTATCGAATAGCCTGACATGCGAATCAAGCGTAGATACGAGAAGTGTGGTACCATCAGACGAGGGGACAGCCGAGGTGACAGGCTCTGTGAGGCATGATCAACATGTGTGTAATAAATATCTACAGGACTTACGCCCTATGAAATCTGAACGTAGTTCGCCTTTACGGAGATCATATGTTCGTACATGTCCGTCTACAGAACCTGCAATTATCGTGGTTGCATCCACGTGTAAGGTCTGCACTGCGTCGCGAGCTTCTTCGAGTACTTGAATCGGCGCACGCGCTGGTGCTCTGCCGAGAACAGTTCGACATTATCCTTAAGCTCAAACGGTTCCATGCTTACCGCAAGTCCCATAATCTTACTGTGGAATCATACGAGCCTATGATAAAGCGTGGTGAACATTGTTATTTACACATCGAGTGAAAGGCATCATCTCACCACTCGCCAGTACAGTTGCATCTGCATTAAGCTCCACCACATTCACCTTGCCCATATGACCTGCCAATCTACGCGTCGTCACACCCGCTGTCACATCCCATACGAAGACAGAACGGTCTCCTCCAGAAGATGCAAACTTTGTATTATCATGACTCCTACACAACACACGGTCTTATTCGTCAACTCCAATAGAGGCCAAGAAACTGCGGATGTGACTGACACAGATATAGAAAGGACCTCGTATCCGTGGGCCTCAAACTTCTTGATCTCAGTACCAAGGTCTGGATTCCAGAGACGTATCGCGCGATCCTGTCCCCCACTTAGGACGTATTTTGCAGTTCCCTTGGCATATCGAACGACATGGACGGGCCCTCGGTGGTTCGAGAGTGTTTTATGGAGCGTTCGAGCGAGTGCTTGTGGACCTCGTGAAGGAGCCATTTCATTCGTTTGGGTTAAGTAATAAGCAACCCTCAATTTGATGTTTGGTTCTGTCTAGTTGCACTCTCTTGGTGTCATGTATTATTAGTTTTTTCTGCCTGTGCCGAGGCTCTTTTCCTCGTTCGTCGTTTGTCAGGCTCACTTGCCATGTATTACCAGTCCAAATTTTCATAGGACTCCCTGTCGTCTGCAGGGAGTCGCGTTTATCTTCGCGATCTCTTTGCCTGCCGCACGGGCCAGTTAGACTTGTGGAAACAAAGATTTTACCCCGTCTTGTTAATTTATTTCAAAAATCCGATATGATTATTGGGAAGTTGAGACACCACAACCACCTCCCAAAGGAGCGCAAAGCACTCCACTTTCTTCCTGTGCCGAAGGCACGACAGGTGTGGGCTAGTAAGTGTGGTATGATACAGTTGAGTTGGTTCTGGTTTTTTGTCGAGGAAAATTATTCAGGAAATCTTATAGGCTATGGTTGACCTGTTGTAATTGTAGGAGTCCACTGGCAGCTGGTGCCGATCTTGCACAAAAGTATCCGCCGAATGCATATTCATAAATAAATACCCCTCTGACGATATATATCAAATGCAATTGATACCCAAGTCTTCGGCGATGATCATCGCAGCCCGCTCTCCGATGAGAAGTGCCGTCGAAAATGTGTTCTGTGTATATCATTAGACCACACATCAACAATTCCCTGTTCAGTACCCACCGTGCCAACGTTCAACGGCACAATGGACATATCTGCGACCTTCAGGTTCGACACGCCATACACATTTAGCCGAGGGTCAACGACTCCTTGATCTGCCTCCGATTTCATAGCACAAGTCCCAAGCTACACATACAGAGATCAGATGTGAAATCATGAAAAGTTCAGCTGCACACACCGAGTGCCATGACGTTTGCGCTGATGTTCGATTCAGTATTTTACCGCGACAATGGAGATGGCGAATCAGGACTTACCGATGTCGCGGTGGAATTGACTGATCGCCTCGTCATCTTCGGCAGTGTAGACGATGTCAGGCGCATTCAAGTCCACTGGCCCGGAAGCTTCTCTGCAGGCTGCAGCGCTTCCCTCTGGAAAATCAGGATGGCCAGCAGCGACTTCACCTCGATAGGAAGCCATGCGTCGAAAAATTTCGCGCGTCTTCTTGTATCCGAAGTCAAGAGGAACAATATCGGATGGTCTGTGCGGAGTCAAGCAAGGTGCCCTAAAATGATATGCGTTGACTCACTCATCTAGGAACCCTGTAGTAAAGTCCATTCCTTCTTTGCCATCCTCCGTCACTGTGATATGAACGCTTCCAATAGACACGGGGTAAAGCTATTGAAGAGATTCAGAAAAAAACACGGGGTAGACGGAGAGCAGTACTGTATAATAACCGGCACTCATGTAGCTGCGAGGAGGAAGGATACCCATGAGCGACTTCGAGAGCGGTGGAATATATCTGGCTGCTATGAGCGTTGTCATATCATCAAAGTCAAGCAATATGCACGCACCCTGCAAAAGCAGTGAATATTGCAACTGCCTTGTCTGGGCGGTCTTGAAAGAACTCCTTCCACCGTGGTTGAAAAGTTGAATCCATGGCTTTCAATTCCTCGTCATCAGGACGCCACTTGATTTTTGAATCGAGGCCGCTGAGATACCAATCAGCACGACACCGGCAGTGATAACTTGCACCAACTTTTGTGCAATCAATGACTTGCCGCTGCTGCTCCATTGTGCAAGGCTTTCTATATTTGGGTAGTTGTAAAGTGCTGCAATCGTGGCGAGAACATGCTCACCCTCAAGGATGCTCTCCCCACGCCAGAGGGCGTCCATGGTAACAGTTCCGTCGGCAGCCAGGTACGGAGCAATGACGAGATTATGATCTGACCATCCTAAGCCAAGCTCTCAGAATAAATTAAAAACCCACCTTGATAATTTTCTCCGACACCAGGTAAATTCACTAGTTGCTCGATACCGCACCGCGTGAGGATCGCCTCGGCACCAATCCCAGACCTCTCCAGAATGGTCGGGGAACCGAACGTCCCAGCAGAGACAACAACAAGTTTCGATGCTCTCACAATACTCGACGACTGATCCGCATCTGGGCAAGACACTGGGTCGCTGGTGAACTCGACACCTACAGCACGCTTGTCCCTTTCATTTGGAAAAGCCGTCAACAGTTTGCTGCGATCCCAGGTGGCAACTTACTCGAAAATGATACGCTTTACACACTTTCCGTCCCAGACTTGTAAATTTGGGTTGTGAGCTTGGTTGTAGATATATTGGTGAGCCGCGTCCGAACGCCTTCCGGTCGTCCTGTCGATGTACCTTTTATACATGAGCCAAACATTTGCAATAGCCTGGGAGTGCAGGAACTCACTTCCGCCATGGCTGAGACAGTTCTGGTTAGTGATCACAGTTAGGAAAGGTGCATCATAGCGTACACTGTATGTGTTGCATGTTTCCAGATCATCGGTGTCATCGGCATACTGCCTCTTGTGATAGGTCGTACCAACCTGGATGAACTCGTCGGAGATACCCATTTTACACCCACCGGAGGACACTTTGATAGGTCCGTCGTAGCCGTGGGTTGGACAATCGAGCTGCTCCTCATATGTCTCCAGCTATAAGGTGAACGTATAAGCAACAGATATACTGAAAACGTATTCGAGACCTTCTTCATGAGGGGAATCAAACTCTCAGATTCCCAACCATCGGCTCCCCAATCATCATAGTCCGAAGCAGGTGGACGAGTGTATACCATAACTATCTCATTATCAGAGTCCTTCTTCATCTTGCAACAAGTATGCTACGCACAATTCACACACGAGCCTCCACCAACGCAGCGACCGCAAGGAACAATCGGTACACGTCCGTTGAGACGAGGAGATGGATTTCCAATGTTGAATGTGACCGTGGTGCTCGTCGGTAATTGATTGAAGGGATATTGGGAGGGTTGCACATGAATAGGTTTATCGAGGGTGTGTTGCCCAGCTTCTAGAATCAAGATCCTCAACGAGGGATCATATGCAGCTAAGCGACCTGCGACAACACAGGCGGTAGTACCGCCTATACAGAATGATGTGTGAAGAGAGCAAACCACTACAAGATGTTATTTGCTCACCTCCAGCAAAAACGATATCGAATTCTGACGGGATTGAATGAGACATTAATATGGAGAGTTACCTTCAGGCCGCTCCTCGCTGCTTCCATCTTATAACACTCACCCAAGTGAAGCGCCAACATTCATCGGTAGTTGACACCCATTGGGGATTGGCAACACGTCACAAATCACACGATTAAGGTCGCGATGACTGGGGATAATAACTGCTTCCACTAGGCCACGTAAATTTTCACCTCCATAGGAAGGCACGCGTCGATAGACCCCGCGCATCTTCTTGCATGCAAATTAAGGGGTACAATGGACTGCGGAATATCGTATTCACAAAAGTGACCTGAAACGAGATGCGTCAACTCACTCGTCTAGGAAGCCTGTTGTAAAGTCCATTCCTTGCCGGTCTCTTCCAATTTAATGTGGACACCTCCAACAGAGAGGGTAAAGCTATTGAAAGATTCAAAGAAATGGCCAGGAGTGGACAGAGGGCAGGACCGTAAAAAAAATTAGCTGGCATTTACGTAGTTCCCAGGGGGGAGGACTACCTAAATGTGGCCCCAAGTATCTGGGTATCATGAGTATCTGCGTGCCATCAAAGGAAGGTAAATGGCACGCAGCCCGAAAGATGGAAAATATCGCGACGGCCTTGTCTGGGCGATCCTGGAAGAACTCCTTCACTGTGGTTGAAAAACCGGACCCGTGACTTCCAGTTCCTCGATATCAGGACGCTATTGATCTTTGTGTCACCGCTACTGGAATACTAGTCAGCACATTGCCAGCTGCGATAAAATGCACGAACTTCTGTACAATAAGCGATTGCATTGGTTTCTACGCTAACTCTAACCCTACTTGATCGCACAAGGTTTCCGCGTTTAAGTAAATGGAGGTATGCTGTGAACGTACCAAGAACACGTTCACCCTGTATGATGCTTTCCTCCCGACGCCAAAGGGCGTCCATGGTAACGGCCTCATCAGCAATATAGTATGGAACAAATGCGGCGTTGTGATCTGGTAGCCTTAAGCCAAGGTCGCGTATAGATAGAAGACAGCGGACCATTGTAATTTTCCCAAACACCAGGCAAATTCACTAGTTGCTCGATACATCACCACTTGAAGATCGTCTCAGCACCATTCCCAAACCTCTCCAGAATAATCAGGGAACCAAACGTCCTAACAGAGACAACAAACTTTTGATGCTATCACAATACTCGACAACTAATCCGCGTCTGGGCGAGACACTGGTCACTGCATATTTCCAAATTATCGGTGTCGTTGGCATACTGCCTCTTGTGATAAGTTATGTCAACCTAGTGAACTCGTCGGAGATACCCTTTTTTTTTCTTCAGAATGTAGTCCTTTGGGGTCATAGACCCTATGTTGGATACTTATCTCGTCATAAGCTTTTCTTTCGTTTTGTTTGTTGATTTGGGGTCTATTGGATGAGTGATACGAACTCGTAAGATACCCATTTTAAACCCACCAGAGGGCTCCTTGATAGGTCTCGTACCCACGAGTTGAACAATCGGGCTGTACCTCGTAGACGGATAACGCATTCGAGGGCTTGCTTCATGAAGGAATCGAATTCTCAGATTCCCAACATTTGGCTCTCCAATCATTGAAGTCCGAAGCAGGCGCACAAGTGTACACCACGCGGAGACAAGGAGATGAATTCCCAACGATCCGTGTTCGTCAGTGCTGGGTTGAAGTGATATTGATAGGGTTGCACATGGGCAGGTTCAATGAGGGTGTTGATCCACTTCCAAAATTAAGATCCTCAGCGTCGAGCGAGGGATCACGCGCAGCTAGCTAGGCAACCTGCGACAACACAAGCCGTATTACCTTCTATACAGAGCGCCGTGTGAAAGGGCAATTACAAGACGATAATTGCTCACCTCTAGCAAAAATAATGTCAAATGCTGTTGAGGATGAAGGAAGAAATTCAGAGTTGTCGGACTTACTCGTTAATCAGCTCCTCGCACATCACCCTCAGTAACCTATCGTCATGAAGAGTCTTGCCCTAGCCTGTCACTGGTTCGGGACAGCGACGACCAGATACCGTCGATCGCCACGTCACTACGATGATCCCCCTTCCGCTGTCTCGTGCGTGTGTAACTCGCGCCATACCAGCATTGTCCCAGTTCCCTGGCTACTATTCACCTTGAAGTTGCTAGGGATTCGAAAATGTCTACATCAACGTTCATTAATGTTTGGAAGTGTACCAGATGGAGAGGATGTTAGAGAGATGCTGAAATATTTAGCCAAGATCACCAACTCACGTGACCGCGTGCAATTCGCGTCCTTCTGAATCTGAACGTTCTGGACGTTGTGAATCGCAGCGTAATGCCTTCTCTATCCGACCAGATCGACCATCTGACTTCCCTCTCGAAATCCATTAAAGCCAGTGCTGATGGCTTCCCGACATCAGATGGGCTTTTCACAACAGCTGTCCTTAACACTGCTCTAGGTGATCTGATTCGTGACATCGACTCATCCGAACTCGGGCTCTTCACACTAGTACACCCACCGTCTCATGTACCAACTGAGTCTGAAGCGAGGGGTGTGATATCCCGTGTAGAATTTCCTGGCGCTACGCCTCTGAAAAAACCACCTTCTCGAAGGCAGGAGATGACACAACCGAGAGAGTATGAGCCAGAAGTATATGCACAGGCTGCGTTAAAGTACTTGGATCGGTAGTATGTTTTGCGTTTTTCTAGGGCATATATCCTGTTTCAACCTGTCCTGTGTGGTATTTCAGTCACTCAATTCGCCCAATGCCTCGTGCGCGATCCCAGGTCCAGGGACTTATAAACAGGCTGGATGAGACACGACGGAATATCAGAGGTCTTAGTGAAACATTACAGCAGGTTTGTACTATCAATATTTGGCCTCATAGGTTCTAATGTTTTCCGCACAGTTAACAAGTAGTAATCCGGCATCAAGCCCCAGCTCGCAGGAGTCCACTGCAGCGGACGAGGAACGACGCATACAAGATCTCCAGGCTCGTCTTACCGAACTGCGTAAACAGGTGTGTGCCTTCTTCCATGTCCGTGCATCCTTTAAATTTCACATCTCAACAGAAAGATGACATCCTTCGCACCTCTAATCCTGCTCCCAAGTCCAAGCCCGCTCCGAGACTGGCCAAGGCTCCTTCGCCTCTGACTGTACCTGAGGCCCAGGAAGAGATGTTCTGGAACACGCCTGCCGCATCTGCGCGGACGCTTCGCTTCACTGAAAAACTAATGGATGAGGAAGTAGACATCAATGACGTGTCAATTATGTCCTTTACGAGCCCGGTTCCTCGGCCTCGGTCTGTATTATCATCGCTAGGTCTTCCTGTGGACGATGATTCCCTAGATAACGGAGAACACGATAGTGGTCAAGGCAATTCTGTGATGCCTGATCCATTAGGCAAACCTGAGGAAGATCCTCCAGGCAGTGAGCTGGAGGTGGATGGTGGAGACGGAGAACAAACCGTGGTTCTCAAGAAGCTGCCCTCATCGTTACCACCGAATCCTACGCCGCCAGATGGCACTACGCCCCCTGAAACACCGTTGCCTGCAAATTCAGAGTTGCAGACCCCTGCCGCAGGACCTCCTGAGTCCGCCAGAAAACCAAAAGTACGCTTGAATGTGGAGATCGAGAAGATTGTGGTAAGTATCCTGGTCACATAACCCAAAAGCGTGTAAAACTGAAGTGGCATTTGATAGGTGAAGATATGGAGCACAGTGGGCGAGATCATCATGCCGGGCCATCCTTTCGATCCCACGGGGTCAATATCAGGCGGAAGCAAACCTCCAAGGGCAAAGGAAACTCTGTACGTTCACTCCAGTTTTTCATATCTAATCCGCTGACATGCCCTAGTGCCCATCTTGAATCCCTCTCCTCCCAGACACCCTCCTCTGCATCCCCAACTGCATCCTCATTTTCATCGCTTGCGCCATCCATGATCCCTAGCCAGCCGACCTCGCAACAGATCGCAACCTGTCAGCTTTTGCTCACTCTACTAAAACAGCCCGGCTTCTCGATGTCGCTCAATAAACTTAAGGAAGCGCTAGCGGAAGGTGGTGGTAGCGCGGGTGGCACGCGAACTATGTATGCTTGTGTGGCAAAGAAGTTGATCAAGATTGAGCGAGGGAGCGGGGAGCAGGTCGTCAAGTTTGACGTTTGAATGATTTGATTGCCTCGGGCTGCTGCCTTCATTTGATGTAGTGTAATGAAATCCTCTCAGGGAGCATACATCTGCCGATGGCCCTACCCTTGACCTTGTTTACGTATCCCCGAACATCAGTGAAGGAAATATGCGATGGGATACACAACTCGAACGCCGCTGTGGATGTTCGTGGACTGACTGGACCCAGCTCTGACCCGGCCACCATGGTCAGCATTTGGTATGTAATCTTGATGGTCAACTTGGCGGTTAGAGTGGGCTGTGAGCATATATTCAGTGATTTCTACTGGCGGGACATGGACAAACATCGGTGAGCCGCTATTTCTAGTGCCCCAAATGTGGAAGTTCCTCGGACCCACCCGGTCTATGAATTACCGGCAGGCCGATGCAATGATTGGTGATATGCCTCTTAGACATTTCTCCCCCATACTACCATGTCTAAGCACCGACTGTCCCCAGCGCCTCTGCCCCCTGCAAAGAGGCTACATAATTCTCGAATCTCGTCACAGGAGCATCGGCTTATCACAGCATTTGATGATGCGCTCTATGATGAGCTCATTCTCTTTATCTTCTCGTTCTTGAACTCCCGAGATCTATGTGCCATGCATAGGACGAACAGAAACTGTGCGAGGCTCGCGAGCGACAACCAGGTATATATTTGATTCAATTGGGCAACAAGAGAATGAATGTTGAACACAATTGGATCGCCCACTGCTCCGATTATGCTTGTAGCTCTGGAAAGCCCTGTTTGTCAGAGAGTATGGCAAAACACGGCTGAGGGGTGGCAAGGGGTTTTATGGTCGCACTGATGGAAGATCAGTTAAACCGCTTCCCTCGAGAGCTTCTGCATCTACGTCGTCAGCTGATGACGCTCTTGACTGGAAGTGGATGTACCGCATCAGCTCGAACTGGAAGAATGGTATATCTTACAATTATCATGCATCTATTTTCACTCTCTCATGCATATCCAGGACGTTGTGCTGTCGAGAACTTCAGTGACGCTGAGGGAACAACTCTAGCACCGTCGCCAGCCTTTCCTCGTCAGCACGTTATATTGGCAGGCGGGTTCACCATATCCTCGTCGAAGCCCTGTGGGTCCTCTCTGCTAATACGGGACAACAGTGGAGTATCGCGCACTCTGCTTTGCAGGTCTACTCTAGCTACATCTATAGTGGAAATATCTGCTATAGCACTCGATCAATCTCCACCTTCCTTATCTTCCTCACATATCATACGCCTGGCTGCTTTCCTGACAACTGGAGAATTCAGTATATTCGAACATGATCACTCTTCCCTGTCCTTAGCCACAACTCCAAAGCAAACCTACGTCCCTTCGTCCCTGCACCGTACTTCTCCGGTGACCCACGCAGCCTACAATCATCCGTTGCTCGTCACGTTGTCGCATTCATTTACGCTCATGATATACGACTTGAGCAATGATTGTATCACCCACACTCAGACACTTACATCCTTCACCAGTCACCCGCCCACGTCACTTGTACTTTCCACTATACCCTCAGCAGCCTCGTACAAACTTATCATGGCCTACGCTATCCCCGTTTACCCTGCTCACTGGAGTGTGGGTGCCACAGAACTTATTATATCTCCATCGGGCATTTTACCACGTAAACGGGCATTCGCTATGTCCTCCAGCGAGTCATCACCACAGGGGGCTTTTGAAGTGAGCGTCACCAGGTCTACCCGTGCTTTTGACGTCCCGCAAGGGTGGATAGACGAACGAAAGCTGCAGCTTATGCGTGACCAATGGGGCCGGAAAGTGAAACAAGTCGCAGATACACAAACGGATGGAAAATGGGTCGTTCTAGCCCCTGGGGATGTAACCAATATCTCTCCGACATCCCATGGGCCTTCAGAAGGTACAGCGCCCCAACAGGGACAGCCACAGCCACTCCCATACATCTCACCTCCGAGCCACTCATCGAGTCACCTTCAATTATACCGCCTTCATGTACCCCCAATTTCGAGTTCATCGGTCCATACACCGAGATTGACGTTTGTCCGGACTCTACATGGACCTTTGGGCCCTGTTTCCGCGCTTTCTCTTGCAGATGGGCGCTGCGTTAGTTTGAATGCAAACGGAGCGATTTGGGTGTGGGACCTCGAGGGCGGAGATGGGACTGAAGTCGCTGGGCCTGTCGAGGGCAGTTTTGCGGGAACAAACAGTACAAGTACATATGGTACCATTGCATTCGATGAGCGAAGGATCGTCAGTGCTGGTATACGGGGTATCGAGGAACGACGGTTCGATATTTAATTGAATAGTAGAATTTTGTATTTTGTATCTTTATTGTTTACTGTTGGAGTTGTAACAAGTTCAACAAATTTTGAAAGAGGAACTTTCGTTCGGCGGTTTGCGAAGGGCGGTATGTAAGAGCCGATATTGACCCGATTCTACACGCAAACAACCACCTTCTTTCGAATGATCTAGGGGAGACTACTTACCTCGTAGGATGTATTTACAAGTGGTAACCAATGAGGCTCATTGGCTGCGACTCGTAAATAAAGCACACTCTCAGCTTCTCTCAACTTACATTCTGGACCGACCTTGGAAAGTAGAGTGCCAACGGGAGGGATATGACACTGCAGCGAAAGCTCGAGCTTCGAGTGGAGAATTCAGACGAAACTTTGCTAGGTTCGTGCCCTTTAAAATTCAGCTCAATATCGTATTAGAGTCTTAGACACAAGGCTCTGACACCAAGTTAACAGTTGTTGGCAGTCGCGGTGGTGATTGTCGGTCCGATATCTGCAACGTCGGAAATCGAAGGACTGGAACCCTTCCAAAGAAACTAACGTGACGGAACGATATCTTATATACCCCTAGATCCAGCCATCTATCAGGAAGACAAGGAACCTGACGAGCACAGTGTGCACCCAGATAATGCCTTGCACGTCGATGTTAGCTCCTCGAGCCATAAACACTGCACGCATACAGTGTGTGAAGAATTGAATCATACAAAGGCGAAGAACTCAGTAATGTTGCTACCCATCACAAATTCTGACAATCTGAACTACACCATGTGCATCCAGTATAGACATCTATGAACATGACCTGCGTTTGGGGAGTATGGTGGACACCACTGTTGCGAAGTGGAAAGCAGAAGTTCTGTCCTGCAACCTTCTTGCTGTCCATGGTGATGACACTGATGAGTTTGGTGAGGGGTTTACGAACTCATGCCCGACTTGGAAAATTTACTTCCTTGAGATCCATGTATCTGTTGGCGCGCTTTACGCTATGAAAATTTTGTTTTACCTGAATTTGCCCACAATGGTGATCAAGTTGCGTGGATGGGCGTATCAAACGCCGCTTAGAGGTTCGAGTCATCTTCCTTCCATCAGAGTTGCGAAGCTGTGGCAAACAACTTACATACCGCACCCAGATCATGCTATACCAAAGGTTATTATATAAGTACTTGATCCTCATGTATGTGATATGCTGCCCTCCATTCTCCGCTTCCCACATCATGGTAACTGCTTCTACAAGAACAGCTTGAAACCCATCTAGTCTTCTTGCATATGATGCACTCCCGAATCAACTGGATGCCTCTGACTCGGTCACATTTGACGTGAAGTCTGCGACCGATTTCTACGACCGCAGTCTGACAAGTCGTAGGTTTGCCCTCGCTGGTGTGGCATGCGCAAGTATTGTCAGCTGCTGTTGCATCGTAGCAGGCACTCTTATTTTGACCACTCCTGGAGGTGCGGCCACTGCAATGTCAGCCAGACGCAGCGGCATCGCGCTGCGGAAAGAGTAGGGTATAGCACGGGTGTACCCGCGGGTCGGAAGATGAACACCGTACCCGTACCCGTCAACACCGTACCCGTACGGGTACGGGTACGGTATTACCCGTACTAACCCGCGGTATAGCAGCTTACCCGCGGTGTTGCATTTACCCGCGGGTACACATACAAGAAATAGTAACACTACGTAGCCTGTAGGTCTAATAACCTCACCCAACACTCTCGTGCTCTCGTTTTCTTTTCTTCAGAGACTTCATGATCTTAGTAAGATCCTCGGGTGCTACCAGATCACAGCGGAGCCACGAGCCAAGACAGAGGAATGCGCGAGTCGATGACGGAGACAAGCGGTTTCGAGTGAAGTGCAGAAGGTGCCGGCCTTGCGAAAATACACGTTCGACTGCAGTTGAGGTAGCTATGGTGTGTAACACATAAGCTGTGATGCTAGCGAGAGCGATGGTGCACAACCTACCAGGAATGCTAAGGTAATCAAGTGCCATCCGGTGCAAATTCGGATACGTCTTTTGATTATGGACCCACATTTTGGACTTTGGTACTCCACTGGTTGCCGCAAATAGTCGTCAAGCTCATCTACTAGAGATGCCGCTTGTTATTAAGGCCCCGAAAATGTTGACTCACCGAACTTCATTGCTCGTGTGCATCCGATAAGTATGATGGACAGGTTGTTGTCCTTTTCGAGCAAAAGCAGAGAAAACTGATCCGCTCGTGGCCTGTACCTTTCCGCCACTAAATGCAAGATCAACTGCCTCTTTGCCCCAACAGCCATTGGCGTGATGCCTTAGATTCGTAGTCGATGACTTGTCCCTGGAGTCCTGGAAGCGGCGGACACCTCCGGAAGGGAGCTTGCACTTGTGTGCCCCGCAAGGGAAGAAATGAACTAGACGTCCATCGTGATACTGGACAGCCACAGCGTCAAGCTTAAAAAACGAATAGACTGCTGAACGCCATGTTTTCTTGAGAGTATCTGTGAGCGAAAATTAATCAAGGTCCACGCAAACGCGAGCAATAAGTTCATGTACTTAGATCAGCTTCGTCATCCTGTTCGGCGGCAGGAGGTGCCACATCATTTTCATCGACATCGACATCGACATCAATTACTTCCAGAGCAGCGGAGTGCAACTCAGAGGGGGTTGCTGTGGCCTGTGCAAGGATAAGCTTGACACGTTTTGCAACATTGTCCACTATGGGCTGCGGAGATGACGATATATTTGAACATGTTGAGGTAGACTCAGCGAGCGAGGCCGTGTCATTGACGGTAGACTGATTAACCATGATGATGATGGAATAAATGGTATTGAGAAATGCAGAGTCTACATACCTCACTTTATACTGTTGAATCGCCGAGTGCAGCGGGTTACTGTTACAGTCAACGACCCTCCGAAAAATAGGGATCGTAGTGAGTGGCGAATCCTTGTCATGTCCAACCGTCACTGTTGCAGTCAACGACCCTCCGAAAAATAAGGATCGTAGTGAGTGATGAATTCTTGTCATGTCCAACATATAACACCGCGGAGAACATTCGGAAATAGCGCGGCTACTAGTACCCGTGAACATACCCGTATACCGTGCAAACGGGTACGGTATGACCACGGGTGCCAAATCTCTACACCGTACCCGTACCCGCCATACCCGTGACCCCCATACCCGCGGTGTGGCCCATACCCGTGCTATACCCTAGGAAAGAGATGCTGGTCATCTCACTAAACTTGATCGTCACATTGTGCACCGAATCCACAGGTTTCGTACACAACATCTCATTGCGCTCTGCGCTGGCCTCAGAGTCCCGACTCAGGTTCAACTCTAATCTGCACCTTTTGATCGCAGCTCGTGGATGGAAATGGTGCCCTGCTTAACGGTACCATGGTTGTCCTCCTCATCATATCCTATAGCTCAGTCTCACTGGTCACATTAACTTCTGATGTGTATTCTGACTATGGGGAGAACATTGCGCTTGAAGTCGGTATCATAGGGATGCCTCTTCTGATTCTGGGCATCGCACTTCTTCTCCAGGTGGTGATCGCATTGTCAGGGATGCGGGCTGCTAAGATTTTGACATGGAGTTCTTCATCTCTGGATCTAACCGCTGCTCTGGTCCACCACACACAATTGACCCCAGTTCTTCTCCGGTGCATGCGCAGCGTGTCCGATTTCGATGTGGATGGAGGTCCAACAAGGCCATCAGAGACACAGCCTTCTGCATGGCATGCGCATCCTAGCATCCGGAAAGTTATCAATTCTCTTTGGGCCCTAGTCATAGCATGTGCTGGATGGGGTGCTCTCGTCCTGTACATCCACAATACGTATGAGAGTTACACCGGTACATTAACCTGGAAATCATGGTCGTTCTTCCCCGACGATCAGAATTCCTTATACAGCCTTCGATACCCGCTTTTGCTCACAGGGGGACCTAGTCCATGGTGGATTCTGACTTATGTCAACCTGGCTATTATCCAGGGACCGTTGACACTTTGTCTGCACTGCTCTGAGCTCATCGCAAATGTCATTCGAGATGAAGGACAATGGAGATGCGGCACTGGACAAAAAGGGATGACACCGGCGATGAACCCGCTGAAGTCAGTTATTGTCAATCCGCTCTGTCTTGCGCTTTTCATCGCGAAGCCTGCGCTACGTAAGTCTTTCGCTCCTTGCTTTAGATGTGTGTTCTTGAACAAAATCATTAACGACATAGACTGGGTCTTTGGGCTCTGTTTCGTGCTCTATGGTGTCATATATCGTATTGATACCAACAATTCCGACGTCATTTTCGTGGCGGCCGGCAATGGGATGAATATGTATCCGATGCAGGTTCGTATTCACTATATAAGACAGGCGCTACAACATCTTTATTTACTTGCGCAGATCTTCAACTTATTTATAGTGCTATTTGTGTTCACCTGTTTTCACTCTCGTGGCACTGCGCCAACGACGCGGGCCTCAGCCAGCTGCATACGGCCACCTCCAGATACTGGCCAATCTCGTGGATGAGTGGGCGCCTGTGATGTGGTGGGGCCATAAGGAAGATGGAATCCCGTATTGTCATGCTGGTAGGGTTCTTATACGGTAACGAGGATGGTGCATTGATCAGGCTTACAAACAGGGACGAGTGGTCAAGTGCTGCCGGCTGTAAAGATGGACTGTGTTTATGCTGGTATCAGTGTCGGGTCCCATCCTTCTGTTTCGTGAGAAGTCCATGCTTTGCACAGACATTCCTTGACTTATCCTCTTCAAACAGAGGACCTTAGTTCATGTCAGGCCGCAGACGAGCTGTCGATGCATTGATGGCGCGCACAGCCAGTTATGACGGGACATGTTTACGATTTTTACGATGTCTACGTCGGAGATGGACCGGGATGTTGTCACTCTCTACACACTTTATTTCCGCACCACATTCAAGATAGTTCTGCTTTTAGCGAATACCCAACTAGGGCGTATTGCATTGGGACCAGATATGAATATTTTAATTACAAGGCTATGTATGCTTGGACTGCACGCATGCCAATAGTGCCGAGCACCGTTATCTCACAGCGAACCGTGATACCCCGGAACAGTGCAGATTAGTTGTGAAATAATTTATGCTGCGTGCGGCACAGAGCTCTCAGGAGACGGTTTTTTACCATATAATTATAATCTCTTTACTCTCTGCGGCTGGGAGAGCGCACTTTAAGCGAAGTGCTTCATTTGACTTGCAACTTGAACACTCGGTAGATAAGTCGATTTAAACGACGAGATTTACCAAGGTAAACGTCGAAGTTAGAACGAACTCAAATTTGATTGAGGGGGCGCCTAATTAGGTATTTGTAGTGCAACTTGCTTGAAGTCAGTGGAACCGGTTTTGATCAACTTGTTTATGAACCTTCTTCTCCTTGGCACTTGGCAATCGTACATGCTTTAGCCGAATTCCGCGGGCGACCTATTCAAAGTCTTGCTTGGCGTAGAACCGAAATTGGGACCGTGCCCTAATGATGGCCACTACTGGCTGCATCTCTTCGGTGGGCACCCGAGTAAGTCTGCGAGTCCGAGTCTGTCTCGATCTCGGTTAACTAGTAATAGAACACGTTCAGCCAAGCCCAAGCGGGCATTTGCACAATGGCCGGCCTCACCTCGATGAACCGGGCCTCGTGTTCCTCTTCGAACGGCTGTCTACGAGGCTGAGGTACTCTTTCGTTGAACCATTGTCCCGCAAAAGAGTGAGCAATCCAAAATTTTGAATGATAACCTGACATACGAGATCTGAATCTAACTAGGTTATTACAGGCATGTCGCTTTTGACTGAAACATCCTCGGTACACTGCAGAGCGATGGATTCTGGCGCTGTTGTCAGCGTCAAACAGTTGGATGCTGTCCTTTGTACGATAAACTTTGCAAACTCTCTCTTAGAGGTGGAGATCAACGAAGCTCGGATCGCCTTGCACAGAGATGGACAAGAGTTATTGAACATAGACTCTGTGGTCAATAGCCTGCAGGCTGAAATTGAGGCAATACACGCACGCATAGCTCTTCAGCAAGAGAAACGGCGCACTGTGGAAACTCGCATCCTCGAAAACAGAGCTCGCATCAGCCCTGTGAGGTTCCTTCCCACAGAAATTCTTCAGCAAATATTTAAATCCTGCCTCCCCAACGATCGATATGTCAATCCCCACATACTGGCCGCCCCGCTTTTACTTTGCCAAATTTGTCGCCGCTGGAGGGACATTGCACAGGCAACGCCAGAACTCTGGTCCTCTATTGACGTTCATGACTGGGGCGTCTGGACTGCAGACTTCTACACGGCAATGGTGGCTCGCTGGCTTGCAGCAGCACGTACTCGACCATTGAGTGTCAGTGTAGTGTGCCTCCAGAAATGGGATTGGTTTCGCCAGTACGATCCAACACAGTCGGGCCTTTTCCGCCTGCTTGCATCACACTCGGGGCGGTTTCATGATCTTCATATACAAGCCAGCCGCGGCTACATTGATGCATTCATTTCCAGCGGTTCCTACGCTGTGAAACACATCTTAATATCCGTCATGCCAACGTCGTTCCTTGTCAACTCCGGACATCCTCTTACCCTTTGCACGTCGAACATCACGCACGTCGCTCTTTGTGGAAAGGAAGCGCTGATTAACCTTATTCCACGTGCCACGTTACCTCAAATTACCCATCTTACACTCGACAGACCAGGGGCAGAAGTCGACTTCATGAAAATCCTCCTTGACTTCCCAGCACTAGTTCGGCTGAAAATCAAGCTTTTCTTCCACGGCGAAAGCCTGGAGGTAGTTAATCCTCCCCCTGGTGCGATGACCCTCATCAAGCATCAGGCCTTGGAGATACTGAGTATCTACCTGTCAGAGGATGTGGTTCAGTTTGGGAATGTAGCGCCTCTAGCTCGCATCTTTGATTCGTTGTCTCTGCCATCTTTGCGAGACTTGGCCTTTGTCGCTCTTGACCCCGGCTGGGAGGCCACTGTCGACGAATGGCTTCCTGACTCGGTGAAGGTGTTATTCAGTGGGTCGTCATGTTCGGCCAAACGCCTTCTTTATCGCAATTTTAAACGCCCTCTGGACATGATTGGATATCGTGAACAGCTTAGAAACCTCGCTATTGACTTGAGGGTTAGTGACACGAGATTCGGCTGTCATTGGTATGACATTGCATCCTAGCACTTTTAGCTTCACATATTTCATGCGCACATCACTAGGTATTAGGCTGGTAGATTTCTACTGATAGGGACAAGTGAATACAACGAGTGGAGTTGAGATATTATGATTGACCTCTAGATCTAAGAAAGTCTGTCTGTCCCACACTGCACCACAGGAGGATAGCAGGGCACGCCGACAGCATTCACTTATGTGACCCAATAATACTGAGCATGAACAAGCGCCTACTGACAGCATCCGCGCCCTCGGGCATAATCTCTGTCATATCTATCCACCACTTGAGTTGGGTCCTCAGCTCATCTGCGGAATTCGTTTCGCTAAACATAGGCCTATCGAGGAACACAGATATCAGGGACAAGCCATTTATAAAATAGGATACATACATTCCACGCTCTTGCAAGGCTTCCTTCAACTCTGGAAGGGTGAGATCACGTCCATACGCCTCTTGTTTGAGCATCTTATCGTCAGACGCAATGTTCTGAAAGTGGCGTTGTAGACGCCACTGAACCAGTTGCAGTGGCCCCCAAGCGGGGACACCGATGACTCTACAAAAGCTTTTATACAGATTTGAAAATATACTTCGAGAAAATACGCACCCGCAAAGTGTCCCTGGATTTTTCAGACTGAGAGTCGGAATGAAGCCAGAGCTTTCGCTTTCTTTCCGCAAAAGATCGAATGATTTCCAGTTCCCTGCGAGTACCAATTGTTGATTGTTGCGTGCCTTCGCACTGATGCGATCACGTTGACCTGGAAGGACACACGTAGATGGCAACATTTGAGGGACGTAAAGGGCAATAAAAGGAATGAGCTCCTCCATAACCACGACAATAATAACGAACGGAATGAGCCTAGAGTTGGGAGTTTGAGAAAAAATCAAGAGAGGTAAATGGATGTGTACTTCAGTGCATCCTGCTGGAATGTTCTGATGAAACGCGACTCCGCTCTGGAGAGCGCGGCACCGCCTGTAGCTATGCGTGAACGAATTGCTGCTACCTGTTTACGGTGTGTATTTATGGCCTTTAGGCCTCGGAAATAGAATTTCTGACAGGGCCAAAAGACATTAGGGGAGCGAATGCGCCAATGAGGTTAAACACAGACAAGGAGTTCGAAGGCTTGATGAGTGAAGCGCTTGATGGTACCGGCATCATGTGGAGCTGATCGAAGAACTCCCTGAGCAGTTGCATCTGCTATGTCTTGCTTCGCTAGCTCGATTGCAGACGGAACAGAATCTGGTGTACTTGATGTTGGAGAAGGACGAAATGCTGGAAATGAGAGGTGTGTTTGTTTTGGAGATGTCGAGTGAGGCCTTGGTGTCGCGCTTGATGGTGAAGGTCTCTTCAATGGGCCAGGTTTGAGCTCCACCCGATGCTTGCGAGGTGATACGGCAGAAGGTGGTAGATTTGAGGTATGACTAGACTTGTCATTGGAGGAAGTGGAAGTAGAGGCAGACCGTGCTGGAACTTTCCGTTCGACTCTTGCGTAGTGAGACAGCTGTAATCTACCAGAAGCAAGACGTTGGGCCGAAAGTACCAAGTGTAGTTGCCGTGATTGGATGACGCTGGAGGTGAACATCGTGTCAGTATGCCACTGAGTAGTTTGAAGGGCACAAACCTGTTCACTGCAACATTCTTTCCAGTAAAACGAAGCATACAATGAGACACAACCCTGGCAAGTTTGTGGAGGATGGTTGTAACTTGTAACTAGCAAGCACGCGAAGTCTACTTTGATTTGCAAAACTCAGCGTTACTCATTCAAGTCACAATTAAAGGTCACAACCACCCAGTCACACTAGACTGAAGTTCATCATGGTCTACAATAGATGTTTAACGTTCAGACGTTCATGGCTGTCCCGCTCGAGCCTCCTCCTTTGATATATTGTCTGCGCGCGACACTCCATTAATTGTAAAATCCCACTCCCAAGTAGAAAACACCGCAAGCTAATCAAACTTAATGCACTGATAAGCTCATTTACCATCCCCATGACCACCCCATATTCCATAAAAAGGCCCAAGCATTCACACTGCGGAGCGAACAAGCTCCACTGCGCGCTCGCGAATCTCATCAATCCCCCACCGCTCACCCAAACCATGTTTCAGGTCTAGAATTCCACCCACTTCATCGCATGCCTGCAGCACCATATCGATGTCCTCCTTTGTGTGTGATGCACTAGCACAGAACCGTGCACGACCCTTCTCCAACGGAGTGGCAGGGTACCCTACGACAACGACCACAATCGGTATTCTCCGCACACGCATCAGACGCGCGAACATCATACATTTGCCTGGGTTGAAGATAAGCAGGGGAACAATCGGGCTGAAGGGATGTCCAGAAATGATGAAACCGAGCTTCTTGAGGCCCGCGTGCAGATAACGGCAGTTAAAGGCAAGGCGGCGGATGCGCATTCGAGCTTCGGATCCGTCTGTGAGGGATGGATGAAGATTTATCCATGCCGGCAGCATGCTTGCAGGTGCCATTCCTTGGAGGTCATCTGCACGGTCTTTCCGACTGATAATTGAGCTAGCAAGGTTGAGGGAATTTTGGGACTTGGACAGCTGTGGTGCTGGAGCAACGCCCATGATGCTCGCGATCGATGCGATAATTTGTGCGAGCACCGGGGGAGCCATTGCTTCCGCATACGGACATGAGTGTCCGCGCAGGCGGAGAGCATCAATAAGGGTTTTCGACCCTGTTATGTATCCGCCAGCAGCACCAAAGGACTTTGTAAACGTGCCCATCAAGACATCAATTGAGCCAGGATGGATGTTAAAATAGTCCGTCACACCGCGTCCATGGGGACCGACCGCACCGATTGAATGTGCCTCATCAACAAAGAGGTAGAACTTGAATAAAACATGAACATCATAACCCTAAACAGTAGCTGCAGTACGGACCTTGTACTTCTGCTTCAGTTCGACAATCCTAAGCAGGTCCACAAGCGTACCCTCCATGGAATATAACCCTTCCACAATGACTAAGGTCTTCTTCCAGGGACGATGCGTCTTGGGCTGGCCCTGGCTTATCGCCTCACGCAGAACGGACTCGAGGCTTGTCATATCATTATGCTTGAACATCCGGACCTCCGCACCACTCTGGCGCGCACCAACACGGATACTAGTGTGGTTCAGTTCGTCAGAAATGATCAAAGACTTCTTTCCCACCAATGCAGGGATGAAAGTGGAGTTGGTGGCAAACCCCACAGAACTGACCAACGCGTCCTCTGTCCCTAGAAAACGTGCGACGAGGGCTTCAGCAAAGATATGGAGCTCGCTGCTCCCGGTCTCAAGACGTGTGCCGCAGGTAGAGGTACCATAACGACGGATGCTTTCTCCGACTGCATCTGAGCAGCCTCCTCGGGCCTGGGAGAAGCCGAGGTAGTTATACGATGAGATGTTCAAGGCGCGCGTTTTGGTACCGGTGTAGACCTGAGTAATGTTATAATCAGTGGAATAACGGTCGAGGATGAGAACAGTGCGGCCGGGGACACCTGCGATAGGCTGGGAACAGCAGTCACCCACGCGGCGTTGAAGCCGGCGGGTGTAGAACGAATCAAAGTCCGAGTTCAATGGCGCGTAACCCTGTACATGGCATCAAATGAATTAGATATCACAATCAAGACGGCACTTACATCATGGGGCATAAGGTGGGTGAAGTAAGATTTGGCAAAACGCTTGCCGAAGAAGTCGCGCATATGACCGAAACAAATGACCATGAGGTAGCTTACGTAGGTAGTGAAGAGAATGTAATATGGAGGCTCCTCGATTGTGTGTTCCTGGAAAGGTTTCGTATAATCATGCTGAGAGACGCAACGATAGGCCTCATTCGCACAGTAACCAAACTCTGTGTGAACAGTAGCGAAGGCCTCGGAGGTGGGCGGTGTAAGGGGGTTCACGAGACAGTTGTTCGTATCATCCTCGTTAAGGATGGTGTCTTCGGATGAAGTTGTGACGGAGGAGTGGGTGGATCGTGGAGGAGTTGATGCTGCAGAGGAGTTGTTATGACTGCGAGCGCGGGTGTCTGCCTGTTGAACAGCAGAAAGGTACGACATTGCCGTCGACATTAATGGTAGCTTGCTGAGTGATCCTGTCTTCTTGAAGATGGACGGAGAAGGGGTAGGTGGATTCAAAGCGATGGGAGACGGCATTCTCTTGTCTTGCCCGACGAATAATCCTCGAGTTTTTGACGATGAAGAAAACGAAGAAAACAGGGATGTTATGGCAACCTGTCAAGTCATAATACAAGTCATTGATGACGAGGGGCACCATACACGATGATGGGGGGGCAGGATCATCTCCTGCCGATAAGTCCACAGTTCTTGAATGCTGTGGCTTCTTTTGCCACGTAGCCATGGTATGAAAATAACTACACCGTGAACGCCTGCGCCAAAGATGTCATCTCAGGAAATGATATTGTGACTATGACACCTGTACAGTGACCGCCTTTTTCTCGGGACGAGCCGTTCTCTAGCGAGCTCTTAGTATCAATTGAGATCAGACTTACTTTGGGGTAGTGCTTCCTAGACAGACTCCATGGACGAATGAAGGTAATCTTCCTTCCATTTACTTCGGGGTGATCTCGGGCTAGAGTGTATAAACTTGGAGCGCAGACGATGAACGATCCAGGGGTATACCCTTATATGATTGGCGTGACGTTGCAACGTTGGCGTGAACCACCTAGGCCTGAGGTCCACACCAAAACGAAAGATTATCGAACACGGGCGATTACATTTATAGAAGTAACATCTGTCTTCCTTCTATTGGTCTGCTTATTAGAGGCTAAGAAATTGCTGTTGCGCGGCCTGATACACGAGCAGGGGAGCTGAAACAGCGTATGTAGTTAGCGCTCGCAAAGTAAAATAGCAACCGACCATCCATCATGCATCATGAGCCGTAGCAGGGATGGTGGAGGGCGCACGGGTGAACTGGCAGGGTCTAGACAGGCTTATACCATGCGGATGAATTTTACGCCAGGCGAATCCAAACATAATGGAATGCTGTATGTAAATATATTAAATGCATACCTGTGCACCAGCCTCTCGCAAGCCGGTGTTCAGTAGTATAATACGCGAGAAATGAACGACGTGATTAAATGCGAACAACTGGCTAGCAAGAGAATTTGAATCATGCTGTTGGGACTGCAGATAAGGATAATGCGAAAACAGGAAGAAACCTGAGATACAGACCCCCAACAACAGTTAATTGAGTGCTCGAATTTGACATGCCTTGATCAGCCTGAGTGATCTTGTAATGTCCAGTGGATGGGTCCCGTTTGAGGTCCCATGTCGTGGACTCAGAAAGCGCAGCGAGATTTTGCTCCCAGATCGCAGGAGTGTCGATGGCTCCCTGCAAGATTGCGGTGTGTTTATAATCTGAAGTGATGTAGGCGCGCAGGATCGAAGTGAACTTAATCGTGATGTTACTGGCGTGTCTGCGTTTTACACAGTGAGTTATCTGGTTATATGTAAAGGAAAGACGACATACTCAATTTCCTTGAAGTATAAAATTGGCCTAGGCATCAAGTCTCTCGGGCTCATAAAGCCTGCAACTGAAACATTATGCTGAGGCCAAAAATAAATATGGTGGTCACAAACCGAGTGCGATATCTTGAACGGAACCAGTATCGTTCCGGAATTCCAGGTAACCAGAGACTCCCTTCACAGGAATCTGCAGGTTATTCGTGAGCTGTGGGAACAGAAATAAATAAAAATAGGACTTACAGAGAACTGGAAGACACAATTCTTCCTGAGTCAATGCGGTCATTTCGCTATCCTACATGACGGCGTTCGATTGAGTGTTCGCAGAGCAGATGAGAGTCTCCCACGTTGATCTCCATGCAGGTTTCAGCCTCAATTATGTTCCCATCTGTAACTTGTGGTCTGGAAAAAGCAAGCCTATACGCAGAATGAGTACGGTTCATGAGCATGTTTATCGACATTAACTTACTGGCTCGTGTAGTTTGCATGCATCCTGTACGAGCCTGGGACGAGGAGTCATAAGTAATTGGGCAATTGGGCAAGAAAGACGACACCCACCTGTTTGTCCGAAGGTGGTGAGCCTGAAATGTTGCAAGGTTCGAAGCCAACGCAAGCGAAAGTGCGGGTACTTACCAGCATATGGCGGGAAAGCATGTCTGGTAGATGCCCTTCACGTCGCTATCAAAAGTCAGCAGGAGTGTCACTTCCTTGCCGAGATCTTTCCTGCGAAACAGGTCGGGTGAAAAGTAATAAAGGAGATAGCACAAGGACGCTCACGTCTGGAAATACAAGTTTCTGACGAAGGCGCTTGACATTGTAAAAATGCAGTTGAGATTGGATGCGAACGAAAAATTGTTTTCTGCATCTGCGCAACCGGGGAGTTGTGAGCACGAGCATGGATAAGCACAAACCGTAAGCTCCCAGGTGTGAGCTCTCCCAATATAGCTAACTTCTCCTTTCCTACAGCTTCGTACCTTCATACCACTGCAACTACATGGGCGCGCTGCCCTGTGGCTGGACCTGCTTGGCTTGCGGTGTTGTATAGACACAACCTTAGCATCGTCACGCGTCACAACGACACATTGCATTCAACTTGGATAGAGTTATAATATTTCGTGTGACCATCACGCTTTCTCGAGGCTGATGGAGGCAGAATCATTGAGAACACGTAGTGTTACACCACAATGCGCACTTGTTGATATGAATTCGGTGCGAGTTGCAACTCGATCTGCACTATTGTTGACATTACTCCAGGCGGAACGGCTGGCATATAGGGATAAGTTACAAATAATATGATAATCGGAGGGCGAGGAAGAGGGCCGGGGGTGTACCGGGTTCGGGACTCGGAGGGTACCATAAGAGACGGGCACAAAGATTGTCAAATAAGCACCAGTGGCAATTACGAACCCCCGACGCACGAAGGTGCAGCTACTACTAGCAAAGGCATGAAAAATGTATATCAAGCCAAGGAAGCAGGTATGGGTATGTCCTTCAGGTTGGCAGCGCGCAAAAATTTAAGCTTTTGAGTCCATAGGGATCGAAACTCAGGTACGTAGGTCCCCAGCGGCAGGTACAGAGGCACGGTTTGAAAAGCTAAGAATAATTTAGCTATATAGGTGAGGGGTGTAATGTATTAAGTCCTCAGCGGCAGGTACGAAGGTACAGGAAGGGACCACCAAGACAAAGCTGGCTAAATAACAGTGGAGAGAATGAGTTGAGGCGTGATGCATCTAGTATGTCTCCAGCGGCAGGTACGTATTACTACGAAGGCACCAAGGTGCTGAGGAAAGGCCCAGAGTCAGGGATAACTTGAAGCTGACGATGTAAACCAAGGAAGCGGGGTACTACGCCCCATGCACCCATTCGAGACATAAAAGGCTGGGACTGCAGAGCTTGAAGCTACTCAATCTGAAGCAATGTCAGAAACATTGGTTAGAAACTTGAACTTTCAGACGTGAGTGTCTTTGCGCTTATTGTGCTGCCCCATCTTTTTATCTGACCATCTCGCAGCCATGACCTCGGTAGGGAAGTGACGCTTTTACTCACTTTCGATGGCAACATGAAAGGCCTCTATAAGAATTTCTGCCCCGTGGTATGGAAGTAAGGGCTTCCGCTTCTGCCTGTGTTACTAGTTACTTCATACCTTGAAATATCTTAGGGTCTGCACATTTGGAAAGGAAGGTGCATGTTGTCCCACATTTTCCCTGCTCGATTTCCAACTTACCTATGGCCTCTCGTCTCAGGCCCGTACACCGTGCACGCGACTTACACGAGCCAGTAAGTCTATATCTCCCAATCAAGCTCATAAACCTGACTAATCCATCTTCTAGACTGGCTTTTTTCAAAGCGCAGGTCGACGAAGGAACCATCATTGACGCTGCAACCTGCGTCAATATCAATGTGAGCAACGTTCATCTTCTCCATGGTTCCCTGCATGAACGCCAAGCTATCATACAGGAAGGTGAAGTAACGACCTTGACTCAGGATAATGATGAGGTCTTCCATTTCTCTGTAAGATTGCCTTTTGATCAAGTACTGTCTGTATCACGATAGCTCACGAGATAACTGATTTAGGACCCTGTGCATGGAGGGAAAGGTTTGCTGCAGGCCAAGAACGAGACTGGGCTTGTTCAGGACATCGGAATTGGTCTGTGACTACTTTTTGGTCTTTTTCTTCGTCTCAGCGTATTGTTTAACTCCAGGCTTTATGTGCCCGGGAGAATTGATGCCTACGCCGGCGCTCTACTTCGATGGCGTTGGGTACGTCCTCCCTTTATTTTTCCTACTGGAACTTACAATACAAAACAGAGATGGAAGTAGCGCTGTGGCTAAGTTCATTCCCAAGCTACGCGCCTACGTCACCTCGGACTATGGACAAGCTGCAATCTTGCAACGCGCTATTAGCAGCCACTGCATCTGGGAGCAAGATCTCAGTTATCTTGACTCCGAGAATACGACCTGGAAGCTCACATATGATGAATATTACGGACACAAAATTACCAGGGGATAGGAATCTCAGATTTGTGGTCATGCGTACTTGCTCCCTGTCGTCTGTACCTTGATTTCTTCCATCTTCTCATAGTATTCTCAAATACTTGGAGCCCCGACAGCCCGAGTTTCGACAGTTGTACTGCGTTGAATTGATTATGTATTTGTAACACTTCCCTGCGTTGAATAATATCCTATATGATTTCCCTTGCACTGAGTAACAAGGCGTTCGTCGACCCAGTCCTCAGTGCTCCCGGTGATACCTCGCGAGCTACCGCATCCCTTCTTGTCATGTTGCAGGACTACCAGAGTTGTCTAACGGATCTGTAGTCATGTGTAGACTTTATATGATTTCGACTGTCTTGGCCGCAGTGACTCCACATTCAACTCGATCATTGACGCTCAAGTTATGACCACTGTCAAGCTCGATTCACACATCCTTGAGAAAGATGCGGGCACTATCATGGAACAACTTAACATACGATCGCAACAAGCTACCGTGAGGACACTACAAGTTCTTTTTCTTCGCAGCAGAGCGCAATTAGAACCCATCCACTACGATCCCCCTATTTTCTTGTTACAATCATCATCAATTGCTCCCAGCCACACAGACGTTGCCCCACAAGCCGTCACTGACTACCTCGAAAAGCTCGTTCGAGCAGCGCAGCAGACTGCAGAATCTCACTACTGCGGAAGTTTTGTTGCGGGACAAACCAGCGAGAGCGATGAATTTGCGGATATTGGTGTATGGCTAGGGGAAGGAAATTATCAAAGAAACCATGAGAAGGAGGTCTTGGACAAATTAGGGCTTATTGCATGGGCAGACGCTGAGGTGGGTGTTAGTGTACAAGATCTGAAACGCTGTCGTTGATCGTCATGGCATCTAACATTCTGGTGCAGATAGACCAGATGGATAGACTTTACGATGAGAAGTGGAAAGTGAAGTTAGAGGGTTCAGAAGAAAGTGCCATTGGAAAGCTGTTGGACAGCCTTGAGGACTGTCACCGGTTCTTTGCGCGACGTCAAGACTCGTGCTTCGCTTGTTTTCTCATCGGCCGATCGAAGGCTGGTTGGTGTGGGCTAGCAGGCATCGGGGTGGCGTCTTGAATGAAACTGATCACCAGGATCATTCTGATGTATGCAATATGACGGCTAGACCAGAGCGATACGGAGGTTTGAACTTTGTGGTGTCCACACTGACACAGCCACAACCACTAGTGTTCTCTTTTATGTAAAACTCTCATTTACATAAGTCACGCAGTACTGTCAAGTTAGCTCAGAGATCTGAACGTTTCACTCTCTATTCAGCTATGTCAGGAGACCCAGAGATGGAGGTGGATACAACGCCTGCTGAAGCAAAAGTCACTCAAACTGTTTCGAACCTTGGACCTGGCACCTATGATCGTATTCAAACCCTTAGAGACTTCCACATTCGTCTTCAGTCCATCCGACATATACCTTCGTTACTATTGAGGCATCCGTCTGGATCCTCCCTATCTCATGAAAATGAATTTACTCCTCCATTCGACCCAGCCGACCACGACTTTGCAGCTCCATTCCACACTACTCCAACACAGGACTTTCGCACCCTAAAAACCATAGCCGATGCTCTACGATCTGAAAAACTACAAGAAGCGCTCAAGGTTGCCCGCGAGAGCGAAGAGGCCGATAAGAGCGATCTTGGCTTGTTCCAGAGAGACAGTCGCAAACGGAAGTAAGCACAAATCCCTACATGTAACGGCCTGTACGTTATATATATTCTGATTTTTTCATCTTTCCGGATCTTCAGACGACCACTGTCTCCGGTCGGCTCACCTCAGCCTTACATACCTCCGCCACCGCGAACTTCATCATTATTCCCACCCATTGAGGATGAGTCTCCATGCTTGCGCGCCGAGGGACTGGTAGAATATATTCGAGAATTCAATAGAGGTGACATAAAGTCACCCCCCGGCCCAGGGACCAGTGAATCTTTCCAGCCGAAATGTAGACTTTACATATGGTCCAGGACACGGTCGCCACAACTTTACCGATCAATGAATGGGCCGCCACCAAAGTTGACTAGTCCCGTAATCTTACGGTTCACAATCGAAGATGTACTTACGGCTTACGTCTCCCTCGTGTTCACCCACTCGGAAGATCCACTCCTTGTAGAGAGTGTAACCGCCTTTGGTCCCAGAGAGATGGTACGGATAAGTCAACTTTTTTTTTCACCCGGTCTTCTGATTGTGGCTACAATGTACTTGCCACTTTTGAATAGAAGTTGCCCCACATGCAGTCCGACTATCTCGCGTTTCAAGTACTATCTCAGCATATCGCAAAAATGGTCCAGTCTCATCCGCAAGTTCCTCTTCAGACGCTCGTCGTAAGATATTAAAACTTTGTTACTTTTCATGTGCTGATTGTTTATCAAGTATCTTTTGGTGTCTTATCAGGGACTTTTTGTCGACCGATGTACTAGTTGCGAACGGGTGCTCTCGGTTGAGGGCCATGTTCCTCCCGCTGGGCGTCTATGGATTCCTACTCAGCAACCTATTGATCTTGATGTGAACAAAACAGATGAACCTGATCCCGGTGTTATCATTAATCCAGACGCTACTCCCGCGAGGAGTCAAACCACGGATCATCTCGTTGGACATTGGGAATCACGTCATGTTACATGTATGTACAACTGATTGATCATTATCTAGGTGGTTGGAGCTTGGGAGACTGGACACCGGTGACCAATCTATTTACTGCATTTTGTGGACTGATTCTTGATATACGTAAATTCTGCGGTTAACGGGCTTGGGGTTGACCCTGAATTCATTCCGGACACAACGTGTTCTTTTGATCGAATGACGTTCTTGGAATAGCGTACGTACTATGCTTGGTTCGGTCCGAGTTGCCTCCAAAAGAGTATGCTCGTGGCATCTCCATGACGAATTATTTCACAGAGTGTGCTCGTGGCCCATCTCCAAGACAAATGTTTTTTTTTTCAAGTGATGTGTTCTCCAATTCATTGTACTGCTCGGTTTCGAGCCGCCTTCGAAAGAGTATGCTCATGTCGTCTCCATGACGAATTTTAACCTGGGGTTTTTTTTATTCGGAGCGCTGACAGCCATGCCAATCTGATAGCATTTGATACTAACATTGAATGATTTTGAGTTCACCTATAGGCTCGGCACTATCACACTCCGGGATGGAGTCTGATGGAGCATGTAAAAATGATAAGTCGTCACATTGCAGCTATGTAGATAGTGCGCCCTTACTTTACCCTCACTTTTGTGCCTTTCATATGGACTAGGCTGCAAGTGGGGTGACATGTGCCATGGCCCGCCCGGTTGGCCACCGTCCCGTCGGTTCCCTACGCTATCTGCATGCTAATTGCGGTAGATCTGGCTCAAGTCAAGCAAGCAAAGAGGATGTTTGCAAAAACATATGACACAGTATTACATTGTACACGAATAAAACGCCACTCTGACAAACCACTACAAACTTCGATCCCATGTAAACAAATTAAGTTAGTAAGCACGCTAGGCACCAGGTTGATTGTCGATCATCTCCGTAGTTTTCGTGCATCCCCCCTGTCAGTCATGGGCCCGTCGCTAGGCTATTGTCCTGTTGGACCCCACTTTCTATTTGATTTTTCACATTTCCAGTGGCAGTCTGACTCTATTGTTCTTAGACTTTCAAGGCTTTCACCGGTGCTTGGGAAAGATAGTCGGTCCCGGATAGCTATAAACAACTCCGCGAGGACAGGTTATGCTATTAAAGGTTTGCCACAATCATTTGAGGTAAATTCTGATGATGGCATTGGCAATCATGCTGTTCGAGCGCGTTTTGGTTAAGCTTGCATTCGCTGGTTCAAAGGACCAAAACAAATAAATTGACTGTTGAAGTGCCAAGTGGCTGTCACAGATCTTGGGATCGGCGTTGACGAGACCCAAAGAGGCCGAAAGCACAAATTCTATTTGGAATAAATCTGGCAAAAGTTGATCGAAGCATGCTCTTGTTGGGACGAAAAAGGCAGGAATGGGCACGAGGCTACCAAACCATTATCCATTGCTCTACAACGAGTCAACTTTCAGAAAAATCGCAGACTGTCCATTGTAGGTACCATAGGACAGATGGCAAGCCGGCCAACTTCCTGCATCTCCTTTATTCCTGGTTTATCATAGCTTGGAGTTTAAATATAGTATTAAGTTTATTTTCCGAATCAGATTGGAGTGGATAAACCTTCGCCTCCTATATATCTCGCCTCTTTTTACCATAATTCATAACTCTTTCTGTCCCCGCATCGATCACGTCTGCCCTCAAATATACTTTTTGTCCTTGTTTGCCATCGCAACTTTGACTGTTTCGATATAACGTTCTCAAGTCAGCCACTCGCCCATATTCACATCCTCCTCGTCCTTTCTTTCTGACTACTCCGTCAGCTGCTCTCCTTTACTTGTAAAGCATTTAAAGACTTAGCATACTTCGCTTACCACTACTAGAACTTTCTACCGGCATCATTGAGGTGAGGTTATCTCATCAACGTTACAGTTTATTTAAGTCACCTAATATCCGAGTAGCAATGACCACACAATCTATGCCGGCATACAGTATTCAGTCTAAGGATACACAAGGACCTTCCAGTGGCGAAGCGCATGCCCTCAGCAGTCCGACAGTCGCATGTCAGAGCTTTATAGCGCCACTCGATTCATACCCACGCGTTCCTTCCTCTTCCATTGGTATTTTGCACGTCCTGGGTTATACCCCCGCCGAAGGAGAACAGAACGTTCCCGTCGTAGTGAATTTCAATTGCACTACTGATCTCGCTGCCGGGTCCTACATTCGTCTCGTTGTCGGTCGACGGGCAGTGGGTACTAAGGTTCGTGAGCTTGGGCCAGCCGGCTATGGTCATTGGCAGCTCGAGGCAACCGTTCCTATGTTCTCCCGGCATAATTCTACATCATCAAACCTGCCCTTGACAATTCAAGCCTTAGCCGATGACAAGACATTACTAGACTCTGTCACATTCGGTGAATTTACATACCAGGAACCAGGTATGAATGCCATAGTATCCCGAGACAGTATTCTGACCAGAGACTCCAATAGAGGGTGAAAAAAATACGACCACTATGATGCGAAAGCATGCACCTAATCTCTCGTCAAATAGTCCGGCCCTCACACGGACTACACCTACCGTTGTTGCTTCACGTTCTGAGTCGTCAGATAGACCAAGGAGACGGTCTAAGCCATACAGCCGTCCTTCAACCCCAGCGTCGTGTTCAGATTCAGAACCCGGCCAGTCACAGGCGCAGAAATCATCTACGCGCCCTCAGCCACAAACGCAGGGTCTTCGGCGCATGAGGCAGGCAATCGATACCTCCGAAGACGGTGCCACTGCAAGCCTTGACATTATGGTCGTCCTTGACAGCTTCTGCTATAACTGGGATGATTTGGAGATGCAAGCTGGCAGGCGCCTTGTTCGCTTCTCACGCGTTCGAGATGGGAACAAACTCCTCGTTTCAGCGGAGCGCATCTCACCAGGCGACTATGATGCGAAAGATATCGTCATCTCGTGCATTTACCGCGATGAGACTGACTCATGCTGCGTTACGTCTGTTGACATCATCCATTTGCTCCAGAAGCTCGTCGCCGCAGAGTTCGTTGTTGAGGAGAAGAATCGTATTAGACGGAACCTCGAAGGCCTGCGACCTACCACCGTCTCGAAGTCGCGTCCAGGCTTTGAAGGTCTATTCCAGCGCATTATGGATTTTCCAGATCCGAAACCGCGCAAGATCGAGAAAGATCTGAAAGTCTTTGATTGGAAGTTGCTTCCCCAAGCATTGGATAAGATCATATCTAAATACGTAAGTGGTGTCCTTCCATTACTATTCCGCTTTGGGCGACTCACTAAGGGACCTACAGTCCCTGAGCAACTTTGGGCCTATCCCAACAAAGGAAAGCAGTCAGTCAGCTTCCTATCAGACGTCCGCACAGCGGACCAATATGCAGCCAAAACTGGAATTTTGTCCATCAGTTGGCGATAGCGTTCATCTGGAGGGGCCGCAGGGATCCCAGTCTCATCTCTCACAAATTTCTCAAGCGTCGTGTGTGTCCCAATCGCCTCAGCTAGAGTCACCCATTGAGGATTCCTTGTTCTACCATATGCCGGAAGACCATCTTCGGTCGGTGTACGTGGACCCAGACGTAATTCCCCGGTATTATCCAGGTCACGAACCTTACTTCGTCCCGAGCATGGATCCTTCGCACTATCCTATAGACCCTTCGATGGCACTTGCAAATACCCCATCGCCTATGTCACCGCTTAGCGCTTACCACCACAATCCGACTTGGGACTTGCAAAGTCGGGACAATGTCACCATCCCTTCAGGTGTACCTGCCGACCATCAGCGTCCTGCCTTTGATTTCATTCCCTCCCACGAACCCCTCGACATGTACTCCATCCCCCAATATGCCATGCATACGTACGACTCGTTTGAATTTCAGACGCTACGAGAGCACAGCATGAATCCTTCCTTGGCTAGTCAGGTTGCATGAACATTCATTTTACTCATCTGTGCTATACGTTACCTTTGCGTCATCGCTTATGTGCTCTATCCTATCTTTATTTTTATCTTGCCAGCTATTGTGTCATCAGTCTTTTCGTATCCGGAGAGCCGCGTTTTGATATTTGTATGGCCCATTGTAATTAGCGTTATACCTCTCCTAGTTGTCCCTATGTACTGTATTGGCATGTAATCCATTGGGGTATCAATGTAAATGTATTCAATAGGAACAGCGAACTACGAAAAATAAGTGTCAGCGAAAACGAAGAATAGCAGGAATCAAACAAGTTTGACATGTAGATAATCCAGGAATGAAAGTAGGAAACTAGAGGATACAACAACTAAACCAGTATCAACCTCGACGACTGCGCGTAAAGCTACCGAATCGCGATGATAAGCGCCCTTTGATAGAATTCACACTGCCTATAGTCGATATCGCCACGGAGGCGCCAGAGTGTGCTGGGCCTGTGTTTCCGACCGTGATCAATGAATCCCGTGGAGAGCCTGTGGTAGTATCACTTGGAGCATCTCGCCAGCCAGTCAACACTCCGTTTATACCGTGACGGGCAACGTGTGCGGCGTGCATCTGCAACGGGGTGCGCTTGGCGCCTTCATAATGATGAGAGAGTGGGGGACGCGATGATAGAGGTGAAATTGGTTGAGGGCTCATGGATGAGCCGCTAACTGAAAGAGGGAATCCAAAGGACGGTCGCCCTGATGAGTCTGACAGCGATCGTTGACGAGAACGATCGTCACACGACGAGCTTTGGTCATGAATCCGTATTGAGGCGGCTGATTGTGGGAAATGTTGGAAACCGTTTTCTGCGGATATACGCCGGATTTCTTCGGCAAAGTTTTTCCTGAAGAGCTCTTCCAAGGTTTGATGGAACCGTAACATCTCTTGTGGACAGATTTGACCGTGTAATTTCAGGCAGCTATCCGTCACCCGCACCTATATCGCCGGTAAACAAATCGAACAACTTTCTAACAATCGTCATAAAAACAAAAACATACCTGTTCATCTATCGCGACTCTGAGACGGTCGATCATTTCCACTCTATCAGGGTGCTTGGTAGAGTACGTAGGATCAAAGAATATTTCACGATAAACCGGTAGACCATCCACAGGCGGATCGACGGCTCCATTGAGGCTCATAGAAAGAGCGTTCGTTGAAAACACCTGAGCAGTTTTGGCAAGAGCCGCATATCGCAGATGGAATGATGCCAGTTCCCTACTCCTTTGCTCGACCTCATGGAGAGCATTTTCGACAGGTGATATTTCGGCTACTTCCCATTCTGTAATGTCCGATCTCCTTAGAACTGTGGGAAAGACTTGTTCGGTAGTGAAGGACGTCTTCTCCAACCAGATCTCCTCATTGCCATCGCGGTCAAATTTCGTTATTTGCTTAGTAGAGCTGAAGACATTGATGGCACTGTCCGAAATAATTAGTTGCGCACAGCTCGTTGTTACGAAGGAACTGACCTGTGTTCGTAGTAATTGCGAATGGCTAGTGGGACATCGGGACTGGTGAAAATAGGAAGGGATCGGTCTGGCTCGGGAGTCACAGCAGTACATTGGATGTACTGATCGTTTCCAAATCGCTGATCCGCTGTAGGATCACTCTTCAGCAACTGAGCACCCGGGTGTTTGTTAAGCAGCCGTTCGCAGAATGTGCCAAATTTCTCCCATTCATATCCACGGTACTGCACGCAGAATTTTCAGTAAATATATCAAAAACAATTTGCGACTGACATACAATGAATTGTTTATTCCTCAAGGCGTCAGGGAAGTCTCCATAGAATACCACTCGGAAATAGTCGGAGTAGTAACGTTGATCTGTGATGATATGCTCGAACAATGCAGCTTGATGACGCAATAATTCTGCCAGCCGCGCACTATGAAGATTATTGGAATTGGTCAATAGATAGCGAAGCGCCGCAGGTACATACTAGTTGAATGTGACCTCGGCGTGCTGATTTGCCAGCTCTTTACAGATTTCAATTGCGCTCTCATATGCCTTGCCTTTGCCTACACAGCACTAAGGATACAATGGAGAGCATAGGAGCTGTACGGTAGACTCACCCAAGTAATCCAAAATCAATAAGCACAGGGTCTCCTTCCGATGGAAGTGAGATTGTTGAGGCAGCCCGAGGTCCTCCATAGGTCCAACGAACGAGTAGAGATCCCAATTATGTAAATCAGAATGGAGCTTTAGAGTCAACGCAGCTTCCACATAATTTTGTGATTGTAGGTGGGCCTTCGAACGTGTTAGTACCGATCAATCCTTAGCAATACAATAACTCACATTGACCAACTGGTGCACGTATTTGATGTACATCTCTTCCCTGCCAATGTCGCGGATGAAGTTCATCAGGCGCAGCTGAAAGGGGAAAGAATTTAAGAATCTCGTTTGGATGTTCAATGGATATGAGGATACTCACCGTGGCAATCACACGGTCATCAGCAAACTCTTCGCCCTCAGGTAGGCTGCGAACGTTAAGCAGGAGCTTGAGGAAGGCATCCACCGAGTCAAGGAAAGCAGAGACGCGCTCCCTCAGTTGATCGTCGACCTCGGACGACTCGAATAGGTGCCGCAGTTGTGCAATGAAGAATACGCGAGAGATATCATCGCCCTTGGACTGGGACATGAAGAGGGAATCTAGCTTCCTGACCAGTTCGGTCTCGATCTGGTCAAAGTGGCCGTATTGATGATATTCTGAAATGATCATGCCGAACAGGATCCCGACTGCATTGTTTCGTAGTTGGTCGTGGTGACTGAGACAGAGGTTCACGATGTACCCGATCAATGAGCTCAGCACTGCTTGGTAGCCCTGGGTATTGTCAAGTAATTGAACGTCCAGATAAAATCTGGTATGAGGAAACACGCACCCCTTGAGAGACCGAGCTGGATTCTGTAGGTTCCGGCCAGGCAAGGGCTTCCCATAGTCGCAGCAGTATGTCCGCACCTTCACCTCGAATATCGCCGCCCAAACGCCATACAGCACGCCGTTTCTGAATCCCAACGTAAGAACATATAATACAGAATAAGATCATACGTGCCTGTGGACTAAAATCTTCGATTACAAGCTGCTCGGATGATAAAAGCTTCAGCAACATGAAGAAAGCGTCCTTCCACAGCTCCGCCTTAAACTGATGCGATGCCGACGGTGGGGGTATGAAAATCCGCTTGAGAAGCGTGGCAACAGGATCCATCATCTTGATCAACACCTTGTGTGTTAGGATGTTCACATTCAGCCAGTTGCTCGGGAAGGCATCATTCTCTAGTATAGATGTCGCAACCTTGAAAAACTGCGTCAGCAGAATGGCAAAGTTTTCTTTCCCTTCAATGTCATAGCTAGACTCCAAAAAGTTGTAGATGTGCTTCGTCGGAGCCGAGAGCAGAAGGGAAAGGAGGACTATGGCTGTCTCACCCAAGCCAGGGTTGAAGACCAAGTTGTCTTCGTGCGTCAGCGATGTGCTGGTAGCATTCCGGGGGGCATTAGGCAATAAAGCCATCAGAGAAAATGGATAAGATTCCGGGAATGTGACAGGTACTGCGGCAGTCGTTGTGGTTGGAGTACGCGTCCGCGTCCGTTCCACGGCACGGTGATTAGCCGGATTCTGGAACTCGCGATAAGAGTCAAGAAGCCTGCAAAAATGAATACATCATAATTGTGCCAATATAGAGAATACACACCTCGGCATGAGCATAAGTATATACTCGATGTTCTCCTGCTCCTGCCTGAACAAATTGCGATCCGCCATAACCGATGACGATACCAACTGCAGCTGCAATTTGTCCAGCATCACCGCAAGAATTGTCACACAAAGCCGGATAGACTCCAACCAGCTCACTCTCGCTCCATCACGCACGCCATCGGAATCCGCCGTGGCGGTCTGCGTGAATTCATCATATCGGCCGAAGTGAGGCTTGATCCACATAACGACAGCTTGAACGAGCAATGACCGTGAGTTGGGGTTATCGAACAAGAAACCCTTGACGATCTGCAAGTACATGATCAATCGCCATATGATAATTTTGCCCTTGCCAGTCGAGCTGGCATTGACAAAGTTCGTAGTGACCGTCACAAGCTCGATGGTGGGGATGATCTTGGCAAGTTCTGGAAGGATGGACGTAAAATGCTGCAATGCAATGGTCTGTGTGCCAATGATAGACGCTGGTGACGTAGTTGCCATCATCTTGTTAACTTCAATGAGATGACAACGAATTTCTTTCTTGAACATCGTCTCCAAGTGCTCGGCGGTTGCTCCGTCACCCATACCCAGCTCAGTGCTCTTCTGAAGTTCTCGTGCGCGCGTGATAAACTTGAAGATATAATGCCAAACCTTTAGCGCTGCGCGTAAAGGCGAGGCTGCATCATTATCAGTCGGATTCCGGAGCAGACGGTCCATCGAGCGGATCATGTGCGAAGAAGCTGCAGCGCAGTTGAAATGCTGCTCAATGTAGACATCCAAGACGGGCTGGAAATTGCTGAATCGACGATCTTGCACGATACCGAGGACAGTTACCAGGGCACTGAAGACGAGGTGGTCCATCTCACCGGCCTGGTTGTTCTGCGACTCCATGATACCGAAGAGCGAATCGAAGATGTCCCTAAGAAATTTGACGATTTCTCCTTCGCCCACAAAGGTAAACTTGCTGAGGACAGTCTGCAGCAGCTCCTTGTCATTTATTTGCTCCCAGTTAAGCAAACTCATAAGCACAGGGTTCTGTGTAAACTTAGTGGAACAGAGAGATGACCGTATGATGACGGTGTCCCTCATGGGCGAAGCCAGCTTCAGCAGATCTGGCGATACAGAAACTTGCTCAGGGCGCTGTCCAGGGAGTACCCACGGTGACGACGCGAGGTACATGTCCGTCGTGACTTGCAGGCAGCTTATCTGCGCGGTACAGTACTAAAGTATGACTGCCATCCTCCAAAAACGCCCCTTGACCGGGAAAGAGTGGCTGGAATGCAAACGCGAACGGCTTATCCGCATTGAGCCCTCGTCCAGAGCGGTTCCGGAATGTAAAGAATAAATGCCAGTTGGGAATACCGCGAAGTGGAAGCTGGAGTTTGATGAGCTCGCCGAATGTGGGCTGATTGTTGCGCATGAAGACCATTGAATGGAACTGAGTCACGCTGGGCTCGCCACTACCCAGAGAGATGGCATTCTCAATGGTGCGACCTTCTTGATCTCTGACTTCGATCGACACTTGAGCGTTTTGGGACACTGGACCAGGACGCGTGAAATTGACCATGCTGAGTCGGGCGGAACCGCTGGGGGAGGATGGGAAATCTCCTGTCCACAACTTGATGTAGAGCTCGTTGCGCACGTCTCCAGGAAACACCACATCCGGGAATCCAAGTCGGAGGGTCAACGGAATGTCTTGCAGAAGAGACATATTCTCTCTGATAACAGTAGATGAGTCACCATGGAATATTTTCACAGAAACAGCAAGCATCTCAGCCCTGGTCGCAACGTCAGGACACGGAACGGAAAATTGGACGTCACGCTCACCTTGGCGACTTCTCGAACTCCTTCACGTTATTTGCGATGATGTCCTGATGTAACATCGAGAAAAGTGCTTCGTTGGTAGGCACGAAGATCGGCATGCAGTGCTCCTTCATCGGGCTCACATCCGTACCGTCGACCATCATCTTCGTGAGCTGTGATAACTCGAGCACTGCGCAACCAAACGGCCTACGGAAGTTCATCGGGAGTTCCGACATTAGAGTCGTACGGGAGGGTGTCAACGGGATATCAGACAGCGATGCTTCAGATGGCCTGCGCCCGCCCTCACCCGGGGCACCTGATCCCATCGTGTTATTCATCTTAAGTGCGCCGTTCCGCACGATACGACAGACCAGGAATAGCGGGTCCTGCGCATCCGACTGTGCGATATCAGTAAAGAGTGTGCGAATGCGGGCGTTGGGGTCGCGTGACAGCACTCCGTTGTGATTAAGTACGATGCAGCAGTCTTCGGTAACGAACCGCGGGAATTCGGAGTGCTTGTAGACCGAAAAGAAAAGCTCGGCCGTCTCGCCTGGTGCACAGGGAGTTGCAACAAAAGCGCGGAGGTCGAGGAAAATGTGGTAGAATTTAGCTGCAGTCGGCTTCTCAGGCTGGTATGGACCCAGGGAACCGACCTGCCGAGAGATGGTTTTGTTTCGGGATATATCGGGGAATGCAGAATGTGCAGGAGTGGGTATGGGTATCGTGGAGAATTCGGAAGGTCCGATGGTAAGCTTGGATGAGTTGTCTATAGGCACATTGATATATGCGAGAGAAGTTTGCATGGCATACATCCGCACAGCGCTGACCCAGCTGCGAGGATCGATCTCGCCCTCTACATCCACTGTCACTAGCGCACCCCATGTCGGATGGCGAACGATTATATCGAGATCCTGCACCACATTACCGCTCACCAAGCGCGCAACGCAATCCCTCCTCAGACTAACCGTCTCCTCTGCACTCAATGTTTGCGCAAGTAGCTGTCTTCGTCCAAGGTGGAGCGCTTCAATATGCTCGCGAACCGTATGAAAGAGCTTGTAATCCCGCCTTGCGAGGTACTGGAACATCATGCTATGCCATTCTCGAAGGGCACTAGCGATCTCGTCGATGATGGGCTGCACCGCGCCAGAGGCTGTATCATCACCTGACTTTAGAGATGGACGTGGAGGGAGGGGCTTCGCGTTCTCGGAATCTGGCACGGAGTGTATGCTCGCGGGATATACGACAAGCGCAGCGCGAGTGGACTTGGCCTGGTCTGGTGGGGGCCCAAGTTTGAATGATTTGCGTTCGTCGTCATATGTCAGTTCTCTGACTTCCCGATCTCTTTCTCTGTGCTCGCGAGGGGGTTCTGGGCCTGAGTTTGCACGCTCACGCTTCCATTGTGCAAGGTAGTCTGCACTAGTTACTGACCCGTTGTGGTTCGAGGAGCTGGTTGTAAGGGATGTGACGAGGTCTGGCAGGCGTCCTTCGGCATCTGAGAGCTCATCACGGACAAAGATATGGGACGCAGGAAATATGCCAATGAAAACCTGTTGCGGTTCCTCGGTTTTGACTGGTTTGGCGGATGAAGACGAAGTTGGGTCAGAGGAAGTAGACCAGGTGACCGGTGGAAGGCGGGCAGTGCAGACTACGTAGCTGAATATTGTAAGAGTAATAAGTACTCCAGACGACACGAGAACTCTGTTGCCAGTATAACGCACCCTCTGTACCATATGCCATCCGCTTGGTTTCCTCTTGGGGTATACTTTTCGAAAGCATAGACCTCATCGCCAACTTCGAGGGAGACCACATCCCTGTGCACACCACTCTCGTCTGTGGAGCCCTCTGTAATAGTCGACATGGGGCGACGACTTGATAGCCTGGTGTCGCGTTTGGAGGGCGATAGTGGATGGACGGCATAGCCATAGACGATGAGAGGCAAGGGCTCCCAAACGCCCTTGCGCTGTGCGTTTGCAGAGCCCATCTTCGTGTTATATGATTAGCCAGAAGGCAGTCAAGTCGGCACAGTTGTTTACCAAGGCTAGAAGACAGCTGTAACGACGTCTTGCAACCTGGCTTGATAGCACGTAATGAAACCGCAAAGACCTTTAACGAGCAAACACTTGTGCAGGTCGTGGACAGAGATAGAAAAGCTGAAAGCGCGTTACACGAGCTGGGAATTTGGTCGAGCACGTTGCATAACAAGGCTTCATATAATTCATTTTCACAATGCCAACATCATGATCATCACATCATGCCAAATCCATACATACATATAAACATTGTCATGTAACCCTTTATTTTTCCCTCCATCTACAATGTATCAAACAATATTTGAGTGCTTACAAGCTAATCCTAGCATTGGCGGCTGTCCATTTCGGATCCTTGGCAGGCGCGTGATGTGAATCTGCTCCACAGGAATCATGAAACAAGAGGAATCCTGTTTTGGCAGGGAGCTGCGATACTCCAGTTTTGATTTTGATCATTCTTTGCATGATTTCATGGCACATGGATGCAGCGTATACCAATACACATATACGTTCGTTCACGTATCAAAGTTTGATTCTACGACGCGCTGTCTAATGGGTGAGTCAAATCCTTTTGATCCTCTGGTGATACTAGACCACGACACTGCTGAAGAAACTGTGCTATGCATGATGTAGCTCCTCCTGATGATCAGCGCCGACAAGTGCTGCGCTTGATGGAGGAGTTCCTCCACAAAAGCATGATCCATATCCCGTGCTCGTTGTCGTTGGGGATTCCAACGACAAAAAAACACGGGACACGAATGCTGGCTGGTTTTCTTACTCAGGACAATTAATGATCGACGATAGCTTTCGATTCCAAGCGCATATAATGGATTCACATTCACACGATAGATCCAGACACGGAGCGAAATGCCCTTGCCTGCAAGGTTTCTTTCTACAATGTATCTTTCACCATGGCGATATCGATGATATCATGGCTTTAATGCTGCTTACTGATACGGGGACCCCACCAACTTGTTAGCAATTTACATTATGCTGATATCTACTCACTTTCTTGCAGGAACTCTCTCCTTGTATAAACCCTACATCTTGTTCGTTATATCTCCCAAAATCGTAAGATTTCACCATCATGTCAACTTAATGCGCTCTGTAGCTTCCTGGTATCGGAGAAGATTTTGTGATTGGTCCTAGGGAGATCAACGCACCTGGCCCTGACGAACTTCTCGTCAAAATCGTTTCGAATGGTCTGAACCCTTTATATTGGATAATCCAGGAAGAGTGATTCATCTTCTTCAAGTCCTACTCGGCGATCATCGGTGGAGAGGCTGCTGGTAATGTGGAAGCCGTTGGTGATGGCATTGCCGATTTCAACTAAGGGAACAGGGTGTAGGTGACATCAAAGATAGTAAGTAGGACTGCATTAGCGTTTCTGCAACAGATTATTTAAAGCGTGCATGAGTAACAAGTTTTCCACCTTCCAACAATACTGCACCATAGTTACTGGCTTGGCTGCAAAGGTCCTGTAAGCTCCAACAAAATCGAGATCCCACACACTGATTCCTCTTTAGATTTCGCAGAATGTCTCTTTCGACCAAGTGGCCTCTGTGCAGGTTGGCATCATACCTGTTGTCCAAGCCGTTGCCTTGTGTGCACAACAGCCTGGGTCACACTGCGTCACAGGTGGAAGGGGGAATGAAAAGCGTGACAGGCAGCCTATCGTCATCATTGCTGGTACATCGTCCGTCGGGCGGTAACGTGCGTGAAAGTTCAACTTTGTTCCTTGGTTGAATTCTCGCAAAGTACGTAGCGATCCAGCTTGCTAGGCTCTCTGGATTTTCCCCCATCATCACCACAGCTTCCTTGCACAACACTGAACTCCTTTCCTCACCTGGTGCTGCCCACGTACTCGATGTAAGCTCTCGACTGCTGTATTGAAAGAAACAATCGCCAAGATCACACTATCACCTATTACATTGGCCTTCGGCACCATCCCTTCTCCTGACGCAATATACGGCTCATGACATCATTACTGCTGGAGGAACGTTTATAACGGCGACACGGCCTCAGGTGGTTAACAAAATCGAGGACGAGGTACTCTACCACGTGTATGGTGACTTTATATACTCCTCCCAACCGTGAGCGGGGCAAGAGTTTTAGCCCGTGTTAATGCAATGACTCTCCGATGGGACAATCAAAGTTTGTCGCTCGTCTATGCACGTATCCTCGATACTCGCATAGTTTTATGTCAGCCAAACGCTGTTGAAGTCGTCCCAGGCGGCTTGAAAGGCGTCTCTTCCGGTCTGCAGAGACGGAAGAATAATCTTGTCAGCGATAAGAAACTAGTAATTCAGCCTTGAGACTGCGTGGGGGCCAGAGCTTGAGAGAGGACAGTATAAGGTTTATCTCATGCGTGTGTTACGATTATGAAAAGAATCAACAGCTTAAATTTGCGCAGCAAAGGAAGTGATGCTGCACACAACTTTCGAATGTTTCCCTTGAGTGAACGTTGAGTACTAAAGTTGAACGTTAATACCAGACAACAACATGACATCACTGTCCAAATAATACCTCGAGGATGTCGCCTTGAGTATTAGGCTGGCCGTTGGACTAGGGGTTCCAAGGGTAGCCACCGCACTACAATCATCATCGAGCGAGGTTTCTGCTTTCTGTTGGAGCTGATGCCGACGCTAACCGCGGGAATCGAATATTGGAATCATCACAAAGGTTGCTCGGCCCAGACTTGACTATGTAAGCTCATGTTTGCGGTATCAGTACCAGTGTCGGATATATCCGGTTTCGGACCCAGTATGTCTTGTCATCCTAGGGAACGCTAAGTTCGATCAACATATGCGTCTACGTCATAGTTCAGCTTCCGACATTGTTCGTCTAGTAGTTAATTCAGATATTGTCAATCACTTAGATATATCCATGCAATGCATCAGCAAAACCCTAAGTTAAGGTCCCCCCTTTTACAGTGCTGTATGGTACTATGTAGCGCTGTAAATGGGGGGACCTTAACTTAGGGTTTTGCTGATGTGTGATGTATTTTGAATCTATATGATGGAACAAAATCATGTAATACACTGTAATGTATGAAAATGTGAGTCAATGTAGTGTGAGGTCCAGAAAAGGCATGCATCAGGCAGAGGAAATGAATGCAGATGCAATGAAATAATGACAATGGCAGTGAGTCTGGAGGAAGGAATCCATGATAAAAGCACAAGGGCCGAAACTGAGTGAAAACAAGTCCTGCAATCCAAGATATGAGTGCTTTGGCAATTTGAGGATGATGGGGACATACCATGTTAAAAAACTCACTGTCAGTCTACCTCCTGTGTGTTTGTTTCCTTGCATGTTTTGCTGGTTGCTGAACTTCCTCATCATCTGAATCCTCAATGCACCTTTGCTTACCCTTCCCCTTTGAATGAGTTTTCCCACCCAGCCATTTTGCCTTTCGATTGGTGATGTCATCGGGTGCGCCTTTGTCATCAGTTAATTCGCTTAATGCAGGTGACTTGCATGAACCAGATGTAATGCTTGAAGGAAGTGTAGAACAAGCATCCTGAGGGGCAGGTGGAAGAGGAGTAGGAGGTAGAGAGCCTGCACGAGTTGGGGCTGGAGAGCTTGGTGGAGGAGTAATAGGACAGGGTGGTGGTGGATCAGGGGCTGCAGGAGCTGCAGAGGACTTGGTGTGTACCATGACCTGTGCTTGCATTTTGGCCAGATTGTTGACAGAACCTGAGGAATCTCTTCTATACTCATCTCCAGCTGACCAAGCATCTGGTCTGCCTTCTCGACTGGCCTTGTTCTTGAAGAGCACCCTATGAGAAACATGATCATAAGTGCTGTTAAATTTATTTAGAGAAATACATACATGTTCCACCACTTCTTGAGTTCCCCTACCCAGTCTGTATCTCCACAGTCATGAATGAAATCAATAATGTTATGGTAAAACTCTGGATATTTGAAGTTTCCATCAATGTCTGACCATTTGTTCTGTGCACTGATTCCAAAATGTGCCTGCAAATTAAATGGTGTGAGCCAGCATTTGCCAGAACACTAAGACTTACTTGTACACAAGCATAAGCAATATGCTCTGCTTTGACAGTTGTCATGTCATGTAGTACAGCATTGCAAGTTCATGTAGCCCATGAGTCTTGACCTAGAGCTGTAGATGGTCCTGTAAATATATGTCGCATTACCTTGACACATATTAGCATGATAATAATGAAGATATTGAAGAAAAAACTTACACATTCAATGAGATAGCCCTGGAGGAGGCCTTCTGTCATAGTGTCATCGTCATAGTCACATCCAGGGGGGTTCCCAGACCAAAGGAATGTGGGAAAGCCATTTGTGGTCAGGCGAATCCCACCACTGGCAAGCTTCTTCTGCTCAGAGCTAAGTGGAGCAAGTGCTGATAGTTTTGTGTGTATTGATCACGAGTCTTGAGTGACCTAAAGAAAATATTAGATCAAGGACAAGATTTCAATCAGATTTGACTTACATTGCAGATAGTCTCTTCTTGTGGGTCTCCTTCTCAGCCTCAGACTCCTTGAGTTCTCCTTTCTCTGCAGCTTCCTCTTGCTGAAGCAGACAGCCAATCTTGATGAGTTTGTCGACCTTGCAAAATAAGTCGATACAGTGTGTGATTCCATGTGCAGTGGCCAGGTACTCCTTGTGGGGATCTTCCTTGCTTGTCTTAGATTTCTTGGCTTTCCTATTGATAGTAAGTAATACATGCTTGGTTTGGATAGATTGGTTCAAACTTACTTTTGTTTGGAAGCCTCCTTGTCAGTGCACACACATTTCTTGACTTGCTTTTTTGAGGGAGGAGTATGAGAATCTTCAGAAGAACTAAGTGAGCTTCTGTTGCTATTGGAAGAGATAGAAGATTGAGAGGAAACTGAGATTGATCTAGAATGCTTTTTGGGCGCCATGAGGATGTTAGTGGGGGTGTGAGATTAAGAGATAAGTATTGTGTTTCCCATGTATCGGCGTGACTTCATACTAATTTCTGCATGTGATTCTCATAACATGTGCTCATAACACATGATTGATGGTGATTGATCAACAAACACAACACAGTACTATCACCGTTGACTTAGTACTATACTAACTATATGCGCTGCAGCAGTGTCTGCCTGTTACCAGTGTGACAATCATGTTCAGGCTGGCCTGCTAGGACCCCATTCTGCAATCCCCATCCAGTCTGCACATCTCCTACCCATCTCCGATGCTTTCCCACCATCTCCACACCTCCAATGCATTGGACCTGCTCAGAGATCCCACACACTTGCCCTACCATGTCCAGTCCAGTCCTGCTTAACCCCACTGGTGTGTAGTCAGTTATTTCTCATTACTGATTGAGTAGACAGCATTATTACATGGATTCCCACTGGCTGCAGTACCTCATGGCCTTTTACCTACATATTATCAGACCCGTGTTTTTGCTACTGCTTTCGCCTATGGACTCTGGACTTTCACATAGCTAGTTATATAGGGTTGGGTGACCAGAATTACAATCACTACTTAGTAGGAGGGAGAAATCCCTGATACTGGTCACCCCATACCTGTCCTTAGAGTTACCCTTGCCAATATACCTGTTTATCCACTCTCCTTGACCCAACACAAGTGTCACTCATTCATCTGACGTTCCCTAGCATCTCCAAGCTAGTCCTGATGCATTCCCTCCCTTTCCCTTACTCTCCTGCCATCTCTGAATCTCTGCACATGTGGACCTGATTTCCCATGCATTGGACTGTGCCCCATACCTTTGGACTTGATTCCTGACCTTCGGACTTTTGACCCTTTGCATAGTACTGATTATTGAACTTGACTAGACAGCAGATCCCTCGGGTCAAACATTCTTGCTTGCAAGTGTAGCAGCTAGGCAGGATTAGTAGACATATATTGGCTAGGTATTCTAACAACTATCTAGCCAAGTTGTGTTATCCACACTGGTCACCATAAATCAAGGTAAGTTGAATCTTTATGCATAATGTGGGCATGTGTTGACACTTAACAGGGTATCATATGATCCTAAACAGCATCTTCAATGGGCACCCAGTGAGGCAGCTTGCAAACCCTTTGCATGATCATGGATTCTCAAGGATCAGGATCAGTAGCTGGCAGGTGCATTAACTATACTTTCTTTTGTATATTCTGGAATCTTAATTACCTGTATGGATCTTTGCTGTTATCATGGTCTGCAGGTGTGCCACATCATCATTTCTTTCTGTATTCTGGTATGCTAATTACTTGCATAGTGTTACAGTAACATCCACTTGTTTAGCCCCTATTCATTTTCCTTGCTTACACCCTTGCTGGACTCTTTCCTCTTTGGGTGATCACCCCTCTTTTCCTTCTTGACTGTTCTATCTCTTTCTCTTGATCATTCCACTGACTGTTCTGTCGGTTGTACCTTATCCTTGGTTCATCCAATGACTCACCAACCCTATGCCCTTACCACTTAACTGGTACTTCTTACTTACTATGGTATTCTGACTTGTCATGACTCACCATGACTCACATCCCCTTTACCCTTACCACTCAACCAGTACTTTCTACTTACTTTGGGATCTTGACTCATTGTGACTCTTTCACCCTTTACCCTTGCCACTAATATGGCAGACCTGCCCTGATCCCTTCCAATGGTATATATACCTTAAGGGTAGCACTTGTATTCTCTAACTTGAATCTACTTGGTTCATACTGCCTACCCTTTGAGCCCTAAGCAAGCTCTCCTCTTTAGCAAGTACTTTCATTGGAGCTCGTTGCTGCCAACATCTTTAGCCTTGTGAAGAGAACAATTGATGACTTGCCATCGTAATTGTTGATAATCAATCATAGCCCTCACAGCTAGGTTGATTGCTGTGAACTTGTACCTACAAACACTCACTGGTTGCAGCAGGCTTGGTGTGAGCCCCAATCCAAGTTCTATATTACTCACTCGCTTCGTTTGCACACCGCAGACTTAGCTTGATCATAATACATAGAGCTTCATCTCTCTAGGTCCTGTGTTATCATACTGTGTAGCTAGATCTACACAGTGAGATATAAATATTCTACTCCTCTTCCTTCAAGTCCCTTAAGTCCTTCTGTCCTTTGAGATCATCTTATGGTATGGATGACCTTACCTGTTTGGGTTGTGCAAAGTCTTTCACAACTCAAAAGCACTTGAGCAGTCATGAGGCTCAGTGCCCTGCTAACAAATCTCTAGATGCTGATATTTACAAAAGTCAGTGTTAGCAAGTACTTTCATGGGAGCTCATTGCTGCCAACATCTCTAGCTGTGTGAAGAGAATGAGCCCCAATCCAAGTTCTACGTTACTCACTTGCTTTGTTTGCTTGTCACAGACTTAGCTTGATTATAACACTCACACAATTCTGTTATCAGCATTTACAGTGGCTTAAAAAAGTGTCTGAATGTTTATGCATTTTCAAATAATTGGATAATAGCAAGCCAGCACCCAAGTGTGTGACATAAAGGCATAGGGATATTTCTGAAGGCCCTACATCATGGCTAGAATCTGAGATATATATCATGGGAATCAGACCATATATAGGCATGATATGGTAATTCTAATTACATGACTCATTCAGACACTTTTTTGACTTCATATTCAAATCACAAAATCAGACCATTCACACATAATATCCTTAATGGAAGTGGTGCCATAATAATAATTTGGTCTTGTTTTAAGAATATTTGAATATATAAACCCACACAACATCATAAACTTTCACATAATCATCATGAAGCCCATCTCCTCTGCTTAAGAGGATAATATCCTTATTCTCTGCTCCTCTGGTTTATCTACTAAGCAAATTGTGGTCTTGACAAGTCTACTATCACTACAGCCATAAAACAGAACATGATAGAGAAGGAAAATCATAAAATGGAATGTCCTCCTAAGCATACTCTACAGAATAAAAGAGTTATTGTTCATTAGATTCTATCCGGCAAGGCTTTAAATGTTGTCCAAGCCTCCAAGTTCATAAATTTTATCATCCTCATGCTTATCCCCACTTAAACAGTCAGAAATACCCTTAAGGCAGCTAATATTATGGCTGTTACAAAGAAAAAAATACCTCTTTCCTCAGTAGCTTATAGGGGCCTTTGCATTAAAGTATCAACATTGAACTGTGGAAGACTGGAAGAAGGTAATTTGGTCAGATGACACAAAAATCAATAGAGTGGGATCAGATGACCAAGAATTTGTGTGGAAACAGGCAGGGGAACCATCAGGAAAAAGAGAAGCCAAGAGTACAGTAAAGTTTGAAGGATGAAGTATGATGGTAGGGGTTGCATGGGGTGGAATGGTGTGAGGATTCTTTGTGAGGTGCAAGGAGGGGTGAATGGAGAGCAGTAAATTTCCATTCTAGAGGAGTGTCTATTCAAAAGTATGCAAAAGTCATGAATTAATGAAAAAGATATCATCTTCCAACAAGATAATGACCCCAAGCATACCTCAAAGTTGGCCACAAAATGGTGTGAAGACCATGATATCAATGTTCTATCTTGGCCAGCACATTCTCCAGGCCTCAATCCCATTGAATATCTCTTGGAATTACTCAAAAGACTACTTGCTGCCTATCAAGATCATCCAAAGGGGCTATTTAAACTATGGAAGAGAGTTGCAGTAGAGTGGGAAAAGATTACTGAGGAGGGGTGTCAGAAATTGATAAAGTATGGCTAGGAAGCTAGTAGCAGTGATTAAAGCCAAGGGAGGTAAGGATATTATGTGTGAATGGTCTGATTTTGTGATTTGAATATAAAATCAAAAAAGTGTCCAAATGAGTCATGTAACTAGAATTACCATATCATGCCTATATATGGTCCAATTCCCATGATATATATCTCAGATTCTAGCCATGATGTAGGGCCTTCAGACATATTCCTATGCCTTTATGTCACACTTGGGTGCTAGCTTGCTATTATCCAATTATTTGAAAATGCATAAACATTTGGACACTTTTTTGAGCCACTGTACAACAAGTATCTTCAAGAACCAGGCTGGCCTGAAGACCCTGCTGTGAAACAACCAGTATTGCAGAAAAAACCAGGTGTTCACATGATCACAAAGTCAATAGTGACTTCATGGGTAGAAATCACTCCAACTGGCAAGAGACACAGGTTAGATGATGTTGTGTCAGATGATGACAGTGGATCACATGATGGTGGCAAGACATCCTCAGTGACTAGCCTGGATGAACTCTCATCCCTGAACTCTGATTTTAATTTTTGACATTTGCATTATGGCCAGACTACCCTTCTTGATTCTGCAATTCCAGTACCCTTACACATGTTCTCCTTATCAGTTGTTACCATTGTCATTACCATATTCCTATACCATACTGAAATGCAAGCATGTCCAAAATGAAATGATCCTGCATGACTAATGCCCACCAAATGCCTGCTGGATGCACACTCATCCCCAGGGAAAACTGGACATGGCCAAAACAGTTGAGATAGCATGAAATATTGTTTAGAATATAATTTATGCTATAATATTGTGTAATCTCACTGGCATGATCGTCTGTGCATCACAATAACACTGCACTGCATCACAAAAATGTTACATTACTTGTATCATGTTGTTTTCACTTGACAACTGATTGCATTTGTCGCATGCACACATCATTTGCACATGTATATTACCTTGTCATCCGGAGTAGATCCTCTCATATGTCAAACTCTGTCTTATCTGGGTCACTGAAGTTCTCATTGTTTGGTGCACTATAGTGTGATTTCAGTAGTCCTCAGCTGCTTGAGGCTCCCTCTCTCTTATTCTACTACTAGTATCTGCCAGACTGTGGCTGATAACACTGTAGGTTTAATTCTCGTAGTGTCTTCTGACTTATAAATCACTGTATCAGTGTACCTATGCCTGTAGATCCGCCAGTGGGCTACACATGTGTCTGCAAGAGACACAATGGTGGTTGTCCCCATTCTGTCTCACGTGCAGCATGGTACAAACACTTGCAAGCAGCTGAGAGTGAGGAAGAAAGGGCCATTATTTGTGCTGGGAATCTCTCACTCAATTTATATGCACAGATTCAAGCTCATGCCCAAGTTCTTGGTGAATCTTCAAGTGGCCCATCAAAAAGACTCTGTGACTCTGAGGTAGCCCAAAGGAGTCCAAAGCATGCACAAGAGCACCACCAGGATATCCCATCATCTTCACATGAAAGACATCGCAGCTGAGATGACACCATCACACCTACTACGAGACATGATAATACTGAAGTGCAGGGCCAGGGGCATGATAATTCTGAGGGACAGGCTGGTGGGACAGATCATGACTTTGATGGGCACAGAGATGGAGAATTTGATGTGCAGGGAGAGAATAACATCCTGCAGTTGCCTGATCCCCAACCTGACAATCAGACTCAGAGAGAATGACCAGCTATCGATATTGAGGAACTTGCACAATGAGCAGTTCTTGCAAAGATCAAAACAGCTATGGAGTTTATTCTAGCACTGCAGTCTGCATCATTAGATGACCCTGTTGTGAAACTTAATGAAGAGACTAGAAGTAATTTGTGGAACCCTCCTTGTGAACCTCCAGATATCGTTAATCCCATCATTCACCATTGGATTTCAACTTACTATGCCCTTGAACACTCATTGCAGACCACTTATGAGTGCATTCATGCTTCAACAGCATGCACATACCCTGATGCTGATGAGATGCCCAGTTTCTATTGGATTGAGCACATGATTGCCAAGTACACTGGAGTTGAATCCATAACTCATGACATATGCCCTGACACATGTATCACTTTCACTGGACCATTTGCTGACCTCAATCACTGCCCTGTCTGCCACAAACATCAATATGATCAAATCAAACTTCAAGCCAGTAGGGGTCGTAACAAGGTTGCTTAGCAATTCCATACTATTCCCATTGGACCCCAGCTTCAGGCTCTTTATCGTGATCACAAGAGTGCAAAATGTATGTGAAATCACACTGAATGTACAGAGAAACTGTTTGACAAACTTCACAAGTCAGGGGGGTCAATTGACACATATGATGACTTCATCATGGGGAGTGATTATCTCAATGCCATTCTCAAAGGCAAGATCAGTGAGAATGACATCATTTTGATGATATCGATGGACGGTGCCCAACTCTACCAGACCAAGGTATCAGATTGTTGGCTGTACACTTGGGTTGTTATGGATCATGCTCCCAATGTTCAATATAAAAAAAAGCATGTCCTTCCTGGTGGATTTATCCCTGGCCCCAACAAACCAAAAAACATCGATTCATTCCTCTTTCCTGGGCTCCATCACCTCACTGCACTTCAGAACAAGGGCCTCTCAGTCTATGATGCATGGTGTGACATTGTGTTCCTATCACATCTATATCTTTTTCTTGCAACTGCTGATGGTCCTAGTCTCATATCCTTTGATGGCATGGTTGGTCACTGTGGCAAGAATGGGTGCCATATGTATTGTGGTGTGATCGGGTGTCGAAAGGAGCAAGGGACTCATTATTACCCTGTCCTTCTTCGTCTGAACAACTTTCATGTTGCAGGATGTGATCATCCTGATATTGATGTGTTCAACCTCCCTCTTGCTGCATCGCACAACTATGCTGCAAACCTCCTCCATCTTGTACCATCACCTAACCAATGTCAGTATGACAAGCGAAAGATGGAGACTGGCATCACAAAACCCAGCATTCTCCTTGGTCTTAATCCGTCTCATATGCTACAGGTACCAGTTTGCTTCTCTTTGATATCATGCATCTCGCTGGGCTGTTAAGTGACTTACTACTTTCACTCTGGTGCAGAATGATGGACTGTGCAGCTTCTGATGATATTGATTTGTGGGAGTGGAGAGTTATGCATGGTGATGTATGGGAGGCTCATGGCACAGCTATTGCAGCTGCAGGAATATATCTACCAGGATCATTTGACCAAAGACCACGTAACATTGTGGAAAACATCAATACCAGCTACAAGACCTGGGAGTTTCAACTGTATCTGTTTGGCCTTGCTCCTGCACTCACATATGGTGTTCTGCTGGAGCCATACTGGCTTAACTATTGCAGGCTCATTGCAGGATTTTGGATCATATGCCAACATTGTATCACCCACTTTGATTTGCAACAAGCCCAGGTCATACTTGGTGAATGGGAGCTGGAATTCGAAGAGCTATACTATCAGTGCCATCAAGATCAGTTACATTTCATTCATCCATGTGCACACCAAGTCAACCATCTCATAACTGAAGCCATTCAGAAGGGACTGTTGGAAAGCGGCAAGCGCACTCGCAGCCGAGGCGCATTAACATTCTCGCATTGTCCTTTTGTTCGAACGTCCAGCGACACATATGTTTTACTTATTTTTAACCTTGTTAACGTCTTTCTCATTGTACTTATGAAACACTATCGAGTTCTTGGGCCAGCGCCCCATTTTTCCTTTTGTCGTGGTCTCAGATACGTATATGCTTGCACAAGAGCTCGCGCAGTATTTAGTTAGCTATGGATTCAGCCTTGCACCTCAGACGTTTGCCTTCGCGCGCAACGACTGAGGTGAGATACTTACATTTTCATATATTCACCTTTACTTACTTCCAGTAGAGAGTCCGTTTGTTACAGGTGAATATCACGAGACATTTGCCTTCGCGCGCAATGACTGAGAGAGTCCGTTTGTTACAGACCCGCGCGATTATATTAATCCTTTAGGGACCTCCAGTCTGTTATGCTCAGTGGACAATGGAATGGACAATCAGAAACCTTGGCCAGGAGATCAGACAGCCTGCTGAACCTTATGCAAATCTTTCTAGAGAAGGAGTCCATCACTCACAAGTCAATGCGCTCAAGGCAATGCTTCCAGAGCTTGATGAACCACCTGAAGGATTCCCAACTGGTGCAGTCGACCTTGGGGATGGCTATGTTTCGCTCTGGAAATGAGATCAATGGTCATCTTACCCACAAGGCACTGAAAAATATGCAATTGCACTCTTCCTTGATGAGCCTGCTCCAAAAATTTTCAAGTGGGCTTGTCTTAAGCTGCCTAATGGACAAATCGCATGTTCACACTGGTGAGAATCATTAAAATCAATGCATAGTACTAAACCTCTACAAGTATCTCGCAATATCAAGGTATTTTTCTTGCTGCTGATTTAAATACCTTCAAGGCTCTAACACTACATGTTTAGTTTTCTCTTGATGGTGTGATATGATTCAGAGAGGTTCACGATTTCATGCAGCTTGCTACAGAGACCATTGGCGGTGATAATGGTGAAACAGAATGGTCATTTATCAATGTTGCTGTCATCTCCCTATTTTCCCTCCCAGATAATGAGCTTCTTGAGCTCTTGTCTCATGTTGTCACATCCTGTGCATATTATGGAGATGATGGTATACATGTCATTGACATCAAGAGCATTACTGATGTGGTCACAATGGTTCCCCACCATCCAAGATTACCATCTGAAGTTGTTGAAGACCATTTCTTTATGGTGGAAAAGCCTGGTCTTGATGTGGCATCATTTGGTATTCTGCCAGTGGATGATGCAGTAGAAGGTGAAGGCAGTGATAATGACTCAGATGATGCAATGGATGGGCAATAGTTGTTAGTCAAACATATTTTTATTATTGTGACTCAAATATGCATGACAAGATCAATTACAGTATGGTATGTGATTCAGAATGCGAGCAAGGTCCAGCAAGACATGAAAAGTGCAATGAGATGGATGTAAAAATACACTGGCAATGAGGCCAAAAGCTGCAATGAATGAGGTGGGTACAAGAACTGCATCAAGACAGTTGCTATAAGAACTGTGAAGAGAAGCATATAAAGAGAAACATGCTCTACAATGTACTCAGTTATTCTGCTGCAATGGCAGCAGGCAATGCTCTGAACATAAGAAAGTTCATGATTTCTTCACTGGGTTCAATGTCTCTGAGGGTACGATGGGGGCAACAAGGTGGCCATGGTGTGTCTGAGTTATCACTAAACTTGTGTTGTTTGAAAGGCACATCAGCAGGAGCTTTGGGAATTTCTACTAAGCATATGGGCTTTGCTTGGGCTGGGTTACTTTGGTAAATGATTTCACTGTCAGTTTGACAATCAAGGAAATAAAATAAAATCATACCTAGAACATGTGGACAATATTTTGAGGGCAGCAAAATCATCTGTGATCTTGTTCATATCAACAGTCATGTCACTATAAGTATATTAGGAAGAATATAGGATGAAAACATTGATCTTTACATCTTGATTTTCTTGTCCTTGCAATCAGAAGAGGTCCTCTTTTGTCCTTTTGGTTTGACTGGAAGTAATAGCTCAGCCTCACTATCTGTTGAGTCTTCAACATGAACGAGTTTGACAGCATCTTTGAGCCAAATGATGAGTTTCTATCAGATAATCATTAGCATATAGTCAAGTGTAACATTCAGTTTACTCACCATGGGCCCTGGATTTTGGGGTGTGAAATTTACTTCATAGGTTGGCCATCTGGCAAGTAGGTTCTCAACATCCATTACAACAATATTGTCCTGGAGAAGCACATTGTCTGTGCAGCTGATAATTTTAGATGAAGCCATGGAAGATGTACTGGAGGATTGAAGAAAAAGACTTCGAAGAATTTCAGTGACTTGATTGTTGTGTTGACTAAGCTTCTGATATTGAATATCCCTATTCCCCAACTGTATGCCTCTTTCTCTATCACCATGATGTTCTATACCCCACATGTTCCCCAGTATTGCTCTTCTAATAATGCCAGCCCAACATTGCACAACCCATCTCCATTGCCTTTGGGTCCCACTCAGCTTCCATCACATGGCTTTGATTATTCTCCTGGATTATTGGATTCAGTTGATGGCTTTGATCATCTAGGCAACTCTGCTCTTTCTCAAGTAAGTCACTTTGAGTATTGCAGGACAAATGTTCAACTTTGCTGCACTGATTTGTGATATTTATTAGAGTGGATATATGCATGGCGGGAACACTCGCATTATTGCATTACAGAATCATATCAACCAGCTCCAACTCAAGCTTATCCAAGCCAAGTCAGCATTTTCAACTCTAGAGTAAGTAATGTTTCTGGATTTCTACTCATTAATTAAATTGGTCTGCTTTTACAGGGCAGCCTTTCAGGAGCTCGCTTGTAGTGTCCAGCTCATCAATGCAGATCCCATGAATTTCACACATGCTAGTATATCCCTAACAACATCTTCAACAAAACAGCTCCCCCCAATTGATAAAAATGATTATCCAAATGTTCTATTCTGGACACGTGCAGATTGGGATAAATGGCAGATGACATCACAAGGGCTCAAACAGAAGGGAAAGCGTGGACCTGCAGCTTTCCTAGAAGATGAGAATGGTGAGCCGATTACAGAAGAATTACTTGACATTATGCACAAAACCATTTGTGGCCTCTGGTTCAAGTTTGCCATCAAAGGACTCCTTGCAACCACCTGGAGCAAGATAATACACTTGACTAGAACACTATTCCACAGCATAATGGAAGAGAGGCACCCTCTTTTTAGATTAGCAATGGACGGCTGGAAGTTGGACTTATTGTGCAGTGTTGCCTATCCTTTGTGGCACAAGAACCATCTCGATGCTGATGGTAATCTCCTGAAGCAGTCAAAGAAAGTCAAACAAGAAGACAATGATATTGGCCACCATGGCAGCATGAGGTGAGTGTGCAGCCCTGATTTTGAGGGGGGCAGCACTTCAAAGCACATGAAAAGTATTCTATTATTTCATTTTTGACACATGAACTCATGTTTACTAAGTAGATGACTCCATGGACCCTTTTATGACAGTTGAAGACACACCCCATCTCATTGTCAAAGGTATCATATTTTTTTTTCATGAGCATATACTTATATGTATTTTTCAGGCAAATCTATGAACCCTCTCGCTGTTGAATCCCACTTGGATGGCACTCTTGACCCCCAGCCAATGCTGCTTGAAGACAGCCCTGCTACTAGTAGCAATGAGAGCCTTCCACAAACAGTGACTCCAATACCACCCCCATTGCCTAAAGTCAAGAAAGAAAACCAACTGCCAACTCATGCCTGTATTGTTCTGATGAATCCCCTGTAAGTATCTATTCTATTTGTACAGTATTACTAACCACAACACCATCCATAGTGCAGGTTTGACCTGCCAGCCATTAGTGAAATTGGCTGTACCAACAACCATTACTGTGCTCAATACCCCTGAAACTGTTCCAGGTCCAAAGCTGGTGCCTGTACCAACTACTACCACTGGCACTACTGTGCTCAATACCTCCAAGACTGTTCCAAGTTTGAAGCTGGTGCCTGCACCAACTACCACTACTGCACTCAATACCTCCAATACTGTTCTGAGTTTGAAGCTGGCGCCTGTGCCAACTACAACTACTGTGCTTGATACTTCTGATGCAGACCCCATAAACACTTCTTTCACATCTGGTATACCCACCATACTCCCTCAGGTAAACGACACTGTTTGAGCCCCTTCAGTGACAAACTCCATATTATACAGGTCACCCGACCTACATAATATCCCATATAAGACAGGCCAGCAGACTATGGGCTGATGTTATGTATATCCCTGATGTTGACGGGTGGGCCAGGAGGGATATTATTTCCAATGGGGATGGGTGGGCCCATCTATGCCAATGTTATAAATATCCTCAACAATGGTGGATGGGCCAGAAGAAATATTATTACCAATGGAGATGGGTGGGCCCATCTGGGCAATACAGTGGCTCAAAAAACTGTCCACATGTTTTGATATTTTTCACTATCTATGATATTGTGTGAGAACGAACAAATGCCTCAAGGACATGCTTATAGCACATTGTAGTATGGCTTCAGGGCTTTCATTTGAGCCCTACACCGTGGGAATCGGTGGAGATATGGTGGAGACACAAGGCTCACAAAATGGTGACTCATGCAGACAGTTTTTTGAGCACATATTAAAACTATATAAATCATCATTTATGACACCATAACAATCATGCCATCATTAAATAAATTATAAAGTGGTGTCATTATGTCATTTTAAAACCATATCTAACTATACAAACCAAAAATTTCCATATGTCATGGTTATATTCACCATGAAAGCCACCCCCCCTGCTCAAAGGAATAATATCCTCTCTCTTTCCTATTCTGGCCTCTCTGCTTGTCAAATTTCCTCTAGAACTGGAGTATCCAAGTCCACTGTGGCCAAGTTCATCAAAGAAAGTCACACAGACAAGGAAAACTTCTGTGAAGGGTGTCCATCCAAGCTCACCTCTACTGATAGGAGGGCTATTATTCAACATATCACTACAGGAAAGGCTGATAGTGCTGTCCAGGTCACCTATTACATCAATTCCACCATCACATTCCCTGTCTCTTCACACACTGTGAGAAACATTCTCAAGACAGCTCATCTCAGGTCAGTAACAAGGAAGAAAAGGCTCTCCTCTCTATCACACATATGCAGAGAGGACTAGCACCCTTCTTTTTCCACATATATACCTTGCCATCTGACCCAATCCTATTTATTGTGGTCTTATATGATCATATAACATGCTTCCAGTCCATGTAATCCAATTCTGATGGGCTAAGGCAAAGGTTAGTCATCTCTGTTTATGTGTGATAGAGAGGAAAGCCTTTTCTTCCTTGTTACTGACCTGAGATGAGCTGTCTTGAGAATGTTTCTCACAGTGTGTGAAGAGACAGGGAATGTGATGGTGGAATTGATGTAATAGGTGACCTGGACAGCACTATCAGCCTTTCCTGTAGTGATATGTTGAATAATAGCCCTCCTATCAGTAGAGGTGAGCTTGGATGGACACCCTTCACAGAAGTTTTCCTTGTCTGTGTGACTTTCTTTGATGAACTTGGCCACAGTGGACTTGGATACTCCAGTTCTAGAGGAAATTTGACAAGCAGAGAGGCCAGAATAGGAAAGAGAGAGGATATTATTCCTTTGAGCAGGGGGGGTGGCTTTCATGGTGAATATAACCATGACATATGGAAATTTTTGGTTTGTATAGTTAGATATGGTTTTAAAATGACATAATGACACCACTTTATAATTTATTTAATGATGGCATGATTGTTATGGTGTCATAAATGATGATTTATATAGTTTTAATATGTGCTCAAAAAACTGTCTGCATGAGTCATGATTTTGTAAGCCTTGTGTCTCCACCATATCTCCTCTGATTCTCATGATGTGGTGCTCAATCCAAAGCCCTGAAGCAGCACTACAATATGGTATTAGCATGTCACTGAGGTCTTTATGTATTCTCACACAATATTGTAAATAGTAAAAATGCAAAAACATGTGGACAGTTTTTTGAGCCACTGTATATCTTGGTCAAATGATACCCGATGGACAAGAAGAGACTGCCAATACACTCACCTAGACTTGGACCACAACTTTCATTGTTTTCATTATCCCTGAGGGAGAGTGATTTACCAATATCAACTACCAAGTCTCGACTGCTGAATCCTGAGTACTGAGTCCCAACACTTGGTAGTCATCATTATCACCTTGGTGGTGATATAACTCCTGAGTCCTGAGAACCTGCTATCAAGACCCGAAACCTGAGTTCCAAACCCAACCACTGAATACCAAGTGTTGGTACTCAGGACTTGGGACTGTTGGCTGGAGTACCTGACTACTGATTCCCAGGTACCGAGCATTAGAACTGAGTACCAAGTACCCGACTACTGACTCCTGGGTACCAAGTACTGATTCCCAAGTCTCAAGTACTGACACTCAGTAGGACCACCAATACACCCACATAGACTTGGACTACAACCTTCATTTAGGAAGTTGAGCATAACAATGATTTTCATTTTTTCATTATTGCTGATGTTTTGGATTTCTTTAGCTTATATCTCGGTCAAATGATAACCAATTGACAAGGAAAGACTACCAAGACACTCACCTTGACTCAGACAACAACCTTTGTTAAGAAAGTTAAGCATAATAACAACTTTCATTGTTTCATCATCATTTGCCTATATTGACTACTGAGTCCTGAGTCCCAACACTTGGAAGTCAGTAGTACCAGGTTTCGGGTTTTGATGGTCTCTGGTACTACAAAACATATGTCCAGGTTTCAGGTTTCAGGCTTCAGCACCTGACACTTGGTGAATTGTGTAATGAAATAAAAAATTTCATGTTATATACATTTTTTTGAGATTCAGTTTGTGGTGTTTGGTTTTTGAGTTTTGGGTGTCAAGTCTTGGGTTTCAGGCTTCAGCACTCAACACTCAGTGAATTGTGTAATGAAATATAAAAAATTCATGTTATATGCATTTTTTCAAGATTTGGTGTTTGGTTTTTGGTTTTCAAATTTTGGGTGTCAAGTCTTGGGCTTCGGGTTTTGGGCTTCAGCACTTGACACTCAGTGAATTGTTTAATGAAATAAAAAAATTTCATGTTATATACATTTTTTCAAGATTTGGTGTTTGGTTTTCAGTTCTTGGTTTTTGGTTTTCAAATTTCAGGTGTCAAGTCTCGAGTTTCAGGGTTTGGGGTTTGGGGTTCAGGTTTCAGGGTTCGAGTTTCAGCACTTGACACAGGCAATTGTGCAATGAAATAAAAAGAATTCATGTTATATGCATTTCTTCGAGATTTGGTGTTTGGTTTTTGGTTTTCAAATTTCGGGTGTCAAGTCTCAAGTTTCAGGCTTCGGGTTTTGGGTTGTGGCACTTGACACTCAGTGAATTGTGCAATGAAATCAAAAAAATTCATGTTATATGCATTTCTTTGAGTTTTGGTTTTTGGTTTTGGTTCTTGAGTTTCAGGTTTCAAGTCTTAGCACTTGATACTCAGTGATTTGTGTAGTGAAAAATTCACATGTTGCATACTGCCATATCCCATATGCTGGACCTAGATCCCATGGTATTCCCATGCCTTCCAGGCCTATTTCCGGACCCCACATCTGACTCATGCCCAGATCCCCTTCCACTGTGTGCTCCACACCTCAGCAGGATTAGCCCTGCTATGGATTTACCCCTGAGCTCCAGACCTCTGGATCTTCACTACTAGCCTGATCTGTACAACCCCATCCTGTCCACTATATGCACATTCCATCCAGCAAGACATCCAGACTTTACCCCCTCTCAGATTCCAGACTACATCCACCACCTCACATATCTCAGTCCTGTTTCTGCTTTGCCTTCCAGATCTCCGGACCTATTCCCACCCTCTGTCTGAGATCCAGTGTGTAACCCTATTTAGGCATACCCCCCCTTCCAGTTCTCAGCTACCTCTGTTCCTGTCTTGCTGATTGACCTTTGTACTAGTTTCATCTCTGAGTTCATTTACTTATATTCTGTCTCACTTACTAATATGTTTCCACATGCTCGTACATAGCCTTACTACATTGCTTACTGATCCTCTCAGATATCCTCTAGTATATAACCACTGTACAACTCTTGTAGAGTCCTCAGTCTGAATATCAACTTAGACTTGCCCAATCTTCTCCTGGACTTTGGTCCACCTAAGTCTGTCCTACCCATCAGGCCTAGGGATTGATTCCCTAGGCTGGAGCTCCGCCTTTCCAGCACTTTCCCTCTTTCCAGACTTAGGTTCAATCCCTGTCTCTCCAACTCTACCTTAGGGTAGTCTACCTCTGTTTGTTTCTACATTGGACTTCATCCAATGTAGCCCCTATTCCTTCCAGACCTCCAGACATCCTGTTCCTTGTACCTCCAGGCATCTTGTCCTCCAGATGTTCAGTCCTCCTGTCCTCCAGACCTCCTATTCTTCCATCCTGTTTCCCATAGAGATATTACCTTGGGGTCTTTCCACTTCCTGTGCAGTGGGACCTCCTCTGAGTATTTCCTGTACTCTGGAACTCTCCCATGCTCCAACTTTGAATTATTACCTCCTTTGATATTGATGATATACAACTACCTATGCTCTGTCATGTCTACAATTATCATTCACCTGGGCCCACTCATCTATATTATATACCACCCTTGGCCCACCTGTCTAATATCATATATTGTTGCCCTTGGCCCACCCATCTAATATAATATACATCTGGGCCCACCTGTGTATGTGATAACAAGTACCCTTGACATACCTGTCTATCTGATACACATCTACATTGGTATACCCATCTACATAATATCCAACTACCTCAGCCCATCTGTCTATAGAATATTCATGTCCATCAGCCCACTCATCTACTGTACATATCCCCCACATGGGCCCATCCGCCTCCATTGGGAATAATATTCCTCCCAGCCCATCCGTCACAGTCGGGGATATTTTTACCTTTGACCCATGGTCTGCTGGCCTGTATTATATGGGATATTATGCACATCTGTTCACTTGTATAATACAGAGATAGGTCACTGCAATATGTGACTGTTCCAACTACTGCATCTTCGAAGAAACCTTCAAAA